TATTGGAGCTGCTTCAGACGGAGCATGTGACTCACCTGAGCATATGCCACGCTAAGGAGACGGCAGTTTGAAGCTCTACACGCATTTGTCAGAGAGACAGCTGCTGTGGAGGCATAAATAATCTCTGTCTGAGTTAAATGTCAGCCACTCAGAAATACACACAAAGCACACACGAGATCAAAACATTTTCCATTTAATTAAAACACTGTTCGATCTGGTTCATTCATTATTGACCCTGCTCTCACATAAGAGTCATTCAATTAAATGTCTTGAAGGAAATGTCTGCTATTATACAAGAAGTGTTGACTTCAAAGACTTAACTAATGGGGTTTCTAAGTGAAAAATGCCATTACCAGAAATAACTTATCCTAAACATAGCCACAAGTTTGCCTCTCTTGAATACTCAACATCTAACCAAAATAGGTTTCACATCAACGAGATCCTAACCCTAACCCTACCATTAATACACCAGCATAATTCAAGGCTTTACCATTGTTTGAATGAAAAATGCACATAGTTTACCCAATCCCCCCCCCCCTAGGTTTCTTTCGTATGGTGGCCCACAGGTGCAAACCCATAACTTCATAACTTAACAGTCCCCAAGTGTCCACAAGTGCTAACTTTTTAGTATCCCTGTTTCCGTTGTGTTTCGTTCATGCAGCACTTTTGGTAAACGCTGTGCATGTGTTGCCAAGATGGTTTATTTGCGTAGTTTTTGAAAGTGCAGCACCTTTCTCCCAAAGGAAATGTTTTTGGCCAGTGTAGCACGTTTGCACCAGTTGGCCACCGTACTAAAGAGCTGTTCTGAAACACAATGTAGGTGGCTTTGGCCCCTGAAATCGTGGCAATGCCGACACAGCCTAACTCATGGCTTACCTGAAAATGTGAAAGAAGTGGATTGTTGGTGCAGCCTATGCTAGCCTGGGTGACACAGCAGCGCAACCAGCTAGAAAATAACAACCTGTGAAAGCAACCCCCTGTCATTTAAAGCAACCGTGCCGTACATTAAGCCCAGCTTTGAGCCCTAATATGATTTTAGTTCAGAACGTTATTTAAAAATATACAACCCGAACAGGAAAATAAGCTATAGAGACTAAAACTGCTAATAACGTATGATTCTCTGTCTAGAGGACCCGAGTTCAAATCCGACCCAGGGAGCATTTATGTAATCCAAGAAAATAACCTTAAAAAATTGAAATATATGTTAGTTTAAATGTTTGAATATATGAAAACGTTCCCCCACTATTGATGAAGTAACACATATACAGTATATCTGAAATCTAAAATATGTCTATTGAGGCAAGAAATAAGTTATTTTCTCTGTTCATTCACTTTTTTCATCTCTTATATCTAAACTTTCCTAGGCTGATGCCTCTGACTTTTTTGTCACAGTTCAGTAGTTCAGCAGGACTGAACTAAAATAAAACCTAAAATAAATGTGTAGAGCCTAAAAGTCAACCTTCAGGTAACATGTAAAGTTACACAGGAGAAGTTGAAATATATGAATCGTCTTTCAGATTCAGATCTTTGGTATTTGAGACTTAAGACTGCTGATGTATGCAGGTTTACTGCTGGTGTCAGCTTTTTCTTCATAACAATTCTAAAGCTGCTGCAAATATATAATGTTTTTTTTTAAAGAAAATGGAAAAAAGGACTTATGAAAGTACAGTGCATGAATAACAAAACCATGGAAACAGTGAGTTAGGTACAACATATAAGAGTTTGTAAAGCGCGATGTAAAAGCTACCCCTTAAGCTTGTGGCAGCTAAGAATAGAAAAGGTAGCAGGAGAGGTGTATTTCGTCTAAGATTTAGTTTGCTTATTGTTTAAATTAACTTTCCTTCGATTTAATTATTGTTGCCTTTAAATGCATTTGACAAAAAAAGGTTTTTCATTTGTACTTAAAACCACTTTTAAACAATTTCTAAAGATCCTAGTCTCCTATTATTTTGAAAGGGTAAATCAACTGACAAAACCATTGGAAATCAAAACACTTTTAAATCCCATGTCGCATTTCCTGACTAAATCCAGACCGTGTTATGTTTAAAGGGGCCCTGTTATGCAAATGTTCAGGTTCATATGTAAATGTTGTGCCTGAAACCAGAGCCCAGCCTGCTCGGATTGGTTAGTATTGGTTGTGATTAGTCAACCATTAAGAGATGTCCCGCCTCTCAACCTATCACGAACAATGTCTTGGAGCGCTAGCAAATAGAAGCGTGAGTGTAACATAGTGATGTGTCATGTTACAGGAGTAAACAAAGGAGTCCAATGGAGGCATGTCAGGCAGGGAGGGAGTGTGTGGGAGAGAAACTCCCTCCGGAGGGAACTTTGTGATTTAAGCCTTTGCAGACCACTTATGGCGCATTTCCACTACAGCGCGGTTTAAGCGTGCCGTGCCCGGCCCGTTTTTGGTTGCGTTTCCACTTGGCGTAGTTCCGGCTAGCGGGTACATTTTCACAGTTTTCTGGCTCTCCAAAATCGAGGTTCTTTCCTCGCCAACAACCGGGCTGAGTATGCTAAACTAGCGAGAGATTCGCTGGCAACTACAACAAAATGAACATATTTGACCGTGATTTAATTGTAATACACGTTTCAAAATGATGCCGAAGTAACAACATACTGATACCGGTTAGTAAAAACCATGAATTAATGCTTTGACAAGTCTGCAGACAGACGGCAGGCGAAAAACCTTTTAAAATGCCTGTTTTCTGAATGGAGATCGGCTAAGCTAACGCAGTATATGCTCCGACCGTCCACACTCACAACAACGGCCTATACAGACATAAATAAAGCAGCGACTGTACTCGCCATGACACAGGCAGTCTGTGGTTTGTACTTGTTTAACTTTTGTCTAGTTTCTGAACAGATATGAGGAGCTGTGAGCTCTGAGGGCTAACAGCTAACGGCTGATGTTGGTTTTGTGTTTCGCATTGAAGATGACGTCACGGCTCCGCCTACACTGCGTTACTATAGATACTACCCCAGTTCCTACTGTAATGGAAACGCAGCATAAAGTGAGCCTGGGTTAACAAGGCCTAACGAGGCCTAGCCATACCGTACTAAGCCGAGCGAGGCCCTGCAGTGGAAAAGCGCCATTAGATGCACAAAAACCTATATCACACTACAGGAAAAGGTGAACCCCAAAAAGCGTAATAGGGCCTCTTTAATACTTTCCCCTTTTAACCACTCCAAACTTTTAGGATAATCCTTCTCAGAGAAAGAAAAGTGCCTTCATTGTCCTATCATTTATTTACTTTCTAACACCCGTAGGGGATCAGCCTCCTTATCTTCCGCCCTAACCTGGCTGCCACACTACTCTTCACCTGCACAGCCCCCGTCATTCTGCTTTTCACTGTAGATAGTTATCTCGGCACGGACAGATAACTTTAAGGTCCCCGCCACTGCGCCAGCCTGACCAAACCCAGACACCATCAGATAAATCACCACAAGGTGTTCCTCTTTGATCTGCTAATCTCTGGATACCCCGCTGCACTGTGGGTAGATACGGGTCTGTGGGCATACAGTAGGTGGATGGTGTGTATTATCCAAAATAAAGAGGAAGATTTGAAGTAATAGATGGGGAGACAGAAAGGACACCAGATTTTATACCTCCCTTAAAGAGTCACAGCTCAGGTTTAATTGGTGCGATTTAACTCCCAATTCCATTATTTCTACATCAGACATCCTCATTAAAATCTCTTTTTGTGTTTTGTTCTTTATTAATTGCTCATGTCTTCACTTTTTATCTTTCTTTTGTTTGTCTTTCAAGAAGTCTCCCGCAGGCTTTAATCCCCTCAAAAGTTTTAGGAGGAGTAAACATAGATCAAAGATTTTTTTTGTTTTGGAACAAATAGATGGCCTTTGAAATGTTGCTTTCCTTTTTTAAATATTCAACTGCGTGCAGGAAGATTTATCATATATATATGTCCACAGTTTAAGGTCGCGTTCACACCAGCCTTGTTTAGTCCGGTTGAATCTATCCCTGGTGCGTTTAACCGCTTGGTGCGGTCGTTTGGGTCGGTGTGAACGCAGTCCGAGACCTCTGATGTGAACTAAACAACTGGACTCTGGTCTGCCTAAAAGAAGTGGTCTCGGACCGCTTGCTAGTGAACTCTGGAGCGGTTCATCGCTGGTGTGAACGCAGTCCGCACCAAAACAAAGGAAGCGTAGTATTTACGCGTCACAAGAACGTGGATGTCTTCAAAATCTTTAGCGAAAGAATGAAGTGTTGAACAGTGTCGTCTAAAGTAAAAATGCTCCGTCATCTATATATAAAAGTCAGAGCCACCTGTCGTCGGTGAAACCTCCTCCTCACTGCAGAACGTCTCTCATTATATGTGCTATAATGGTTTTTTTACGCATGTCGTCTGATATATAATCCTATGCTGGCCGCTAGAGTCTGTTGATAGGCTCTCCAGATTAACAGCAGCATGTAACCTGCCGATGCTCCATGGTGGAGGCTACGGTAGAAATTGCCGGGATTTGCGTTTTTACCCCCTTAATGTCTGACCAATTGTTGAACAGCATTTCCGTTCACATGACTTGTGTTTAAAGTTTATAGTCCATTTGAGCTTTGCCCGTGTGAACGCAAACCGAACCTTCTGAAAAATGAAACAATGTAACAACCTGTCTTCTTGTGCACACCAGAGAAGCGGACTATTAATGCAAAACTTGGAAAGTGCCTCTATTAATGTCCTTACATTTTATACTCAACCTCATGTGGTAACCCTGTTTAAAATAAATTCCAATATTTAATATGTGCTCTTTAAATCAAGACTTTTATTCTTACGATATTAACAATTAAAAAAAGATGTTTGTTAGTATGTCAGGTAACAACATTATGTATTTCCTTTTAATTAAAAAAGCTGTGAATAAACACAAAGCACTTTTCCAAGCAGTCGTGTGATTTTTATGGTGGCTTTATATTTATCTGTGTGCAGTATGCTGATGAATGGTGTAAGAATTAAAAGCGTTCTTCCTTCCTGTGTGTGTCCTTCCAGAGTGCAGCTCAGACTGTCAGCGCTGCACGGCAGACCTCCAGACGGGCATCGGCAGTGTGTGTCTCTGGTGTAAAGTGGCGAGGACCTGGCTGCTTGGCGATCACTGCGTCTCCCACTGTCCTCAGGGACACTACGGCTATCACGGAGCCTGCATCAGTAAGGACTTTAACTCCCCTATATATATAGAGAGTTGCACAGTGAGGACGTGTTTTGTAAAGGCCGACCAGGAAGTGAGCATTGCAAGGGTTCCATGACAAAAGCAATGAGATGTTTCCATTGGATTTCATAACAGTGCAGAAAATAATATCTGTGGCAAGCACACAATATATTTTTTGGTTTGTTTTTGTTGCAGGATAATCTCCACATATTAAAATAAAGACCATTATGATATTTCAAGCATGCTTGCAATCGCCAGAAGTAAAAAGCTAACGTTAGGCTATAAGCTAACAACTTTACAATAGCATGTACTATTCTATCGTAATGTAATGTCTTAGCATGTACCGCTAAGCTATTCAGCTAATGTTCGGCGTGATGATGTTATTTAGTCTCATTTAGTCACTCATTAGCAACCTTATTGCTCATTGCACATTCACAAGTGGGGTATTTACTGACGTGTTTGTATTGATCTTATTTCAGTTATCTAAAAATAAAAGATGACTTTGAAACGAGAAAACTGGAAGTGGTAAAATCCTTACCGACTTCATGTTTTAGGACTGCTTCCTGCACCACTCTATTTGTAAACATATACATTTAAATCAAACAATCCAAGACCTTATTCAGACTTCTTACCAAAACACATTCAAAGATCTGTTGACTGTGAGATTTGCAAACCAAATGCTAAATTGCTAACTTATTTCTGGGTTTTATGACTCATTCCTGCACCTCTCCATGCTGTACATAACAAGATCAGGCTGCCCTGAGTGTAAGGGGCCTTTATGTTTAATTGATCAGTCAAAGATCTCTAAAGTTAGGGTCATTTTATGAGCCTGGTGAGGAGTTTTCCTTGACCATTTTAAAAGAAGAATTACTGAATTGAATTCCAAGGTTTAGAGATAAATAGGTATTTTTTATTTATACCCTTGAAGATTTTTCTTATTTTTTTGTGGAATCACTATCAGTGCACTCTCCTCAGGCTGAAAAAGAACATTGGCGAACAATGTTGATATAAGGCGCGTTCACACCGGAGTACTTTTACCCGTACTTTTCCCGTTTAGTTCCGTTAGTGCCTGGAATTTTGCGTTCACACCAAAAAGAGAACTTAGTTCAGAGAACTTTTACCCCCATTTGTAGTGCCTGCTAGAGAGGTGGTACTATCCTGGAGAGAAAAAAGTACCAATTTCTGATTGGCTGGGCGAATTATGAACCACGCCCCGTAAAACTCTGAAAAGTTTTTTGAAGCCGCCATTGTATTTGCTTGCATTAGCATTATTAGCATTAGCCCCGCGCACCAACAGAGAGAGAATAACTTATGGCAAAACAAAAGAAAACATGGGAGCGGTGGAGTGATGAGGAGGTGTCGGCGTTCTGGCGATTTACTCGGAAGGCTTCAGTAGAAGCAGCTGGGAGTCCCAGCAGCTTCTACTGAAGCCAGTCCCCAACTCCGGGGACTTCCGGCCGGGGACTTTGGGTGGCAGTATATGCCGTGAAGTTGTTTGCGGCCTGCCAGTTAACCCAAAGCAGAAGAAGAAGAAGTGACGTCAGCGGCTTCATTTGCGTAATCTTCCCTCAGGGAACTTATTCCGGTGTGAACGCGATCGGCTCTTAGTTCCATGGGGGTACTAAGTGCTGGCTCTAAGTGCTGGGCACTAAGTACGGCAAAGTACTTGGTGTGAAAGCGGCTATACACTCAATGATTCTTTAATAACTCCTGGAAGAACACAGAACTTCCTCCCAGCTTACTGTTGATGCTTTTGGCTCCTAACTCTCATCATCATCATCAAGGTCATCATCCTTGCCCTCTTTATCATCATCTTCATCATCATCATCATCATCATCATCATCATCACTCTCTTTCTCACCCTCTTCATCATCGTCCTCACCCTCTTCATATCATCATCATTAACATCGTCATCATCATCATCATCATCATCCCCATCTTTGCTTTTATATTCATCATCATCCTAAATATTTCAAACATCTTCATCTGATTTTCATGATCCTGCTTATAATGAACATAATCTTCATCACTCCTTAACATCGTAATCTTCATCATCATCACTATCATACTCCTTCTTGTCCTTCATTTCTTCGTCATTATTTCACCTGCTAATTTTATAACAGAATTGTTGCCGTCATACTTATATCATCATCATCATCATCATCATCACCATCATCTTCATCATCATCATCAACCCTCTCATCCTCCTCCTCATCATTATAATCATAATCCCATCATGCTCCTCCTATTTGCCAATCAACATCATCCACCTACTCCTCATCATCATCCTCAATCTGGTCCTCCTCATCCTCATCAGCATCATTCTCATATCGACCCCATCTTCATCATCATACTTCTGCTCATTCATATCCTCCGATCTCATCAGTATTGTCATGGTCATCGTGGTCATCATCATCATAATCCTGCTCCTCTTTTTCATCCCGGTCCTCTTCATCATCTTCGTCATCACTACGCAGTGTTTCAGCAGCAGAAGCCCCTCCACGCTGAGCTGCAGAAACATTTAAATGCAGAGAGTGTGAGCAGGAAGCTTCAGGCTATAGAGCGAAAACCTCTGGAGTCTCATTTAGCTGAGCCCTCGGCAAACACACACACACACACACACACACACACACAAACGCACACGGACACGCACACGCACACGCACACACACACACACACATGCGCTTTCAGACATACAGTAACCATTTTATTTTTAGTCAGGTAACGTCTCTTTTTTTTGCTTCATCAGAGGGAATTTTGAAGTTTTTTCTGGTGTTGATGATATTATGCAAGGCTGGATATGAGCATTGAGGGGTGGGGAGTGCAGCAGAGTAATATGAGAATGATTAGACCCATGATAGTAATTAGTGATACTGGTGAATATGTATTTCTGGATGTGGCTTTAATTAGTGCATGTATTGCATGGTTTTATCAAGGATACATTTAAGTGATAATTTAAATACCTTTGGTCATTTTTCACGGTGGGCACGTAGCTACAGAACATAACTGATACTGTCTTTTTTAAAAGGGCCCCTTCTTGCTCATTTTCAGGTTCATATTTATATGTTGTCCCTCTACTGTGACATGTTAACATGCTTTAATGTTCTAAAAAGGTCTTGATTGTTCTCATACTCTGTAGTGATTGTTCAACCGCTTAGAGAGGTCCCTCCCCTCACGTACACATTGTTGGAGCTCTAGCCAATACAAGAACATGTGTTGCATAGTGATGTCATTATGTCACGGAAGTAAACAAAGGAGTCCAAGCGAAGCGTTTCAGGCAGGGGGGAAGTGCGTGGGAGAGAAACTCCCTCTGGAGGGAACTTTGGGATTTTAGCCGTTGCAGACCATTTATATGCACAAAAACCTATATACCTCACTACAGGAAAGGGAAAACACAAAAAGCATAATAAGGCAGTTTCAATAGTATTTTCATGTATTTTAATCTCATAATATGAATAGGTTTAATAGTATGCAAGTACCCAATTATGCTGCTTTATTTTACTGTTCACATCCTTCATATAGCAAATATTGTATATTAACGCTGCATTCTTTATTGTATCTCACATTTATTTCACACTCTGTTTTCATAGGATCTTTAAACTTTCTTCCAATGAAAATGCACCAAACAAACTTACTGCAGATGGAAATGAGCTATTAGCTCAAATCTGGCATAATTCACCTCTATTTTCTGAGATTAATTCATTTGTATGCATGGTTGGTCCTTGTTGAAATAAATACATAATAATTCAATGTTTTTTTCTTCACAGGATGCCATTCGTCGTGTGATGGCTGCAGTGGGGCGGGGCCTCTCTCCTGTACGTCCTGCCCGTCCGGCAGCGTTCTGTTGCCCTCGGGTCTCTGCGCTCCAGAATGTCCTCTCGGTTACTATGACAATGGTCACAAGATCTGTCAAGGTAAGTGGGTAACTGCCCCTCTGCATCTCACATTAAATCACATATCTTACTACTGTACACGCAATCTGGTTACAGAATGTTTTGCAGGGGACCCTAATGTACGGTGGCCGACCGCGATAAAACGGCTCAAAACACTTCCATTAGGAGAAACACGTTGCCGTTTCAAAAGAAAATTTAAAAACACAAATGTGCAAAAACACATGCAAATGAAGAAACACATTCACAGCATTTAGAAAACATTAGCCAACTAGCGCAGGGGTTATTAAAAATAAATAAATAAAACGCTGCGAATAAAAAAAATGCTGCAAAAACTCAAAACCCAAAGGAAACAGCTGGTACCGGAGTGCTTGTTGATGTTCAGGGATTATGAAGTTGGCCACCTCTCACTGGAAACTTACCTAAAATGTAAGTTTTATCGGCTTATTTCAACGATGTGATCACATGATTCCTTTCCATATTATTGTAGATCTACTGTAAGCTGGCTTGCTAACCTAGTCATTTCCAATATACTGACAAAGCACTTCCAATTATGAAACAGGCTGACTTTGCAAGAGTGACAGTTGGCCCACATTATAATCTTCGAACATCATGAAGCGCTCCGGTCCCATCTGTGTGCATCACTTTTTAGTGTCCCTGTTTACGATGTTTTTTTTTGCTTCTTCTAGCGATTTTTATTTGCAGCTTTTTGTGTTTGCTGTGTTTCATTAATGCAGTGCTGTTGGTGAACCCTGCGCATGTGTTGCGTTTCTCTCCTCCTAAGTCTATTGGGCCGTTGTGGCGTTTGCCCCTGTCAGCCACCGTACTAATGACTTGCAGGAAGTGGACACAGAAATAAGAACACTAGACAGTACAGTGGTTCTGGTTTAAAGACCATCTTGTTTCTGAGACTTTCAACATGACAGTCATTATAACCGTGAACTTCAAAGAAAATGCGCCCTCTTGTTCATTATTTTCCTTCTCCACTAGCTACATTATACAGTATACTGTATACGTTTGAAGTATTGGTAACTGACTCAGCTGCAATTGAAACAAAAACTCCTTTTGTTGTTGTACTTCTGTAAGTTTCCTTGAAAACATGTATTACAGTGATACGTCAGCCATGTATTGAAGTTGCCACTTACTACCTGGTACTGAATATATTATTACTTTAGTAACTAAAAAGCACTCAGACAGCACGTAACTTTCTCAAGGTCTCTTAATCATTGAAAGAAAACCATGATGGTAGCCTCTTGTCATTCAGGTATTTGCAGCTTGTTGATAAAACCTTTTTGGCAAACATTCATAAGGTGATCTATTTATCTATTTTATTCAAGAAATGTTTGCTTTTGTCCATCGCCTACCAAATTACCTTGAAATATGTTAAGTATTGTTTTCTGAGATATCCTGTTCAAAAGCAGTCAACAAGCTCCAATCAACACATTCTTGTTGGATGAATTAATAATAATAACTCAGTTGCTACAGCCTTGAGTGGATAATTTGCAAACTCAACAATCGTAGTATAATGAAAATATATGTACTATTATTAAACCTTAAGAAGTTAAAAATATCTGAGGCACTCGGGAAGGCAATGATTTATAAAACCTTTAATCACTCATGCCTATTCACAGTGCCAGGTAAAAACGTGGGTTTTATCAGGTAAGTAAAGGCACAGGTACTTAAGGTTTTTTAAAGCACTACCCTCTTGAGTGCCTCTGATTACTTCAACACCTTAAACTTGTTCTACTGCTGCATATGAGTGTTTCAACATTGTTACGGGTTTCCTTATTAACTTTGGTCACTAACTAACTGTTAATGTTAAAAATTAAACTGTTCTTTGGTGCAAATTGATCATTTTGTAACAATGTTGAAATAGACAAAGGTTTCCCATTTTTTTTCAAGCACTTTGGCTGTATTTTAAAGTGTGATAAATATATATATTTGTTGTATTATTATTTAAAATACATGTTTTATTCATACTTATTAGTAATAAGTATGATTATTATTATGTATTAAATATGTAATATTACTATTAATAATACAAGTTATTATAATTATAGTAGTAGCAGTAATAATAAGTGCAGTAATGTGTTATGCATGTTGTAATTATAAGTAACATTATTCATAGTACAAGTATTATTTATACTTATTAATTATAATAATATTATAATCATTATAAATATAATTGTAAATAATAGTAATTGTAGTAGTAGTAGTAGTAGCAGTAATACTAATGGTATAGTATGATTATGATTATTATTATGATGATTATTATTGTTTGTATTCTTATTATTACTATTATTATAAATGACCTGCAGTGCACCAAAGCTGCACTCTAGCACACAGTTTTATGTCAAAAGTATATAATAATATTATAACCATCGTTAAAGTGTTAAAACGTCTATTAAACAAAATATCACTGGTTCGAAACAAGCCACATTCAGTCGGTATTTTTGGTGACCGCAGACATGATTACATCTTGTCACTCAATTCCTTTTCCCTCTGACCTTGGCTCTAACCGTACGACCTTCCTGTCTCCGCAGTGTGTGACAGCCAGTGCCTGACGTGCGACATGCCCGGTGTGTGTACGTCCTGCCGCGACCCGGCCAAGGTGCTGCTGTTCGGAGAGTGCCAGTATGACAGCTGCGCCCATCAGTACTACCTCAACACCAGCACCCGGGCCTGCAGAGGTACGCCATCACCCTGACAACCCAACACACACTGCAGCACACAGCGAGGGGAAACACTGGATTGATAATGAGGATGTAGTTCGCCCTTTATGATACCCATAAATTACTCTCCATCTATATTGCATGTACTGCAGTGTGCTACATTGACTTTATGGGGTCCATTGATCAAGTCATAAACTGTGGGACCAGATATGCAAATCTTAAACATTATGTGTGCGTTACAACTCCGTATGAAATCTTGCAGCCTGCAGAGAAGGTGATGAATGGGCCTCAGAGGAACCATGTCCAGTCTGAATACCTCGTCTTTTTTTCACTTTGCATGCAATAACTCTGCTTATATATTTAATGACCCACTAACCGCCCCAGACCACATTCTGTCTGACTGAATCTCGCTCCGCATTATCGCCAACCCGCAAATAAGATGTGTGAAAATGTGTCCCGCTTCTTTTTCTCCTGGATGGGATTTATGTTCAGAATGCGAGCCGCCCAACTGTGTTGTCACACTGGCTTAACACAGATATCCACTTTAATTCACAGAAAGCCATTTCATGTGGAGCTTACATCACCTTGCAGACTTGCCTTTATCAGCGATTTGGTTCAATGTAATGAGATTTGACGAGGTATCAGGGGCCCGAAGGAACCTGCCCCTGAGGTGGACCCACAGCTTCCCATGTCTAACATGAGATTAGAAACTAAGCTGACTGCTAGAGGCTAGATTCCCAGTTTGATTTCCTGTGAGGCAGCTAGCAGCGCCTCTCAGCTCGACAGGTGGTTGTGGCCATCGACGTTCTATTTATCCCCCCAGCTAGCCGCAGCCGCTGCCCGGGTAATCCACTGAACCTTAGATGAACCCAGTGCATTGGGAAGCAACACTGCATTCTGCTTCATGAAAACTCCCAGGCCTTTGAGGAGAACCTTTGGGAGCTCTCACTTGCAACCACAGGGGAAAGTTTCCTGAGAGAATCTCTTATAAACCTGTCAGCACTTCTACCAACAACCCACATCGGTTTGGATTAATCACTGATATATTTCTAGGGAGGAACCCCTAATTTACCTCCCTCAGAATCCTCAGGAAAAACCCTGTGGAGACCTCTGCTGTTTTTTTTTACCGCAAATATAGGCAATAGACAAAGTGAGAGAAAATGTGAAAAAACGTTGAGAAGTGAATGAGTTAAAGAGTGTTTACCTGCAGGAATCAAAATGGATGTGTCCTTTAAGAGAATTGAGGATGTAACTGATGGGGAAATATAAGATGTTGAACACACAGTAAGATCTTAAGGTATATCTTATCCCAATGTTGGTCAGTGAGTCCCTCCAAACATCATAAAGATGGATTGCCATGCGCTTTAGAAAAACTGATATTGGTTCCAAGACAATTTATCCCGAGGACTTTTGCGATCCTCTGATTTTTCTTTGAATAAATCAGCAGATTAACAGTTTTTGTTCTTGAGTGAAATTTCCCGACAACTATCGCACTTAGCCATGACAATTGGTGTATGCATTACTGTGAACAGAGATGAATAATTATCATTTGGTTATGACATCATAAACTTTTGACCTAATAAGTTACCAACGACATTTACTGTGGCCTATTTATTGATTTAAAGGATAAAATACATACTTTTATCCATCTTGCAATCTGTCTTACTTTACAATGAGCAGAATACTTTTCAATGTTATAAGTTATAACATTTTACATTACATTAAGTATATATTCTGTTTTACATGGCCTAGTGAATACTCAATTCTGATTGGTCATTTGGACATTTCAGATGTTTTTAATACTCTATAACTCACCGCTGCTAAGCAAAATAATGACAGTTGCTAAGGAGGATCAAAGAGCATTGGACGTCAGAGAAATCAAGAGTATTTTTTCTTAGCAGAAGCAACACGATAATGCTTTAGTCAATAAAATCATTTTCAATTAATATTGTGAGTCAAGTCATTGGTTTATTTAGTATGTGGCCGTGTATTAAATGGATCCCTTACTTATATAGTGCCCCCCTGGTTTACTCTGTAATTGCTGAGAATGCCTGGTAAGTCATCTCTCTTGATTTAGTTTTAATAAAAACCTAGCAGCTCACACAAAACACAGAGTTGTATTTATCCTAATTGTGTTTAATTCTCTTGTCAATATGAATGGAGGGCAGCACAACACACACCAGATGTGCAGCTGATAAGAGAGAAAGGGGAAAAAACACAATTGGGTTTAGAATAAATCCCTCTGATGAAAATAATGTGTTAATCTCTTTATTTCTCTCCCCCCTCCCTCTCTTCTGCTCTCACCTTTTGCTCTCGCCTTCAAAATCCCCTCATGTCTAATCCCACTGTCCCGCTTAAAAACACGCGATCCTCCTCCTCCTCCTCCTCCTCCTCCTCCTCCTTCTCCCCATGTGCCTCCCTCCATCCCGTCTCCAGAGTGCGACTGGAGCTGCAACGCCTGTAAAGGTCCTCTGAGGACAGACTGCCTGCTGTGCATGGAGGGACATGTGCTGCAGGATGGACTGTGCACCCAGGGGTGCTCCACTGGCTTCTATCGAGACGGTGACAAATGCCTCGGTCAGTGCACCAACATCAGAATCCTTCTTTTGCCCTCTGTCTGCATATTAAGCACTTGAAGTTGCTTTTCTTAAAGGTCCCCGATTATGCAAAATCCACTTTTTCATCAACATGTGTCCCCTCTGTGTAAAGGGAAATAAGATTCACTCACTTTTTGTCCTGATCCATTTATATAAAAAGCTGTATGAAAAGGAGCTGATCAGACTTTTGCCACTTTATGATGTCATAACGATTTTTTGGTTTGTGTAACCATTAGCCAATCACCAACCAAGGTAACCCCCCCCCCCCCACCCTATCACCTGAATCTCCTCCTAGAGCACCATTGTGTTCTTTTTAACCTAATATCTCTCAGAGGGGCGTGGGGAGTGGCTCCTTATTTTCATCTAAAGTAACAGACAGAGAATCAGCACTTTTGAAACAGGGCTGAAACAGAGAGGATTATGGGATGCTGCTATAATCTGTTTGGTGTTTGGAGCCAAACACTTCAGAGACATGTTTTGTATACATCTGAGACCTGTAATATATTGATGAAAAACAGTATATTAGGGGACCTTTAAGTAAAGTACAAGTACCTCAGAATTGTTCTTCAGAACAGTACTTGAGTAAATGCACTTACTTTACACCGCTGGTTTTAATGCTCTCAGTGTGTTGTATGTGTCCTTGTCAGGCTGTGATGATCACTGCACTGAGTGTCGGGGTCCAGGACAGTGCCATATGTGCCAGCCTCCCTACGCCACCCTGCAGGGTCAGTGTGTGCTGGAATGTGGCCGGAACTACTTCCTGGAAGCCTCCTCGCAGATTTGCAAACGTAAGACTTTGATAAATGCTACGCTTTTCTACATCTCTAAGAATTGGCCTATTTTGGAGTCAAAGGCATGATTTCAAAAGGTTTTCTGTGCTGGGTAAGTTTACAATTTAGAAATAAAACAAAGAATAAACATTCCTTATAGTGCTTTTGAGGAAATGAAAGAAATAATTTTACGTAGAAATGTGAGAGTGAAAATATGTACGGTTTGGATTAAATACCCTACCAGGACAAACAATGATGAATCAAACATTCCTTCTAACACTCTGACTCATCTGCATCCTATTTAGCTTGCTCGTCCGACTGTGTGCTGTGTGACGGGGTTGGACGCTGCAGTGCGTGTCGTGACCAAACCTTCCTCATGGAAGGATACTGCACGCCCAACTGTGGACACGGATTCTACGCAGACCAAAAGACCAGGACCTGCCACGGTAATAACATGATGTCTGCTTTAAAGAGGGCCTAGAATGCTTTTTGGGGTTCTCCCTTTCCTGTAGTGTCTATATAGGTTTCTGTGCATGTAAATGGTCTGCAACGGCTAAGATACTGAAGTTCTCTCCAGAGGGGGTTTCTCTACCACACTCTCCCAAATCCCAAATAAAGTTGTTTAAAGTGGACCTATCATGCTATATTTGAACAATATATTGTAGGGCCATACCTATATAAAGTATATAAATATAGTTTTTTTTTCAAAATACCAAACAGATCCTGCATTTTAGCCATGCCTCATTTCGCTCTATTTGCTCTTTCCAGCCCTGTTTTTGCAGGGGGCTGATTATGTGAGCTGCAGCTGACCACGCCCCCCTGCAGGAGAGGGGAGCGTGCTTTGAGATCAGCTGCTGGGCTGTCAGAAGAGGGGGAGAAAAAGAGAGGCTCCGTCCTCCGTGTTTTATTATATTATTATATAGAGTCATTATTCATTTGTTTTAAAGCTCAATAAATAACAAAGAAGACCTTTGACCGGCACTTTTCTAATTTTGTCCGGAAGATTTAAACTTTAACGGACATGTTGACCGGCGAAAAAAAATCTAACTGAAACTCTGCCGCACGGTCCCCTCGTTCCTTGGAAGAGGCGGAGAGGTGGGTGTTTTGTCATCTGCTGGTGGACTAACCGGAGAGAATTACAGTGCTTGCCTCGACGGGGAGGGATTGCATTGAATTACAGCAGCGGGAGCAAACGCTTGCCTCGGGGAGGGAGAAAAAGAGCCACAGCGGAGAATAAACAGAAGGGCAACCATGGCAACCATGCAAGGGAAGTCTTCTTCGCTGCTTTTGTGGCAGACTACAGCGCCACTTACAGGCCTGGCATATGTACTACAGCGTCTCCAGCGCTTTCGAGTGGCAATGGCCGGCCGTGGCCCAACCCCACATTCCCCTGATAGGTGGAGAATTGACCACTAAGCGGAGCACCACTTTTGTGACGTAGAAAATAATTCAAATCTGGATCAGTCTGTATCAGATCCGTTGCAGCCCCGTTTTTAGAGATTTGGGTATGGAGGAAAAGAGAGAGGGTTGTGTTTTCTGACACTTGGAACACCGGGGACACATATTCATGTATAAAAGACGTACAAAAGTGCATTTTGCATGATAGGTCCCCTTTAAGTAAAAGATAAGCACATTTTTTTACTGTGCATATCATTTGAAGTTTCATATCATATTGCCCTTCATTAACATACATTATTTTATATTCCTACACAGAACTGTACAGCTCTTTTTTAGAATTGTAGATTTTTTAAAATATTATACCAGAAATGTGTCATATGAAACACTGAAGCAAATTCTTTGTTTGTAAAAGCCTACTTAGTATAAATATGTTTCTGTTATAACACAGGTTAATATCCACTTTATAGTCAGGCTTATCCGACAGCAGTCCAAATAACACTATGGTGAGGGCAAAAAAGCCACATAAATATTGCAAGTTAACCTCAACGCCAATCCACATGGCTGGTTGCTAGGCAACAGGCTGATTAACTAAGACATAAAAGAAAAATACCACAGTCTAATGCTGTGTGAGGTATGGTTGTTAAATGTTAATGTTCCCCCTAAGCTGCAGCTCCTGTAGTGAAATATGTGTCCTGTTCTGCATGTCTGATTAATTTAACAGCAACAAATACACGATCGTTGCTAATTTACAATTGATCTAGAACAAGTCACCTAATGCTGCGATCCTCTTGTGCCAACGATGGAACAGTATCTGGTTCCTGGCTGAAACTCACTAGTAGAGAACAAACATCCAGTTTTGTTTTCCAACTGGCACAAAGGAGATTTAAGAATTTAGCTTGATTGACAGGTTGCTACTCTGCTACACTGAAGGCAGGGTTGTTGCTGCTCCCTGAAGACCGATATGCTAATTAGTAAGCTGTCAATCACAGATACAATACAACTTCTGTATTCTTCCTTTAGAGTTATATTCAAGTTTTTTTAAAGTTTAGCTCGTTTTAGCTGAAAAAAACTTTTGCAGCTTTTTCAAATGTGTTTGAATTTGAAAATTGTGTTGAAGGACTTAAAGGATCAGGAGGTACATATTGAGGAGGAATATTTAATATTTAAATTGTATTGCAACGGCCTTGATTTGAGTTTTGAAATTTGAGCATAGCTACTTTTGAGGGATTTCTTCCACACAGCTCTCGCCATCGAGATGGCTTAGCAGGTGTTAGCAGCTAAAGGTGTTAGCAACTAAAGCTATTATTAGCAGCTATGGGTGTTTGCAGCCAACGATGTTAGCAGGCAATGATATTAGCATTTACCTGTTTGAGCAGCTAATGGTGTTAGCAGCTAATGGTGTTAGCAGATACAGCATAAGAATTAGTATAATTAGTGCCTGGAGGGGAGCATTCAAATTCTCATTCTTTTCACGTCAAATATTTAGATTCAGGGAGATTCTTCATTGATGAAAAAATGTATTTAAATAAAAAACAGATATCAAACTTAAACTTAGCCAGTCAGAGCTAGATTTGAAACATATGCAGTTATTGAAGGCCACAACATAATTAGTAGTAAAAAGTGTATTTCAGCTACGTGGCTCCTTTTTAAATGAACTTTTCAGGTTCAGTTTTTTTACAGAATAGATTGTTTACATTTACTGGCGACATTATTAGTGTCCTCTTCGTAATTGGTTTCCTGAATAACAGTGTCAAATAGTTAATTGACTGCAGAGTCAGGTCATTAGAGGAATCTTGTACTTTTATTTTTTGGCTTTTATGTTCAAACAGAGCTCGTCGATGCCTGAGGCCTTCACAATCAGACTGTGGTTGTGAGATGATTTATGAAACTTGACAAAGCATAGTTATAATAGAGAATTATATTATCATGCACCATTTGTGATAAATGCTTTCTTCTTGTGATATAATGAAAAATGTCCAGCCTTAAGGCTCTAACTTATCCACAACAAATTTGTTTTTCATTTTTATTCCTGCCAGCCAAGAAAAAAGTAGAAAGCTAGTGCTTTTAATTATAGTCCTTTCTCATTTGTGAGTTTATTTACATGGCCGAAAGTTAGAGATTTTAGAGTGCCTCTGGCATCATTAGAGGAGATATAATGAGATTACAATATGGTTTCTCAAAAGAGCTGATCTTTAAAAAATACCCGAACAAAGTCAATTCTAATTAAGGCCAACTTCTAAAATGCCACGCAAAGACCGAAATGTCTTGCTTATATTTCACCAGCCATCTTTCATGCACGCACACACACACTCACAGACACACACTTTTTTACTTCATAACCTTGTGTCATTCCTACTCCCACTCACAGTCTGACCCAGCTTCATTTTTAATTAGATAAATATCAGGATTTGAAATGCGTTAATATATAACAATTTGCGTAATTAGAGGCTGTATGTTTTTCAACCATTACATCATTACAGTATAACAAATTATCTATGAGACAGTTTTTCAGGAAATAACAATTCCCTGTCTTTATACATTGCAATGACTTAAATCTCAGTATTTTCTTCCTTCTTAATGTCTTGCATTTATTTTATATATCAATCATTATTATTATAGTTTATAACTCCTATTTGATTTATTTTGTTTATGAGTTTGTGTACCACTCAACACAGGAAGTATCTAAAAGTGTTAATGTAAATGTGACTTTGTGTGTGATTAACCTCAGATGGAAAACCTTCTTCAAGGTCATAAGAATTGTCAGCAATACAAGAGATCCTTCATTCCGCTTTCATTTCTTCTTATCCTCCCTCTTCCTCTCAGGTAACACCCACCCCCCTGCCCTCCAGGTGAACGGCTCCCTGCTGGTTCCCCTCAGTGGGATTTCCCCGCTGGCCCCCAGCCTGCTGCAGGTGAGGGACCCCGACAGTCCGTCTGAGCGGCTCGTCTTCCAGCTCGTTCAGATCCCGAGTAACGGAGAGCTGGTCCTGTTCAGAGGGGAGGAAGGAGAGGGGAAGGAAGGTCGAGACCTGACCAGGGACGACACCTTCACCTGGGCGGAGCTGAGGACGGGCCGGGTCCGCTTCAGGCACCAAAGAGAAAAAGCCAGGTCAGTGGATCGGATTCTTCCGAGGTTTATGGAGTTGGGAAATGTTTACGAAGCACCCAAAAACTGTTATGACCTAATAGTAAATAATCAGTTCTTCAACCGAAGAGTGAGGACTTCATTTCAGAGTTGCTTTTTGGCAGTGAAATCGAAAGTAAACCATAATTCAACAGGCAGAAAACCCAATTGGTACCCCCCAGAGAAGCCAGGAATACACTGCAAAGTAATTGAGCCACAAGTTAAATAAAAAAATAAATCTGAAAATGTCTTAGAGCCCTCGCTCACTGTATGAAAGCAACTCTATTTGTTGTGTTTCTCCACATATGTATTCATCATGTCCTTTAATTAGTCTACATCTGGTATGAAAAATAATTTTTACTTTTTACTTTTAATTTATGACTTTTTAAAAGTTAATTTAAAACAGATTGTCTTCGTCCTCTCATTCCACGAATATCCTGACATTCCATCTTTGCTGTCATTCGCCTAGCCATCTGTCGTCGGTTTTAATCATCCAGCTTCTTGGTTGGAAATGTAATTTCCATTAACCTACACACAAACTGGAGATGCATTACATTAAAACTTCTTATCTAATAATGGCCACATTTGCATGATTAGCCAGTGTAAATCTTGGTGCCAGAGATCAAAGAGGAGGCTAATTTATAATATTATTGAAGGAATTAATACTGCCTCTTTAGGGCTCAGTCTGAAAACAATTCCCTAACTACAGCTATTATGCTAAATCCTCAAACAAGTCTATGAAATGTTGAGTTTTGGCCCAATGTCCGTTTATCCAATCGGAATCAACATATTTAACACAATAGTCTATCCTGATTCAGCTGCTGTGGCCTCAAATGTAGGCATGCTAGGGAATTACCAAAATATGGTCCACTGCCCAGTTTTGAGCCATTAGATTAATGGAGACAATACAAACCTAAAGCCCTAAATAGAAGCTAATCTGCATATTATAACTGTATTTGTCAAATGATGTGAAGTGGAGAAAACAGAGACACACACAAAATGCTCTCATGTTTGATTCTCTTCAGAGTCCAAGAGAGAGAGAGAAACATTTCCTATTCATGACGGGGCACTATTGATAAAAGATACAGCAAATCATATAATCCTCAGATTGGGTAGGCAGTTTAAGATGAGATAAATTGTTTCCTAAAGAGCTGTTTTTATTCAGTACTTCATCATCAGAACATGTCAATTGACTGCCTTTATTTTATGTCACAAGTGGCATATTTTACCATTGGGGACACAGATTAAAAGCTGCTTCCCTTTTGTCTCAAGGCTTTTATGGCATTAAATAACACCCATTTAAAATGAATGATGCACCAAATATACTAGGCGCATTTATAACCTGCACATTCAATTAAACATATTATTTCTATGGCAGAAATATATTCATCGTGTTACTTTAACAATCTGTCCAATAAATCTTTAATGGACCACTGTTATTCAACCTATAAAAAAAACGCTGTACAAATCCTCAATTATATCTCATATCTGTTGCCAGGAACTGTAATTCAAAAAGAGTTTTATCATTGTTGAAAGGCACTGTGACAATGTGTTATATGATGGATGCATTTTAAAGAGGAACTGTTTTATGTATGCTGGCCTAGTTTTCCACAGAGATGCTGCCTTGTTGTGCATACATTGCACAGATGACGTGTGAAAACCAACATAAAGGGTTTGAGAAAGGTTGGGGCCACCAAAAGCCTCCAGAACAGCTTCCCTTTCATACACTCTCCAAGTCGCTGTGAGAACACCTTTTTTACATTTTTCCAAAAGAGATCACCTCAAAACTATTCAGTAAGCCCGCGCGACTTCTGTACAAGCGTCAGCAAACATTATAATACAGTTCAACTCAATTCAGGAAAAATGAACAAAAGGCGAGCTTTAATGACAAAAAGCTACTTCCACAAAAACTAAACTAAAAGAACACACAGTGTATCATGAGGAACAAAGACCGGAGCTAGTGAGGTGAAATAGGATGTAATAAAATAAAAAATGTGAAGTCAGAAAGTTGATATATAACACTATTTATCCAGCATCTTAACAACAAAAATTAGGGAACCTACGTGGAAACAGACATAATACCCATTACATTAGACAAAGGCTAAACAGGTGTGTTTTCAGCTGCTTTTAAAGGCATCCAAAACTTGGTAAAGGGGTACAGTTAGGCTTTTTGGGGTTCTCCCTTTCCTGTAGTGTGTTGTGTTTTTGTGCATGTAAATGGTCTGCACAGGTTAAAATCCCTGTGTTCTCTGTGTACTCCATAGGGAGTTTCTCTCCCACACTCCCCCCCTCCTGCCTGAAACGCCTCCATTGGACTCTTTTGTTTACTTCCGTATAAAAGTGACATCACTTTGTAACAGTTCACTTCTTTTGACTGGTGCTACAACAAATTGTACGTGATAGGCTAAGGGGCGGGACATCTCTAAGTGGCTGATCAATCACACAGAGCCAGCCAGCTAACCAATCAGAGCAGACTTGGCTCTGGTTCCAGACAGAGGGTGAAAAGAGGTGCTGCAGCACAGGCACTTTTACCCGTACTTTTCGCGTTTAGTTCCGTTAGTGCCTGGAATGTTGCATTCACACCAAAAAGAGAACTTAGTTCCGAGAACTTTTACCCCCATTTGTAGTGCCTGCTAGAGAGGTGGGACTATCCTGGGGAGAAAAAAGTACCAATTTCGATTGGCTGGGCTAATTGCAAACCACGCCCCGTAAAACTCTGAAAAGTTTTGTGAAGCCGCCAATGTATTTGTTGGCATTAGCATTATTAGCATTAGCATTAGCCCCGCGCACAAACGGAGAGAGAATAACTTATGGCAACACAAAAGAAAACATGGGAGCGGTGGAGTGATGAGGAGGTGTCGGCGTTCTGGCGATTTACTCGGAAGGCTTCAGTAGAAGCTGCTGGGAGTCCCAGCAGCTTCTACTGAAGCCAGTCCCCAACTCCGGGGACTTCCGGCCGGGGACTTCGGGTGGCATTATACGCCGTGAAGTGGTTTGCGGCCTGCCAGTAAACCCAAAGCAGAAGAAGAAGAAGTGACGTCAGTGGCTTCATTTGCGTAATCTTCCCTCAGGGAACTTATTCCGGTGTGAACGCGATCTGTACTTAGTTCCATGGGGGTACTAAGTGCTGGCACTAAGTGCCGGGCACTAAGTACGGCAAAGTACTGTGTGAAAGCGGCTAATAAGTCCTTTTTGAACATTAAAGCATGGAGACATGTCACAGTAGAGGCATCAAATACAAATATGAATCTAACAATTAGCATAATAGGGCACATTTAAGGTTTCATTAGTTTGACAAATGATTTTACTGTTCTAACATAAACCAAAGCCACATGTATATTTTCACACATCTTCCTAGTGCACCATTGTAAAACACTTCATAAGTGTCAGCTTGTTCCCATAATTTCCTCTGAATTGTCACTGAAACAACAACCTGCTCAGTCATTTGGATTTCTGCCTCAGTTGGCCCTGTCCCAGCCCCAGCCCTGGGGACTTGTGGGTAATAAGCCTTGTCTTTGATGATGCTGAGGCTGGTGTGTGTGTGTACATGTGTGTGAGGTTACTGTCCTCCACTCACATAGATAGCAGTGAGGTGATTAGATCTAATGACTACACACTAGGTGAGCCTCACCGGACTAATTTTCCCAGAAACCTCAAGGGCGAACTTAAGGGCTGTGTGTGGGTCATGTTCATTCAAAGTAGACCCTTTGTCCCTGTGAGTCTTTTATTCAAGACTGTTTTTAAGTGTTCTTTTATTTATTTATTTTTCTTCCCTCCTGTAGGACCGGGGAGTTCACCTTGCGTGTCGCGGACCCTGAACTGTTCTCCCAGCCCGAAATAATCCAAGTTCAAGCCGTGTCAATGCAGGTACAAAACACTTCTTTCAGCTCTCCTTTTATTTCATCTGTCACTTACCAACATACGTTTTCCAAGAATGACTCAAGACTTTGAAATGCCATGTTTTCATCCATAGACATAATTATTGCATCATATGTAGGTTCCCAGCAGAAATGAGAGACAAAAATAGATATCTAAACCTGAATTCAGTAACAATGTAGGTCATGGAGAAGATAGTATAGACTTTAAGGACATAATGTGAAATGATTGCATTGATTCAAGTTCCTTCCCTTTTGTCAAGGAAATATCTGATGGATTCTTATAACTCAGGGCAGAAAAGTGTTAAACAACGACTAGTTCACTTTATTAAAACAGAAATAAATAAGAATGATTACCAAAGGTGAGAGTAGGACCGATAGATTGAGAGCCTGTCTTCTGGCTCAGCTCTATATTAGTCACAATTGTGTGTTAAAGTGACTGCAATACCGCTCCCCCTGCTCCAGTTCTCCGGTCTTGTAAATGACTATTATCGTTAGTTCCCCTTTTTAAGCAAGCTCAAAAATCATTTGTATCCGACATCTCATAAAGCTTTTGGTTGAGTTTTTTTTCTGTCAATTCAACAGACATTTATTAAAAGCTCAGAAAAACTGGGTACTGTAGTTTACCAAGCTGCCATGGTTGTATTACAGTATGTAGCTAAAAACACAATCAACCACATGAATCTGGGCTGAATATTGTATTTTATTGAGAATAACAAAATATCCAATCTTTTTATCTTTTATAACACTGTGAGATTAGAACATCCAACATGGCTGCCATGTTACCCAAAAACCATACAATAGCCTGTATACAGTAATAATATATCTTGATATGCTTTAACAACATAAAGTAGAGAGACATATGGTATTCAAAACAATACAAAATAACAGAGAAATGTGGGATAAAATCGCTCCACAGTCACTGTGGATGAGCAGAGGGAGCAGCAGTTCATCTGGTAAATATGACAGCTCATCTTTTTAGAGAGAAGCCGTTTCTCATTTTGCTGCATCATCCCAGCTGCTTTCCTCACTGTTCCGAGGCTCTGTCCCAATGGACCGAGGCCAGCACTGTGATTGGTCAATGTCAGCCCAGCGTGACGTGATTGGTGTCGAGATGACCTCTGTATGGCCCAAATATGGAAACAAATGAGGAACGAAGAGAGATTAAAAGCTCTTGCTCTCTCTCAGATTTGTCAAGGGGTTAGTGGAACATCTGTGTTACTCTCCAACGTGTGTGTATGTGTGCAGTAGAGACGACATAGAGAAATGATGTGACAGACGAATGACAAAAAAAAAAGCCGAACTGCAAAAATGCGTGACAAATTGAAGTGATGATGTAATTACCTGAGTGGAAAATGTTTAATTTACTATGAGAAACAAAATCATGTAACTCTGTCATTAGGCACAGCAAATTGTCAAATGTTCCAAATGTAGTTTAGTGCATTATTATAATATTATAAAATAAATACAAATAACACATGCGGAAAGAATCAAGTTTGTGCAGATGAGGAAATGTTTCTTGACTCTGTAGGTTCCTAATCCGTTGCCAGTCTTTAGCCGCCATTGCAAACATTTATATTTGACCATGTTTCTGTAGTGACAAATCTCTGTTTATGGCAGTACGTGAGTGTTTTCTTAAATTCAGTGCGCCTTGAGTAAATTGGTGTTGCAGCCGCAGAGCTCACAGTGCTGCCTGCAGACGGTGATGGAGTGGAGCTTCAGTGTTTGTGTGTGTTGGGGGGGGGGGGGGGGGGGGGGGGGAAGTCTGCTCAATTACACCAGCGCTTCATTAGTTTGACTCTCTCAGACAATATTAGCAGAAGCAGCTGAAAAGGAAAGACACGTAATTTATGCACATAACTCATCGTCGGTGACTGTATTTTGACTGATAGTTATGCCTCCTCCCTTGTCTTGCTTTTGTAAGTTTAATTACAAGAATTCTGTTATTTGTGTTCAACACTAGCCTTTTTGTACACCACACTTATAATTCTGGTGTCCTAGTTCATACATTAATTCCAATATGTGTTCATAATTGACATTCAAGCTAGTGAGGTGAAATAAGATGTATTAAGAAGTGAGAACGTTTTTGTGACCGTATTTATCGAGCATATTCACAAAATAAATAAGGGAACCTACATAGAAACAGTCATAATACACATTTAGGAGGATTAAAAACCCTATATAACAGTCATGGAATGACAGTAAAATATAACGAATTACGCAAAGCTTAAACAGGTGTGTTGAGCTGCTTTTAAAGGCATCCACACATTATTAAAGGGGCCCAAAAAAGTATGTTTTGGAGGGTTTTCCCTTCCCTGTATTGTGTAGGTTTTCGTGCATGTAAACGGTCTGCAAAGTTTAAAATCCCCAAAATCCGTCACCCCCCCTCCCCCCCCCCTTCCGTTGCAGAGTGACATCACTTTGTTACACTCAGACTTCTATTGGCTGGCGCTTCAAAACATTCTACGTGATAGGCTAAGGGGCGGGACATCTTTAGGCGGTTGAACAATCACAACAGAGCCAGCCAATCAGAGCAGACTGGGCTCTCGTTTCAGGGGTTAAAGACAAACCAAGAGTTTTTGAACATTAAAAGGTGCTACCATATCACAATAGATGCAAAAATTACAAATATGAACATGAAAATTAGTATAATATGTTTTTTTCAAGATTTTCCAAGACTGTCCTCAACATCAGAATTTGTTATCTGTTTAGAAGCTTATATAACTTTTATTTGAGTTTTTCCAGGCAAATAATGACTTTTCCTTCAGGAGAAAAGGCAGAAGTTGCATTACGTTGTGGGTGGTTGGTTGAAAAGTATATGTCTTTGAACACTTCCCCACTCCCCCCACAATTCTTCCTTAACTAGTAGTTTTAGTTGGTCAAACTTAATGAAACATTAATTATACAGATAAAAGTCCTGTATTATTCATTTTTGAATCAGCAACTTATGTCGTCCTTTAGTTACAGTATGAGGAGTTGTTGTGTCGTACGTCTTCATCTCCATTGTCTTCGAGTTTATTCACACATTTCTGACAACAAACATTAAGTCATCATGTTGTTTTTCAGTCTTTGAACTCCAAGGAAATGCAGTCGGAGACATTTTGCGATGAGAAATACGCAACCACAGAGTCTCATGTGATTGCTCCTTTCAGTGGACTTCAAAGAGCACCACAAACACTGATGTAACTTCCAGTGTTGTTGTCTTTGACACCGGTGTTTAAACGTGTTCTCATAAATTCCCCTTGCCATTGCTTTGAAAAAATCAAGACCCTTTCAGTGTTTCTACAGAAAGTCTGACACAGAAAATGACAACGTTTGTGGACTTTCTTTAAAGAAACCATTCAAACTTTCTTCTCATTATCAAAAGCACAACGACAGGGAGACATACTAATGATACACTCAGGTAGGTTATTGAAATGAATGCACAGCTATTGTATGTTCTCCCGAATGCAAAAGCCACTGTGAAGCAGGTGACTGTAAAGCAATATGGCATGGAGTAAAAAGACCGTTTATGCTTATGCAGCCCTCCCTGAATAAATAAGGTTGAAAGAAATTGTTGATTGAAATCTTTATCAGATCCCAAGGCCACATAAGAATGTATTAGCCTCTGGAATGAAAGATCTTAACTGCAGATAGCCTTTCATCTTTCTGATAAAAGCTTCTTTTAAAAAAAAGGTTTCAAAGAATTCAGTATCTACTAAGGGCATTTCTTCAGCGGGTGGTCTCACTCACACAAAGCACACAACCTTTTTTGAAGCCCACATTTCCAACTGAGAGTGGCAACCTTAAAGTTTGTAAGACCTTAGCATTGCTCTGGTGATATCTTTGCTCTCTTTGCTGCAACGTGCTTAGATGTCAGTCAATAGTGAGACACTTTCCACCTTGGGTTTGTTTTGTCTTTGAAGTTTAGAATGGTGTCTAGAAGTAAATATATGAGTGTACAGAACAAAAAAGCATAACAAAACCTTGATGATTACACTTTAATGAATAATTTCTGACCATGGCTTCAGGTTAAATCTGGGGAGACAGCTTCAGAAAGTGCTACATTTTAAAAATACCCAAACATAAAATAAACCCTTTTATGCCCAGTCTCATCTCATAGCGTAAAATACCCACATTTTACCAACTTCCACCCAATCTCCCCGGAAGAGAGCAGGAGATTGGGGCGCTTCATGCGCCACAGAGCAACTCCCATAGGAATGACCAGGGCCCTTCTCGGATGCTGTATCCAGTTCTCTTTATACATCCATGTCTCCACCCAAGAGGGGAAATCGACCAAATCAACCCAAATCCTTAACCTTACCAATATTTTCGTTTGAATTCACTAAGGTTAACAACTTTTTTAGTTTAGTTTGACAGTAGTGAAGGGGTTATAGTCCAACAGTAGGCGCGTTCACACCGCAGTACTTTTCCCACTTTAGTTCCGATATAGTTCCGAAATGTCGCATTCACACCAAAAAAATCCGGAACTAAAATTAGTTAAAGGTAGAGTAGGTAAGTTTGAGAAACCGGCTCGAGATACACTTTTTGTTATATTCCATGGAATGCTCTTAACATCCCGATAGCAATGAATATCTTAAGTGCTTTGACAAAAAATCCATTAAAAGATGTCATCTGTGGAAGCCGTAGTACTGTAAAAAGCACGACCAAGCCGGCCCGGCTAAAATAACTGGATGGCCTTCCATCTGTGCACAAACTTATCTCGTGCCCTCATTGGTCATGTGCGCGTTCGTGTGTGTTGGAGGAGGAGCTCTATAAGGAAGTGGCAGATTTTCTCCGGTTGTGTAATTTCAAATTCTAGCGATCTCGAGCCGGTTTCTCAAACTTACCTACCCCACCTTTAATGTGAACCTTTTTACCCCTTTTTCCGTCCCTGCTAGAGAGCAGGTACTTTCGAGGGAGAAAAAGGTTCCTATTTCTGATTGGCTGGGCGGATTGCAAACCACGCCCCGTAAAACTCCCAAAACGTTTTGTGAAGCCGCCATTTTATTATCCTCGCATTAGCATTATTAGCATTAGCATTAGCCCAGCGCACAACTGACCAAGCATCACAAACTGGTTATTAGAGTTAAGCCCATCCCCTAAAATGCACAGAACTAAGAAGAGACTACAAGATATCTTTAGGGAGAGTAGGGCATTGTTGTCAGCGCTTACCATATTCAACCACCTCATGTCTCATTCACATTTAAGGGGAACAACTTATATAATAATAATGAATGTAAACACAATTCTTTTTAACAACTTACAGCTGTCATCCTGGCAGGTTGCCTCTAAAATAAACTGCCTATCCTAGCTTTAGCAGTCTGTGTTATGACTGCATGACACAAAAACATGATTTGAGAGCAGCAGATAAAAGGTGTGTTACAAACAAAGGCTTACATGTAGACAGGGGCGATGGAATCGACTCGGGAAACATCTCCGCTCTGCCCGTCATGTCGTTAAATACCATCCGGCAATGTCACTGGGCAAAACAAACAAAAATAAAGAGCGAATGAAAAACAAACCAACCTGGCAGCGGCACAAACTTTTATCCATCTTCCTAAAGTGCCTCAGAGCCCCATGGGCCCCATTGGTGATGACAGCTTTCTCCCAAACATGAGTCTCACCTCACCTTCACCTGTAAAGTGTGGATAAAAGGTGAACCCTCCTATGTGAGTAAGCCTCGTCTGTGTTTGTTTTGGTCTGCCTTGGGGGACAGATTTCACTGGTTGCCTACAATGAGCAGGCATGTCTTAGCAGGATTTAAAAGCGGCACAAACACACACCCCCAGCCCCCACCAACACATCCAAAACGTTTGTTTCCCTCCTCTGAACTGCAGAAGTGACGACACAGGATTTTGGTGGGCGCTCGAGGGCCCAGTTGCCTGTTTCTTAGAGATTATTCCTCCGAAGTCTAGAAATGTGTCACCAGATTTTCCTCAACTGAACCCAAAGGGCAAGGTGCTGAATAACGACATGCTCCCTCTGTGTTACTTTCAGCCAGTGGTCATTTTGGTTTTACACACGGTGGGAAGTCACTTTTCTCTTTGGTGCCAGCCTGTTTTATACGTCCCATTTTGCTTAAGCTGCTGCTTCAATGGCAAAGATCTGGAGCCTCGCCAGCAGCCGTCGAGGGCAACAAATTGGACCCGGGCCCCGCTGCGTGGCTCCGAGCTCCCAGTCTGACAACTGCTTTGATTTAGGGCCACGGCAGAGTATACGCACCGCATGCCTCTCTACCTGCACCTTCATCGCTGCCAAGCTGCCATGCTAACAACTTTGATCAGAGAGTCATATTAAAATGAGCTGCTTCAATTAACTTTTCTTGGCATCTGTACACTTTCTTTGTCTTTCTTGGTTGTTTTCTGTGTAAGAAATGAAAACACAGACACACAAAAGATGCACCTACACTTTTCCTGTGAGAATTTCTCATTGACTAGTACTAGGCTCAAGAGCTCATGTACGCACAAATGTGGGCAATTATTTGTTTATTTAAACATCGGAAAATTGTGGAAGATAAAACATCTTTACTTTTTATACTTTCAGGTGTACAATCATGTATTCTCTATACATGATACAGCACATCATCTTCATCATCAAGTCCTCTTGTCAAATATTATTGTTTTAAGTATATTTTCAAATAATGGCGCGTTTCCACTACAGCCCGCAGCCCGGTTTAAGAGGGCTGTGACGTCAGCGGCCCGTCTTTGGTTGCGTTTCCACTTGGCCTAGTACCGGCCGGCGGGTCCTAATTCACAGTTTTTCTGGCCTCATAAAATCGTGGGGCCAGGGCCAGAGACAACGAGGCTGAGTCGGGCTGAGTATGCTAAACTAGAGAGAGCGTCGCTGGAAAGGGGGCAACAACTACAACAAGATGGACATATTTGACCGTGATTTAATTGTAATACACGTTTCAAAATGATGCCGAAGTAACAACATACTGATACCGGTTAGTAAAAACCATGAATTAATGCTTTGTCAAGTCTGCAGACAGACGGCAGGGGAAAAACCTTTTAAAATGCGTGTTTTCTAAATGGAGATTGGCTAAGCTAACGCAGTATATGCTCCGACCGTCCACACTCACAACAACGGCCTATACAGACATAAATAAAGCAGCGACTGTATTCACCATGACACAGGCAGTCTGTGGTTTGTACTTGTTTAACTTTTGTCTAGTTTCTGAACATATATGAGGAGCTGTGAGCTCTGAGTGCTAACAGCTAACGGCTGTGTTGTTTTTCTGAGGTCCTCTGAAGATCACGTCACGGCTCCGCCTACACTGCGTTACTATAGATACTGCCCCAGTTCCTAAACTGTAATGGAAATGCGCCATAAAGTGAGCCAGTCCTAACGAGGCCCAGCCATACCGAGCGGGGCCGAGCGAGGCCGTGTAGTGGAAACGTGGCATTAGTAACTTATACTGGGTTAAAGGAGAACGGGCCAAAATGAATTTGATTTTGAAACAATAATGGCGCATTTCCACCATGGCGCGGAGCGCGGTTTAAGCGTGCCGTGTCGTGCCGTGCCCGTTTTTGGTTGCGCTTCCACTAGGCCTAGTTACGGCCCGGCCCGGCCCGGGGCCACTTTTTCACCTCTTTTCTGGCCCGACAAAATTGTGGTTCTATCGGGGCCAACAAACAGGGCTGAGTCGGGCTGAGTATGCTAAACTAGAGAGAGGAGCGCTGGCAAGGAGGCTACAACTACAACAAGATGGACATATTTGACCGTGATTTAATTGTAATACACGTTTCAAAATGATGCCGAAGTAACAACATACTGATACCGGTTAGTAAAAACCATGAATTAATGCTTTGGCAAGTCTGCAGACAGACGGCAGGCGAAAAACCTTTTAAAATGCGTGTTTTCTAGATGGAGATTGGCTAAGCTAACGCAGTATATGCTCCGACCGTCCACACTCACAACAACGGCCTATACAGACATAAATAAAGCAGCGACTGTATTCACCATGACACAGGCAGTCTGTGGTGTGTACTTGTTTAACTTTTGTCGAGTTTCTGAACATATATGAGGAGCTGTGAGCTCTGAGTGCTAACCGCTAACGGCTGTGTTGTTTTTCTGGGGTTCTCATTGAAGAGGACGTCACGGCTCCGCCTACACTGCGTTACTATAGTAACTACCCCAGTTCCTAAACTGTAATGGAAGCGCAGCATGAAGTGAGTCGGCCCTGTTAAGGCCCAACGCGGCCAAGCAGTACCGAGCGTGGCCGAGGCCGACCGTGTGGTGGAAATGCGCCATAAGAGGCCTACTGCTCTCCTCTTTGCTCCTGAAATGACTTAGTTCGCGACAATAAGCTTTCCTCCTGTCTTGACGAAGCATCAGGTTTGGCTGAGTGAGACTTAATGAAGCGCCCTGCATAATCTCACCTTTATCTTCTTCATCTCCCTCAGCGGCAGACACTATGGCACTAACGCCCAGACCTTTTTGGAGAATACAAATTCATCATCTATTTAAATAAATTGTTTTGTCCTCTTGCTATGCTGTCTGACAGCCTTTTAATGGTGAAACTGAAACAGCTTTTTACCATAAAAAAAGAGCTATCTTAAATGAATCTATCTTTGTCACATCTGTCTGATATTTATCAAAGTATGTTCTTTCTCACAGCCTCTCTTTGTCTTTTCTTTATTCCTTTCCAGCCCCCAGTGGTTGTGACTCTCACTCCTTTACCCGTGGAGAGCCGTGGAGCCATGGCAACCATCACCAAGTCGGTCCTACAGGTCGACGACCCCGACAACCCAGCCGATGTTTTGGTCATGGTCCTTGAACCGCCCCGTCACGGCCGGCTGACACGTCTACACGGCGACCGGACGCTCAGCAGATTCAAGCTGGACGAATTGTCACGGGAACAGATCCAGTACATCCACGACGGCTCCGAGGGGGCGGAGGACGGGATGGTGCTGCAAGTCAACGACGGACACAGCTACAGGAATATTCTCCTCCAAGTCCACATCAATCAGAAGGTAGGAAGGACAGAGGGGGAGGATGGGAGATTAATGGCTCAGGGGTGATGTTTTATTGTAACACAAGTCTACAGTCTGTTAGCCAAGACAGACTCCTTTAACTTTGTTCTGTTTCTTACATTTTCTCTTGGCCATGGTGGTCGAAAAACTTTTTTTTGAAGTTCAATTGTTGCCTCCAAAGCTTACACTCGGCACACAAAGATAATAAAAACACGAAAAAATGTATTTGTTAAGCCTCTCTGGGTTTAATTTAGAGTCATCCCGCTGCTCACTGGCTCCATGCAAGCATCTCTGCAGAGCAAAAAGACCTGCATCGATCCTCCTATCAATACTGGATGAAATGTCTCGGTGTTTCACAACTCAGCCAAATGATTGTGTTGCAGCTCAAAGCTCCAGCATCCCTTATACCAACTATAGTTTTCAGACTGAAACGAAAGGGACGATTGATTTTTTTTTTCCCCAAACAGATCAGCTTGAGCCAAAGTGCAGAAGTTCACAACAGATGTGTTAAAACGTGAGACTACGGGAAGGGAAACTGCTGACTACACGTGAAAATAGAAACAAATAAGTCATGCTTTTTATCTGCGGTTCTTTCTACAGATTAAGTGTTCATTTTACATGATTTTAGGGACGGCATAATTGGAATTTATTTTGGCATTTCAGAGACAGAGAAAACTTGTGCTGAAGTGAACTTCATTTTCAAGCTGTAATTGTATGAATACAGGTTTGACTCATTGAAATAAACTTGAGGACTTACTTCTGTATCTTTCCTCAAATTCAATAGATAGGAAGAGAAAGACGTTTAATGCTGAGTAGTCACATTCAAGGTAGCTGCATTAGTGTCAAAAGAAAACTGATTTCTAAAAGTGATTCATTCACCTTGCTACAGAGACGACATTATTCATTCTCTGACTGGCTGTTTGAACATCTTTAACATCCACTATATTCCTCTACACTCTTTTAATTGTCTCAACTTGAGCATTTATCACACGGATATGCTTGACAGTTTCCACACAGTGTGCTTTGTTGACTTTATCCGTAAAAGTCGTTTGCTGGAGGCACAGGCTGATCCCCTCATGTTTAAGCACCGTATCAGAAAGAGCAGGTCAGGCCTTTGAAATGGTAGCCGCTATCCCTCTTCTGTCATCGTTCATGTCTTCTGCTGAGGTTTTTCTGACAAGGACGCAATTATCTTGCAACAGGCACAGGCCACCGTGACCGGAGGGGGGGTGGGGGGGGGGTGGGGGGGGGGGGTGTTTGGCATGAGACAAATTTGGCAGCATACATTGCACTGGAGACAAGGAAGGACCTGCTTTCAGTATTAAATATGTCTAGACAGACAAGCATTAGAGACATACATGTGTGTAAGTTTGTGACTCAGTCTTTGTGGGGACCTAGGAGTAAGTTAAGTCTGAAAAAGGAAGGACCCTTTGTCGAGGGTTTTTAGCAGCGTTTATATTCAAGGTCAGACCAGGTCCCTACATGACATTTTAATAAGAAGTTAAATGCAAGTCATAATACATATTGTATCTCAGTCAGTCCTCAAAACATGCTGAACCAATAATGTATGTTCTTACAGTACAAGGTCTCACATGTGTGTAAGTGTACAAACAAACACAGATAGTATCCCAAAGAAGTTTTCTCCTGCAAGTTTTATACACTGTTGCCCATAAAGTTGGAATCCATTTTGTTTTCAGACACATTCCTCTTTTTATTCCTATTTGATTTTCACTGTGGTATCTTTGGAAGAGAATGATCAATGACGTTTTGAGAAGATATACACTTTAACTGTCAAGAATAAATCACATTGTGCCAATCATTTCATGAGAAGAGGTACAAAAATACTTTATTCCAGCTTTATGGGCAACAGTGTGTGTGTATAAGTGTTTTTAAACTCAGTCTTGGTGGGGACCTAGGAGAAGGGACCGTTTGAAAAGTGAGGACACTTTTAGCAGCGTTTACACACAAGGTCAGACCAGTTCCCTGTATTGTAATGTCTCAAAATATGCTGAACAAAAAAGGTTCTGTTCTTAGAGTACGTGTTTCCAAGTAGTCAAATATTTGTTCTTGTTGTGACTTGTGTTGTGTATTGACAGTTTTAAATCAGGTCTCACGTCTAAAGTATACAAAAAAATACGGATATTATTCCAATGTTTTTTTCTCTGCGTTCCGTGACCAATATGGTTTAAAGCACATTGGTTTAAATTTCATATCATTGAAATAGAAGCCAAACAACATCCAACCTCGTTGTGTGCCAGTTATACTTTTGCCAGAGAAACTTTTCAGTGATATATTTCCTTTGGTTTTGGAGGGCATCTTTGTTTGTATGGCTGCATACAGATGGTTTGCTTCAGGCTCAACTCCTCTGCTTTACCCTTCTGTAAATCAATAACATCCCACTCACAGAGTCTCTCACAGACACACCAGTGTCCAGTTACGGAAACATTTCCTGATGCTGCATTCGGTCCTGCTTTGGACAGAGCAGGATGGACAGCATGATGGAACGCCGAAAGAATTATTTTGATTTATGTCGGAAGCTTTTTGGACGAGTCCCAGCAGTGTTCTCAATGCGTCTGGAAGCCACCCGCCTGATTTACACAGGTAGATGGCTAAAGAATAGAGGTCATTAAGGAAATAAAGGGGTGGGGAGCAGTTACTGCAGTGATATTGTCTGCTGGCAGCACCACAGAAAACAAGAAAAAGGCCCTGTTTCACTGGTGTGAAGCTGTCCAGTTAAAGGGGCCATATTGTGCTTTTTGGGGTTTTCGCTTTCCTGTAGTGTGTTATTTAGGTTTTTGTATATTTATATGGTCTGCAAAGGCTATAATCCCAATATAATTCCCGCTAGAGCGAGTTTCTCTCCCTGCCTGAAAAGCCTCAATAAAACCAGTGGACTCTGGATTGATCTGATGTTAAGAGTACTGTTATGGAATTGTCTGCATGTAAGCACATATTTCATAAGATAATGCCTCGTGCTAATTTAAACATACAATTGCATACCATTTTTTCAATATTACTATTAAACTGGGGAATTTTTATAGTGAAATCCATTGGCTTATCTTTTTTCTTTTTCTATACTGACTCCCCCTCAAAACAAGAAAAGTAAAAAATGTATTCTGCTATTGGATCATTTGAAAGTAGCACATCTGCATTTCCCTGCATGTTTTTAGCTTCCATTCATTAACTGCACTGTGTTGTACAAATGAACATATTATGTGCAGTTAAGTAACATCACCTCACAAGAGTTTTGATATTCAAGTTCAGATTGAAGTTCCAACCCTAGCTGTTTTGGGTAACTGACAACATGCCAAGTCATCTAAAATAGCTGTAACACTGCGGCTGCTGAGGAAGCAGTGTGGCTGCTGAGGAAGCCACTTTTAAAAGTTAATGGGAATAATATGCAAAATCATTCATCACCAAACTGTAGGGAAGTTGCATGGATTAGATTAGAACAATGCAAGAATATAAAAATTGACACAGTACAAACCAAAATTGTACTTAACGTTAAACAAAGACTTTATGAACCTTGGCTTCAACAAAGCTAAAATGAATAAAAGCCCCTGTGCCCTCATATTGGCTGTTTCTGAGTGCCAGCGTCTTTTAGATGTTTCCAATGAGGAGATAGCTCCTACCGTCGCATGAGAAAAAACACTTCACCAAACGTCTTTTTTTTCTGAGTGTTCTGCCAATTTCTGTGTGAAAATATCGAAACTTTTCGAAAAAAAGCACCATTAATGTCACGGTAGAAATTGGAGAAAAAGCCTGTTTTTGGCATGTCTTTCAGACTATCATAACAAAGTCCAAAAAGTCAATTTCTTTGAGCAGATCGACCGGGCAAACACTGGATGTTGCTGCCGGTGTGTGTTCAACTTTTATTGTCCTCCCTTTTCATCGGCTGTCAAACTGAGCGGTGAAGCTCATCCATACAAAGTAGAGAGGGAGTATCTTCCGGTTTAGGGATCTTAGTGAAAAAACATCGTTGTACAAATATTTAATAGCACAAATAAACCATAAAAGGCAAGGGGGCATGTATGTCATACAAAACAGGTGGTCAAGATATCGTTGTAAGGAACGCTGAGTGTAGGCTGTAGTTTTCGGGGCTTGTCCTTCCAAGCCCACCATCCAGGCTGTAGCAGCGGCTCTCAGTGCGAGGCTGTTTCTGGGACAATAGGCCTTGTGAAAGTGGGATTACTAAGCTCTAAAGCAGGAGGCTAATCAGACCCTTAATGACCCTCTGATGGATGGACTCGCTCTCTCCTGAGCCCTGAGCGGAGCTGCCGCTCGCCTGAATAGGAAGCAGGACCCTTGGCTTTCAATTACTGTCACAGGGAGAACACTTTGAGCCTCTGAAAGACCCTCGGGCTCTTCTGTTTCTCTGCAGCAATGGAAGGGAATTAGATCTTTTTTTCTGATCATTCATCCAGCTTTGGTGGGCTAATGGCTCAGCTTTATTGTCAAAGATCGTTTAGGTCTTCTCCTGCTGAGCGCTTGGAGAATATGAAAATTCTTTTTGGAAGATTCCTCTTTTTAGCGATACTGCACATCCAAAGCCTGTGATTACATTTTTCGTTTGCTTGTTTCTGTCAAGCTGGCGGTCACAGAGCCCTGATGTTTACTTTTGCTGCGTGGTCTGATTTCAAGACACCACAGCGGCATGTTTCATTTAGATTAAATTATAATATGTTATAAAGATTCAATCTCCATTCTGTGACTGTCAACGGTTTGACGTGTCCATCACCCCTCGCCTCCTGGAGTTATGGATAAATGAGAGATGACAATGCCACTGTCATTACAAAAGCATGACCATCCTGGCCGGCTGCGAGCCGATGTTTTATGGATGGCGCCGACTCTTTATCTCGACAAAGTCATTTATTTCTGTTTTCGTGGACTGCAGCCAAAACCTCTCCATCCAGTACAACTCTATTTACAGTCCATCTCAGGCCTGCTGGCTCAAAGCCCTTCAAAGGTCTCTGATTATGCACTTTTCATGCATTTGTTCCCAAATGTGCTGCGGCTAAGGAGAGACTAATGTTGTTTAGGTGGTTTTTCCATAAAATACTTTTGGCCAACATAAGGGTGTGAACTTTTTGCATGCTGCATGGGCTAATGGCCTTCAATTAACCCAACCCCCTCACCTCCTGCCTATATTTAACACTAATAGATAATCAATTGATATCATTTTTATATATGTTATTGATTCTCTAAAAGTTGACTGCAATCTGATACATTTGCCATAGGGGCCCTATTTAGCTTTTGGGGGGTTTCCCTTTCCTGTAGTGTGCTATATAAGGTTTGGTGCACGTCAAGTTTGTTTATGGAGTTTAAAAAAGATATCCTTAGGAACGTGATATTGCATGTTTCTTTTTGCATGTATTGTTTATAACCCCCATATTAATTTGACAGCTGCTTTCTATTTTCTTAACTGAGTAAGCACCTTATCTGCGCTTATCTCTCAACAATCTGAAATGAAATCCTCCAAATTCCCTCTCAGAGGTCAAAAAGTAAAAACGTTTCCAAGATCGTTTCATTGTATTGCACCTGTCTAAAGGAGCTGAGACTGTCTTTCTAATGAGGCAACAGCATTCTCACTCAAGAGAAGAAAACATCATTAGATGTGTGTGTTATCCAAGAAAGAACATTAGAACAATGACCAAGTGGAGTTGCAGCTGCAGGACAAAGAGCCAGAGGTCTGGGGAAATCAGGAGTATTGGCACATTTGTAAATTCTTTTTGTTGTTGCTGTTTCTGAGAGTCCTTTAGAGACTTTGGTGTTCATCGGGAGAGGCTGATAATCTCCTTCATGATGTGGTCCTCTGAGTTAAAAGCCTGCCATGCTGACTTGTGTGTTTCCTCTGCTTCTCGTCTGGAATCATTTTCCTGCTGCTACACTGAAATAGTGTGATATCGGATGAGCCGCACGGCAGGCAGAAGAGCCACAGATGGCCGGCAGGTTGTTATCTGCAAACACAGACAGCCACACATGCGCACACTCAAACTCTCACACACCTGGGCACACTCTTGTAATCTATTATCACCCACTGCCACAGTGTTTCTGGCATTGCACTGATCTCCTGCAGAAAATAGCCAATGAACACGTTTTGGGTTAGTAGCCCATTTTCTACTTCTAATATGTTATTTATAAGGAAAATGTATGCTAGAGGGGGTAGGACCAGAAACGTTTTTTTTTTAGGCTTCTTCTTGCCCCTGTTGAACATGACGGAGACTATTTGAGAATTATTATTATTATTTCTTTTTTTTGCATTATTCTTTTTTTTGTACTTTGTTATAATTATTATTATGAGTGAGAAAAAAAAGAATATATATATATTATTATTATTATTGTTGTATGTTATGTTTCTGACATGTTCAATAAATTGACTAAAAAAATAAATAAAATAAAATAAATTAAAAACAATCATTAATATCCACTTAGTTTCTAATAAGCCAACATTGATTCAAGTTATTGTTAATTTAATTATTTTGGTCTTACAACATGACAACCCAAAATGTGTTATTATTTATGTTATAAACGAGCACTTTGCTCTGCATCGGCCAATCCGCTTGCTACTCCTTTCGGACCCAGGTACCCCTAAACTAAAACCTGTTTGCTATCCTTGCCCCAAAATGGCTGAACGAGCTCCCAATTGATATCAGGACAGCAGAGAGTCTATACATCCTCCGTCGCAGGCTGGAAACTCATCTGTTTGGACTTAACCTTGGCCAAACAGGTTTGTACGTGCTCTTGTGTACGTAGCACTTACAAACGTTTGGCATTAAGGGAAGCTAATGCTTTGGCACTATCTTGTTGGGCTGATAGATAGAAAATGTACCTACAGGATTCTTGCTTTTCAGCAAAAAGCGTCAGCTAAATTAAATGTAATATAATGTAATGTACTCATCTACATATATAATGTAAATCCTATTAGAAAGTGGTACCAACGTTTTTTTCAATAGGCAAACGTTGCCTTAAACATGTCAACTCTAATGGTAATTGTATAGAAGTCTATGAGAAAATGCACCACTTCTCACTTGATTAATTACCTCAGTGATACTTTTCGTAATGAGTTAATGGTCTTAACTGCTTGTTTTAAGTCTTGTTCAATACAGCATGTACATTTTAATGTTGGTCCTATTCTGTTTAAAATGGAGGATTTTGTGTGCAGTGTATGGGTGGGGCTACCCTCTGATTGACTGTTTGTTGGTCCATGATTTTTCGTAGATGTTGAATCCATTCATAGTGTGTTTTCAGTTCTGGAGGGTTAATTGGAACATTGTTGTCATGTTTCGTTGTACTTAGCTCCACCCTGTGATGTTGATTTTGATCCCTGAAAAACAAAACTGCGCCTGCAAATGTACCAAATTCTGTGGCTAGCAGTAGTCCCAAACCAATGAGGGATGCCATGGTGGCCACTTCCACTTTTTATATTTGGAGTGTACAGTATATAATGAAATGAAATACTATTGTTGTATAAATGTGTACAGGGACCTTTAATTTAGTCCACATGTATCCTGTTGAGTAAGGGAAAGTCACATCACCTGTGAGCTAATGATGATTTTTTTGTGCATATCAAGAATGTTGGTAAAATAGGATCATTGTTGTCCATTGTTTTCTTAATGTATACGATTTTCCCAGGCAGTATCCAGTAAAAAAATGTTGACAGCTAGATTACTTTTAGATGCCTTGACACCGAGATGTAAGTGTGGAGCTACTGTTTACAGAATAAATAGCTGGTTGTGTTTTTCCATGCCCCAGAAGTGTGTCCTACCTGTTTTTATTCAAGCAGCAGGGTGACACAGTGAGTAAGAGAGTAGGAGGGTCTAGTATCAAACCCTCCCTGACAGCAGGCATCTTCCCTGCTGAAATGTCCTCCAGAGACACTGAATCATCCACAGCTCCAGTGAGCTTGCTGGGGAGGATCCTGCTCTTTGTTCTCTGCTTCGGGGGAGGGCGAGCAAAATGATGAGTTACTCTGTCTCAGGTCAATACAGCATCACCAAAACAAGTGAGATTCCAAAGTTGTGGTCTCAGACAGAGAAAGCACAGATATATATATATGTACTTCCGATTGGTGGAGCTGACTCCAGGCTTAGCGCTGCCTCTGATTGACAGGGCTTTACGACAGGCTCCTGGGACTCACAATCCTGAGGTTACAACAGATGTGGAATCAAACAAGCTGCTCAAACTGTGACAAAACAAAGTGAAAGTGGCATCCGGCTGCACCCGAGGAACAAGGAGTCTGCTTTGATTTCTCTATATACCACATGGGGTTTCTCAGTAATACTCGAACATATTGTTCAGTTCACTATGTTTGAGAGTAAATTTAGATGAATAACCCTTGATTGTGTTACTGCACCTGCGGCTAATTCATGCTAACGTCATTGGCATCTGTTAAGCTCTTTGCTAGGGAAAAAAATGGCAAACTGGAGAGGATATGCTTTAATTGTCAAATGCTAACAAATCATCCTGTCAAAGTTTTCTTGTGGACTTTGCAGAACTGGCTGTATCAAAATGGAGGCCAACCACAATGTTAAAAGTTTTTAAATTGATATTTGTGTGTTTCAGGCTGCTGACGCTCCACAGGTGATGTCCGTGCCAATGACCTGGGTAAAGGAAGGAGGCATGGTGCGCCTGGATAAAAAATACCTGCAGACTGACTACAAGGGAGTCAGCAGCGAAGACATCGTGTACACCATCGTCGTCTCAGACGGACAGCCTAAATATGGTACACTCTTTTTCACAAACATGTTATGCTTTCTCAACAGATTCACATATTTAGAGATCTGGAAGATTGCATAATCTTCATCTTGGCTTCAGTTTGGTTGATTCTTACAAAGATCTCAAAAATGCAGTTTTTTCAGCCACTGAAATATGGATATTTCCTGCTTTTAAAAAATAATATTGTTGGGTTATCTTTTAACTGATATCAGGACATTTAAAAACATCATCTTGGACTTTGAGAAACTGCGATTTTCACTATTTTCTGTCATTTCATAGACCATACGCCTAATCTAGAAAAATTATCAAAAGATGTATCAATTATGATAATATTTGTTAGAGGCAGCCTAGTTATTAGCCAATATAGAAACCCAAAAAAACAGCCATGTTTAATTTTTTTTTTAAAAGCACTCCTGTCCCTGATCCTGGTTGGATATCATCTGGACATTTTTTGATATTAAGTGAGAGAAACAGCTCAACCTTCCCCCTTTCTCTGTCTCAGGTGAGGTGGTGTTGGTGTCCATGCCAGCTGACGGCCCCTCAGAAGGCTGGCGCCCGTTGATAAGCGATGACCGAGGCTTCACGGCCACCACCTCCTTCACTCAGCAGGACGTAAACGATGGCACAGTCTGGTACCGCCACTTCGGCAGTGGTTCAAATAGCGACTCCTTCCAGTTCCAGGTCAGTGCTGACTCGCATGATTTCATAAATTCATTTTTTCAGAATTATTTTGTTGTGCTGTAATTGTAAGTTATTCAGGCCCACGAGAATACAGAGTGTTCAATAGCATATTTTATTATTTTCTTGTGATTTAGAAATGTAGTTGTGATCTCAGTTAAGTGCAACAGCAATGATCATGGACCATCAAAAGCAAACAACATTCACAAGCACATGCGGTTAGATGTTCGCTAGTCATTTAATCTATTTATTTAAGATGTTTTTTATTGAAGAGACAGAGTTGAAGGGGGGAGACAAGAGGTAAATGGTCCTGAGCCGGATTCTAAACCAGGTTCTCCAAGCAAAATAATTACCAAGTCTTAAAGAGGCCCTACTATGCTCTTTGGGTTTTCCCTTTCCTTATCGTTATATAGATTTGTGTGCATGTAAATGGTCTGCAAAGGCTTGAATCTCAAAGTTTCTCCAGAGGGAGTTTCTCTCCCATACTCGCTCCCCTGCCTGAAACGCCTGAACTGCCTGAAATTGGACTCATTTGTTTATCTTCGTAACATGGTGACATCACTATGTTACACTTTCGCTTGTATAGGCTACTGCTCCAACACATTGTATGTGATAGGCTAAGGGGCGGGACATCTCTAAGCGGTTGAGCAATCACAACAGAGCAGGCCAGCTAACCAATCAGAGCAGACTGGGCTCTGGTTTCAGACAGAGGGTGAAAAGAGGTGCTGCAGCACAGGCAGTATGAGAACAATAAAGACCATTGCAAAGTGTTGATTATTGTGATGGCAATAATAAATACTATCCGCTTTGTTGTTATAATTGACGTATTATAATTCATAATTCTAAATTCTCAGAATGAATCTCCCGTAAATCTTCTAAAATTCAACCATATTGATCTTTTTTGGCATAGATGATTTCAAAAGAAAAACAAATGTTAAAGAGAAAGTTAAAAATTGCTAATTGACTTCCTTATTATTGAAATATTAACTTCATTTGTTTGACTTTTAAACTAATGGATAAAGGCACCAGATGAATTGTGAGTTCACCTGCAGTACAGTAGGCCATTATATAAAGTAGTTTGTACACTATCGGGATAAACACAAGACAAGGTTGTTTTTTATCCTTCATTTTGAGTGCGTAGTACTGTACGCATGCAGGTTGGGATAAATCCTCCGTGGGACGAGGAAACCTCAGGAGACCATTAAAAGAGCGTCTCACTCTGAAAGAAAAGGGGGGGGAGATGGTGACATAGATGCGTTTTGTTGCTCCTGTTGTTTTCTCTCTCTCCGCAGTGTTATTTGAAGTTCACGCTGTTACTGGTGTTCCCATGTTCCCCTGTGTTTACCTCTCCTCCCTCTCCAGCACGTCTCCCCCTGGCTTGATTTATTTATTCCTCCCCTCTCCTCCTCTTGTCTCTCCTTTTCACCTCTATCTGCCTCCACTTTGATTTGTATTATTACCATGAAATTGTATCTATGCGGTTTATAGGAACCCTCTCAAATATGTTCTCTGTTTTGTAATACACAAGTTACTGTCTGCTCGTCGCTGAGAAGTTATTGGGGACCACATTGTGTGTTTCCTTTCCATCCTTACTTCTTTTCTTTTCTGCAGTGGATTTGTTCTCCCTTAGTTCAGGCTTTGCTACAAACTTAATGTCTGACTCTTCGGCACTCAAAGCAACTTATCTTGATTAGCACTAATGACCCCAAATTACTCGCAAATTGGCTCCCGATCCGATACAATCCCAGATAAACCGATGCAGCATTCATCACGGCGCAGTTAGAGCGTTTTCATGCCACTCTTCACCTCCGCCGCATTAGAAAAACAAAAGAGGCAGCCAAGATCTTGCAGCGACATCTAATCATCTCTCTCCCTCCGTCCAGCCACCCACATTTTGGCTCCATCCATCAGGGCAAATGTGTTTCAATTACACAGTGCTGGATTCGGATAAAATCCTCAAGTGTCTCATCATTTTGACAGGAAGTAAGAATGCAGAGGGGGGAGAGAAAAGGCCCGGCCACAAACTGGAAGCGTTTGTGCTGTTGTCAGACGTGGTGATTATACTTGACAGTTTGTCAGGGTGGTATTATTGTGCTCCTACGTTTTTTGTCAAAGTGTGTGTCGCCTTGAAATGATTGATTTAAAAAGAATTTCCGCTCCTGCAACTTGGAGCTAAACAGAAGTGGGCCGCACAGCACTCCTTATGTTTTCGCACGCATCGCATACCATAGTGAGATGGTAATTCGATCTCTCAATATGTTGTCCAGAGTGAAAATATGTTCCTTTTATTGAAAATGTGTTTTTTTGGCGAACCAGTGTCTTTGTTGAAAGGGGTAGACGGATGGGATGCGGCAAATACAGAAACCTGTGAGTTCTATCGTCCAATGTGAAAGCCCGGTATAACAACACCTTAGCAGCAGCAGAAACTCAAACAGGAACATTCCTGTTGTGCCACTGTTGAGCAAAGTTTACAAAAAATGCAGCTTACTTTGTTTCCAAGGCAGCTATCAGAAAATAGGATCCGTACACTGTATTAAGAGCTTGTAGATATTTTAATCCTGCAATTTTTCCAAAAAGATCTTCAGCTAGCAATGTCAACACGCTGTCCTATTATTAGTATATTGACTAGTGACTAGCGGCCCATTCATTTTAATCTTTTTTCCTCACACTTGACCTGTTTCTATCATCTGCCTCATGGAATATCTTACTGAGAATATGCAACAAAGAAAAAAGGGACTTCTATATTAAAGAGCCTCATGGTATATACACTAATTAACAGAGGATTTCTTCCCTGTCCCGCATTTTTCACTCAGTTTCAAACTGTACTGGGGTGTTTGCAGTGTCAAATCTTTAGTGTTTTGTGAATCCGACCTTGATGCACGAATCAGAGCGCTGTCTGTGGCCACAATCCGTTATTATTCAATTTAGTATTTAAAGCTGCACTGCAAAAATGCATGTCTCCAGATGGAAACAAAAGTAAACTGTTGCAAAATGAAGTCAACTGCACTCATTTGACCTGATGACAGTAAACTACACACAACAGCCACATCTTTATTTGGTAAACAGAGCCTCATAATCCCTGGAAATTAATGCTATTTTAACTGTTGTGATTTCAAAGAGATCCATGTATACTCCCATTTGCCGTGTACCTTTATTCATACATTGTCTTTTAAGCATTGGTTATAAGTTATTCATTTTGATTTCGGACAGTTGCCTGTACTTTCCATGAAGTGGCAGTCCAAAGGGGGAACATGCACATGTTTTAAGAAACACCGACACACCCTGAGATAAATTGAAAGAAAAATACCCACAATTCCCTGATTTAAGATGTGACACATTTCATTTGTGTTGGTCAGGGTGATTTTTTGCATTAGGGTGTATATAACGTATAATACATACGTGATCTTATGTTGAATTGAATCAAACCAAATAATCCATAATTTCTCTGCCACCGCAACGCCACCTTCTATAAATCCAGCTGACTCACTGACTTTGATGGTAACACCATTACTCGTGATCGATGGCGCTGACTCCAGGCTTCATGCGCTTGTTACATTACTTCTGAGTGACAGAGCTGACTCCAAGTTCTCGAACTTTCTTCCCCCTCAAATGCCAACAAATGCCACTGATGTGACAGGAACAAGCAGCTGCAGAGGAATAAGGAAATGAGGACAGAAATGGTCTTTAAGAAGGAACAAGCAAGACTGCAGTGCTCATGTACAGCAAATCAGTTTGAAAGAGCGGTTATATATTGTGGACAGCTTGAGTAAGAGAAATATAGCACCAGTTTAAGATAAAAGTTACATTAAAACAGACTACTTTAAGAAGCGTGAGCAGAAAGCAGCAGAGCCAAATATCAAAGTGTAGTTTCAATCTAGTCATTTAGGCGGAGGGGATTACACAAATCCAAAAGCTTCTGCCTCACTAATCAGTTATTCAATTAACATAATCTTACATTCTAATTTAAATCATCAGCTGCATTATAAGCAAGGAAAAGAGCAAAGGTCATGACCTCAGCACAGTGCTGGAAAGGGAACACTGTTGAAGAGCAGGAAGACGAAAAAGAGAAAGATAAAAGGGGCTCTATACAGTATACTGTATATATCTTAATAATTAAGTGAAAAGTTTACTAGCCAAACTTAATGTTACACCTGACAACAAAAAAGGGAGAATCAAACATTTAATTACCACTTAACTTGGATTTTCTCCCCTCTGTCGACGTGTTGAAAACCTCTTATATTAAATATAAAGGGGCCATATTGTGCTTATTTTCAGGTTCATTTTTGTATTTTGTGCCTCCAATGTGACATGTCTCCATGCTTTAATGTTCAAAAAGCTCTTTATTTTTCTCATACTGCCTGTGCTGCAGCACCTCTTTTCACCCTCTGTCTGAAACCAGAGCCCAGTCTGCTCTGATTGGTTAGCTGGCCAGCTCTGTTGTGATTAGTCAACCGCTAAGAGTTGTCCCGCCCCTTAGCCTATCATTTACAATAGGCGCGTTCACACCAAGTACTTTGCCGTATTTAGTGCCGGCACTTAGTGCCCCGGCACTTATTACCCCAGGGCACTTAGTACAGATCGCGTTCACACCGGAATAAATTCCCTGAGGGAAGATTACGCAAATGAGCAGCTGACGTCACTTCGTCTTCTTCTGCTTTGGGTTTACTGGCAGGCCGCAAACAACTTCACGGCGTATACTGCCACCCGGAGTCCCCGGCCGGAAGTTCCCGGAGTTGGGGTTAGGGTTAGGGTTAGGGTTCTACTGAAGCCTTCCGAGTAAATCGCCAGAACGCCGACACCTCCTCATCTCCACCGCTCCCATGTTTTATTTTGTGTTGCCATAAGTTAGTCTCTCTGCGTTTGTGCGCTGGGCGAATGCTAATGCTAATAATGCTAATGCGAGGATAATAAAATAGCAGCTCTACAAAACATTTCAGAGTTGTACGGGGCGTGGTTTGCAATTCGCCCAGCCAATCAGAACTGGGGCACTTTTCCCCCCAGGAAAGTACCATCTCTCAGCAGGCACTAAAAATGGGGGTAAAAGTTCCCGAGATTAAGTGCTCTTTTTGGTGTGAACGCGACATAAGGGGTACTAACGGAACTAAACGCGAAAAGTACGGTGAAAAGTACTCCGGTGTGAACGCGGCTAATGTGTTGGAGCGCAAGCCAATAGAAGTGCAAGTTTTACGTAGTGATGTCGCTGTGTTCCAGAAGTAAATCAAGGAGTCCAATGGAGGCGTTTCAGGAAGTGTGTGGGACTTTAAAGAAAAAAGTCCCACTGAATGCTGGGTATTCTTTTAACTTTACTGAAAGATTAGAATGGTTCAAGATGGTTAAATAACACCTTAAATGTACACTTTACGTTTTCAAACAGATACTGAAAAGTAATCAGGGGCTAAGTAGTTGAGGTACGAAAGAATCTGCCTGGATACAGATAGCTACATATGCATGACAATGACATCATTACATCTCCTTTATTCATATTTATTGAAAGTTTCTGTTTTTGTCCCTGCAGTGCAGCCTGATGCTGATGAGTCCCATTTACACACTGTCACATGTTTTCATCACATCTGCTGTATCTCACTTTCTCGAGAACCTGTCATCAGCTCTGTCACTTAGAAATTATTTATAATACCTGAGCCAGTTAACAGCCAAGAAAAACTTTAATTGAGATAATGTGCTGCTGAAAAAGACATCAAACTTCAACATAGGAGAAGTTCAGCTCAGTAGAGGTGAATCTAAAGTGTTTTCTCTAACATAACGTGTGTGTTTGTGTGTGTGCAGGTTTCAGAGGCATCCCAGGTTATTCAGAGCGATGCTCAGACCTTTACCATAGGAGTCCTGCCTCAGAGCCCAGGATTCCCCCAGCTGGCCCCTGACTGCGATCTACAGGTCACGGTAAGGGACAAAAGTTTACCAAAAATCAGATAGGAGTTTGAAACAGTGTAATGTAACAGTACCATTACAGTGGGAGTGAATTGAGTCATAACTCAGCTATGAAAGCAGAGGTCTAGGGGAGAATATTGCAAGCACAAATTCAAGAGAACAAGTTTTGGAGGACCTTAATTTAATAAAAAGAGTTTGGGGACAAAAATGCATGATTGTGCATATGAACAAATACTGTATGTGGGCACCACACTCACTTTTTCCTGTATTATATTAGCATAAATCCCATAAAGTTATGAAATAAAGAAACCATCATCATTACCCATCCATCAAAAGTCCACATTTCTATTTTACTGTCAAATATAATGAATACAATCTTAGCTGTCAGCTGCATACAGATCAAAAAGCTCTTAAGAATAATCCCCTTTTTATCAAATAAAGACAATAGAAAATATCCCTATTGCCCCGTCAACGAGCTGCTGATATTGAAATGGTCAAGTGCGCATGTAACCAAGTCAAGGTGCATTGTGGGACATGTTTATGGAGTGTAAAGGGTCATGGAACTGTATGCATTATATTATTTAGAAGCTCTCGCGGGCCCAAACAAACAATGGGGCGGCCGGATTTGGCCTGCGGGCCTTGAGTTTGACATATCTGATGTCAAGTGTCTTTAACCCTTAAATAATGTCAGTATCCTGGGGGATACAGTCATATGACAGGCTGTGTCCATGTGTAAAATGGGTGTAATAACAGTGTTATTAGGGTGTATTATTGGTGTAACACGGGTCTAATATGGGTTTATTTACAGTGTACTATTTCATTTCATTTCAAACCTTTATTTAACCAGATTGGTCCCATTGAGATCATAGATCTCTTTTTCAAGGGAGACCTGCAGGTTACTATCGGTAAAATAACAGTGTTACACGGGTATAATATGGGTGTAATACGGGTGTTATATGGGTCTAATAACAGTGTAATATAGGTATAATAAGGGTGAACTATTGGGGTAACCTGGGTGTATGAATGTGTGATATGGGTGTAATAACAGTGTAATATGGGTGAAATTTTGAAATTAGCAATCAATATGTTTTCCAAGATATTTATATGTGACCTTAAAACGCCCTATATAAATTTATCATTACTTAAAAGCAACACGTGAATACATGGGCATCAGTTTAACATAAATATTCTTTGTGAATTCTTAAACACATTAGAATTATCCTTGTATATTATTATATTATTGTAATCTTGCATTTGCACTAGAGGCCAACCACTGCTTTAGAAATACTGTCCAATACAATAACACATACTATGAGTACCTCAACAGAACACACCTGTCAGTAATAATTAATGATGTGCAATAACTTTCTAGATATTTATTTTTTAAAGTTTGTATTACTAGTTCTCAAACCTGGGAATTCCAATATGCTCAATCTGGCTCATTGAAGTCAGACTGACCTCAGCTCACTTTATTTTAGACTCCCCTGGTTTCACTGTTTCCATTACTATTTTTATTTCAATTATGGAAGTAAGTCTGTTTCTATTTGGAACTGCACATGGATCCCTCAGCTATCACAACAATCATATGGGGTGTATCGCTGCAGGAAGATAGTTGCTGTCTCACCTCAGTGTGTGTGTGTGTGTGTGTGTGTGTGTGTGTGTGTGTGTGTGTGTGTGTGTGTGTGTGTGTGTGTGTGTGTGTGTGTGTGTGTGTGTGTGTGTGTGTGTGTGTGTGTGTGTGTGTGTGTGTGTGTGTGTGTGTGTGTGTGTGTGTGTGTGTGTGTGTGTGTGTGTGTGTGTGTGTGTGTGCAGGCGCTGGAGGATCGGGTAACAGAGATAACGCCTTCAGCTCTGTCCTTCGTGGACTCTGAGACTCCCAGCGAGAAGCTCATCTACAACATCACCAAACCCCTGCCACAAGGACAAGGTACACACACACACACACACACACACACACACACACACACACACACACACACACACACACACACACCTCGACTCTTATAATGTGAACAGCACTAAAAGGATTAAAATCTAAGTTCTGTCAAGGGGCAGGCTCATTATAATTAACATTAAAGGGCTTCTGACCTTGTGTTTAATTCTGACTATAATATATAAGTTTTATACGCTACCTTTTGTAACCCTTAAAATATGTTTTGTATCCTTAGGGATACAGTCATTTGACAGACTGTGTCCTTTTAAATGTGGTTGTGATAACAGTGTAATTAGGATTTAATATGGGTTTAATTGGGGTCCAATAACAGTTTCATATGGGTGTTATAACAGTGTAAGAGGTGTAATACGGTTGTAATAAGAGTGTAACATGGGTGTAATACGGGTGTGATAATGGTGTAATGGGAGTGTAATAGGAGTGTATTAATGTGTAATATGGGTTTAATAACAGTGTCATATGGATGTCATGTAGACATAAAAGTTGATGATTTAAAATGATTGTATAAGTAATTAAGTAGAAGTTTATTGCCTTGCTCACATGTTTACCCAGCCACAAAAAAGTCAACAACGTAATAACCTGTTGTCCATAAGCCAATGGTTTTTCATTATTGCCTGTCAATCTGAACTTTTACAGGAATAATTGTTGATTTTCTTTTTCCCGTATGCGGCATTCAGAACCGCAGCCATTCATTCCGGCAGCGGGATCTGACAGACTTGGTGTATCATTTCCAGCTCTCCGTCATATGAAAGGGAAAAACGATTTAAAATAGGTCGTATTCATCAACTAATGGGCTGATAAATCTGGGAAGAATTTCTTTTTGAACAGAGCCATTGAGGGGGAGTAAAGAGTCAGATTAAGCAGCAGCCGTTTGTCATGAATGTTTTATTTTCTGAAATTAGATTGGAGACATTTGTTCTGAGTTAAAATCTCTCTCTAAAGCCTCTTTCAACTTTCCATCTACAGTTTTGTGTTATCCATCCAAAAAAACGTTGGGTTTTTGGACTTTTCTCTGTCTGTTGAGCAAAAATAGATTATGTCTGCCCCTCAGAACATACTGTGTCTTTGAGATGCCTGTTTCCTGCTGTGTCTGCAGGTGCGATCGAGCATGTGGACAGGCCGAACACACCGGTGACACATTTCACTCAGGCGGACGTCAACAATGGCAAGATCCTCTACAGACCCCCTCCGGCCCCTTCACACCTGCAGGAGCTCTACCAGTACTCCTTCATTGGTGAGACACACACACACAGTTAGAGCGAGGAGTGTGTGGGAGGGAAAAAACCCAAAAAAGCATAATAGGGCCCCTTTAGGAAAATAGATAAAATAAGTTGCTACTGTATGAAACAAAATACATTTTTAAAAAAAGTCAATGTTAACTATGGTTTCACACGTTAAACTGCAGCGTCTTTGGTAAAAGTCCTGTTTGTTCGACCGAATAATCCTCTATTGGATGTAATGGTGAGGAAAATTCCCCAACAGGCATTATACAAGAAAATATTTTTCATGATGACACTCAACACCTAGTTTGATCTTTCTCATTACATGGATGTGAGGTAGTCTTCTTTGATAGAGCCTTTGCTGCAGGGTCGCAGGTTCCACCCTTTGCCAAAACGGATTTGAACAGTTCACCTTATGGCAATGGCTTTACATATTTCCTTTATCAGGATCTCTACTCCGATATTCTTACACACAAACTTCTCTGCCTCGGTCTACTCTTAATCTAAAGTACTGTCCATTATCCTGCTCGTATTGTTACATAACACACTTATGAATAAATATGTTTTTATCCGCTGAATGTGGATAGTGATAGCCTATGTGAAAATGAACTAAATTTGTTCAGAAAATCTCATATTGCCCAAAATAAAAACACCTTGGTTCACCGTAGGATCTAGTGCATAAAAATAAAGCATCACAGAGTCTGTAAAAAAAAATCTCTATGTAGTCACATGTTTTTGATTTTTACATCCAATCAAACGTAATTAATCTGAACAGGCAGCAGTGGCCGAGTTTATTTTTAAACAGTTTTTAGCTGAGCAGCCACGTCTGCCGTTACCCACCACAAACACCTTCTGTGCAAACCAAATAAGAACTCCAGCTTAAAACACTGAATAGCTTTTCTAAATTCACCACTTAAAACCTTCAGACCTCACAGCATGTTATTTTCAAGTGATTAAGTATTCAAAGAGCGGCTGCAAGCTCTCAATTTCTCATGATGGAATACTTCACCTTCTCATGTCCTGCGTAACGGTACATCTCAAATTACTTCAGTGATTATTAGAGTCACTTTTGGCTCTAGAGCAGCGGTTTTCAAAGTTTGAGGCGCACCTCCCCGGGGGAGCGCCAGAGAGCTTCAGGGGAGGCGCAGCGTGAGAAGAAAATAACGAGAAACAGTGAAATCTAGCTCGTTAACTTCAGCTAACATGGCAGCGGCAACATGGATCGATTTTTTGTGAAGTTACGTAAAGTGAGAGAGGAGACAGCGTCTGGCAGAAAACGGAGGAAGTATGACCACGATTATTTGAAGCTAGGATTTTCATGGACCGGTCCTGGCAGGGGCGGACTGGCCATCTGTGTGTTCTGGAGAATCACAGAACGGCCGGTCGTCAGCGGGCCGGTGACGGCCGGCTCGGTTCGCTGACGGCCGGCACCGCCCTTTATTTTAATTTGAATAATACTTACTTTGATCAAAAGCAAGTACGGGTCAAGGCTGCAGCCAGAGGATGATCTGCGTTTATTCCTGTCGACATTGCAGCCCCGCATCATCTGCCTGTGCGCATCAAAGACGCAGACTCATTGTTCCCACTAAAGTAGGGCTGAGTGTAATAAGGAGGCAAAGTTGACGTTCAGTGTGTTGCCGGGAGCATATAAGGATATATCCACGATGTTGAAAATGTTAAAAATGTTTAAAACATAAAGATAAAAAGGTTTTAAAAAGTTATTGTTTAATGTTTTAAGGAGGTGACGCTACTCAGCCAATCAAATCGGTGCAGTCAGTGAGTCAGCACGGTATATTCAAACACACACAGAGACGAGACGAGAAGAGAGAAACAGTCTGAGTCATTTCAAATGGCGTGCTCAAAAGAGAAAGGTAGACAGCGAAAACAGAGCATTTAATGACATGTTCTCTCACTGGACTTCTTTGAAATGCAATTGAATACCCCTGCATTATAGCAACAACAACAATAATAATAATAATAATAGCAATGATAATTGGGAGGGGGGGGGGCGCGGCTGTTCTTATGTTCTCTGAGGGGAGGCTCACCTTCCCACACTTTGAAAACCCCTGCTCTAGAGGATTGTTGCCCATACAGTAACTTTGACCCACTGTATCAGTTCGTACTGCCCTCGCTGAGCACAGGCCTTCGACCTTGGGCTGCTGTGCTCTGTGTTTTCTCTCCTTAATCCTGCCTGTTGGCGTCAGCTGATAGAGGTGTTACAGTGCTCTGCCTGTTTTATCTGGTTCTGCACAATGTTGATTATTCTCTCTGAACCAGCTCAATACATGGGACTTGGTGGGCGATCTTACCAGTTGGTTTGGGCCAGCGCTGTGTCACCTCCTGGCTCCAGCACATGTCTTTGTCATTCCTCTGGCCGTAACTTCAGTGTTTGCCATCAAGTTCCAGCTCTCCCGTGACTCATTGTGTTTCCACTCCATGCTCCAGAAGTTTCCATTACAAGGACAGCTTTTTAACGTATTGCCTTCAATACAAACAACCAGAGACAATATATCTTCGGTGTGTTTGTAAGCAGATGCTATCATGTGAGATATGGGAACATTTCAAGCGTAATGCACTTGCAACTTCAGTCCATACCATTTTTATTTCGCCCCACAGTGTCGATCTCTCCGAAGGTCATTTGACTTTTAGAGAATTGTTTTTGTTAGTTGTTTACCTTTTTTTAGTGGATGTTTGTCCGAACTGCACAGTATGAACAAGTAGTTTTTTTACATAAATAAAACACCTTCAATCTAACGGCAGTTCTTTTTAAATCAAAGAAAATAAAAAAAATGCAATTAAAAATAAGTGTGGCAGCAAAGCTTCTCTGGGACACAGAAAACTGCCCTTTTTATGTCAAATAAAATAATAATAAAAAAATAACGATTTGAAATACATTTGGCTCAATTTATTTGATTAAAGTCACATTAACTTAAACCGGCTTTGATCAGACGTTTAACAACAAACTTGTGTGAAGAGTATGTTTTACTGTTAGAGGGTTCAAAGTCATATCTTAGTTATTTTTATATTTCATATGCTTTTTAAAGATAACTCATAATCCAAGATCAAAGATGACTTTAGTTTCTCTTAATCTGGGTTTTCTCCAGAGGAAGGCTTTAGAGCAGTAAATCACCCACATTGCCTCCTGACTTTTATGCATTATAGCAACATCGTTCAGTTGTTATGTTCACTGCAACGCCCTGTCAGCTCTGCCTCCATCCACTGTTTTTTACTTTTATCACCTCACAGCTTTCAAATGTTATATTTCTTTTTACCCCAACAGGTCTGCCCGAGTCGCTGAGTGTCTATTTCACAGGTAAACACTTCATTCTCCTCTATTTAGGGAGAAGAAGAGGAGGAAACTCTTCTTCATCCTTCCATCTTTCCATCCTTAGTCTCATTTTCCCTCCTCAGCGCCTTCTCTGACCTCAATCATCTCCCTTATATTTCTACCTGAAATATTGATCCTCTCGTTCCTCAATCTTCTCCTCTTTACTCTCCTCTTTCCATCTTCACTTCCGTTGCGTTTTCTTTTTTCTTGTTTTGACATTTCTCACTTAATTAACTCTTGTTGCTCCTCTTCCCTGACCTCAATTTATCCTGCTTTTTTCTCACTGTCGTCCTGCACTTCCTACCTTTGATTTCTTTCATTTTCTCTCCTCTCTTGATCTCTCCTTCTCTGTTTCCCCTTCATTTCCTTTTAATCTTCACCATAAGGGTCCTTTTCTCTTTCCTCCCATTGGGGTTTTGTCTCATCTTCAGCCTCCCATCATTTTTTATCCTTGCGCCGATGCTATTGCTCTCATCTTCTCCCATTCCCATTTTTCTCTTTCCTATTTTCTATTTTTCTTTACCTCTTCTTCTGCATTTCACCTCGGTCACTGTTGCACTGATCTCTCCAGCTTGTGATCTTCAGATCCTCTCAGATTTTTGGTTCGAAGTTCTTGACCTTTAACCTGAGCAGAAAAACGTCTCCTCTATTAACTGGACGTTTGATAAAAGTGCCTCTGCACTCTGCACTCAATCCTCAACAGAAGTCATTCGGGAAATGAGTTTTTCCCAAATGACGACACCAAAGTGCTTTTAGTATACGACCTGAGGCGCGCACACACACACACACACACACACACACACACACACACACACACATACACACACACACACACACACACACACACACACACACACACACACACACACACAGACACACACACACATAGACACACACAGACACACACACACACAGACACACACACACATAGACACACACAGACACACACACACACAGACACACACACACATAGACACACACACACACACACACACACACACACATACACACACACACACACACACACACACACACACACACAGACACACACACACATAGACACACACACACACATAGACACACACACACACACACACACACACAGACACACACACACATAGACACACACAGACACACACACACACAGACACACACACACATAGACACACACACACACACACACACACATACACACACACACACACACACACACACACACACACACAGACACACACACACATAGACACACACACACACACACACACACACACACATACACACACACACACACACACACACACACACACACAGACACACACACACATAGACACACACAGACACACACACACATAGACACACACACCTTCACTTCTGACTAAGTAAAAGGTTTGTTTTGATGGCAGCCAGTAAGAAGTGCAAGAACAGTTATCAACAGTCTGCTCTGTGGTGGCACTAAAGATACAAGTATATTTACCCAAGTCCCTCTGTGGTGCTTAATTTGAGTATTTAAAATGTCTGCAAGGTTATGTTTCTACAAATCTTAGAGGGAAAAATGGTGTCAAATGATTAGTTGATCAACAAGTACCTTTTAATTATTTTAATCAAATCAAATCAAATCAAGTTTTATTTATATAGCACATTTATAAACGATTTTTGGTCGAGCCAAAGTGCTGTACAAATAATAAAAATACCCTACAGTAAAGACATTTTGCAGCTAATACAACAGCACAGTTTGATCAGAATATCAGTATGAGAAAAAACGACACCCTCTGTCCTTAGACCCTCACATCGTACAAGGAAACACTTCCAGAGAAAAATGGGAGAAACCTCTAAGTATATAAATTATCTATATCTTTTTTTATGAAATACTGTTGGTTCACCATGGGCTCAGGGAAAATATGATGACGCATTTAAAAAATGTCTTGAATTTGAATCAGAGGTTACGCAATGCCTAGCCTATTGATAAGGCTTTCATATTTCATAAGAGCATTGCTTAAAGCACATGCATAGGCCTAAAGCTTCAGTACGTTTAGTATTTGATTCAAGTTTTATATCAAATTCAGTTCCACTAATTAAATGCATTAAACACAAAGTCAAATATATATGGTCTAACCCTTACTTGTCCAGTGACTTACCTTCTGGACAAAGATATCATTGAGTTTGTGTTTGAATTTCTTCTGCGAGAGCTAGCTAAACGTGGAGGGAAAGCAAGCGTCAGTTACATATTCTCAGACACCTCCCCCCTCAGTGAGGCAGATGTGTTCGCTGCCTCCCCGGGTGCTTTTTCATTACTGTTTTATGAGGAGACTGGCAAGCCTATATATATTTGACACATATGTGTTATAGGTTACCTGGAATATGGAAGGGACATCATGTCCTGACAGGCAGCAGCTTTTTGCCAGCGCTCCATACAGTTTCAATCAGGCATGATAATTGCAGCGTCTCTACGCTAATTTTGCAAATTTATTATAAGAAATGATGATTTCATGCAGAAATGGCATGTATGACACAGATCAATGGAGAAATCTTGCATGAAAATTATTTTTATTTTACTTTTTGTTTCAGCCATATATGACAGGTGACGCTCACATTTTGCACAAAGACACTACTTATGGTTCTGTTTAGATCAGGAATGCGTATATAGATCTTTTGATATACTTATTTTGCAACAAAATAAGGAAAATGCTGCTTACATGTTTAAGTAGCAGTCGCTCTGTAAAAGGGCCCATTCATTGCAATGAGTAGTTTAAAACTCAATTGAAAGAGTATTGGAAGTATATCGACACATCAAATTCTTAATTTCCCTTTTCAGACCAAACTATTTAATTGTTCACCAGGAAAACTTATAAAAGTAATACAGTACATTTTTATATCCGAATGTGATAATTGGTTTCAGTTAGCTGATGTGTGTTCTTGTTGAAGTGCCAAGTGGAGCCAATGGAGCTGAAAAAAAACCATTTAACAAGTTTCCACCTGAATCCCTGATCAATTGTTTCCGCAGTTTGGTTAATTGATTCGTCGAAATGTTTAATTGAAGCCCCTGTTATCGTCTGTGTTTTCCTTTCTTTCCCAAATGAATAAACCTGTGTTAAGTGATTAAACTGGAACAAACTGATTAGTTTTTACCTCCCAGTTTTACTCATTCAGAATAATCCTCAGTAAAGCAACTGTGGAGATAATTAATATCAGGTGTGTGTTTTTCTCTCAGAAAGTCTTTGTTTAAATGATTACTTTACTGATTTCCCTGTGTGTGTTTTCTCTGCCCCTGTTTACTGAATGTGTGTCGCAGTGTCTGACGGTGAACACACCACTCCTGAGTTGGACTTTGCCGTCCTGCTGCTGTCCAACCATCAGCAGCCGCCGGTGTTCCAGATCCTGGACCCGCTGCTGGAGGTCAGCCTGGGAGGAGAGGCCAACATAGGTAAGAGAAGAACACACACACAAACACACACACACACACACACACACATAATCACACACTCACACACAGCCCGTAGGAAGTGAGTCGGGCGTTAAAGCACATTTTTGTTGTGGCACGACAACTTCTTTGTCAGTCATTTAATCAACCCAACAATACTTTTTTCCCCACATTGACTTACATTAGGAAAGAGGCTTCTGTAAATCAGGTATTCTGCCTTTACTGGAATGTATGAAAGATTTCTAGCTTGGCCAAAATGTGGTTTTTAAATATTGCATAGAGCTGACCATTAATGCTAACTCAACATTGAAATTCCCCTCTAAATGCTAGCGTGATTAGCATTGCCATTGTTTTAAAGTTTTTACACATAATTATCAGCTTTTTTCAACAAGTGTTGCAGGTAAATATAAAAACAGAAGCTAGCTGACTACTTGAAGACATGTACGTCCTCAGGGTTCAGTAGGGAACAGAAGAAAAACAATGGTTGTTTTCCATAGACTTTGCTGGAACAAGGAACTACGGCAAGCCTATATAGACAAACAGAGCCAAACAGGCAACCCTCTGCCAACCCTCTTAAAGTCGCAGCACATCAAGGTTTTATTTTTACGGTACATTTACTTCACAGTACGAACACTTGCATAGCCCTTATTTAAATCATAAGGCAGATTTATTTCCCCTCTCCATTAATTGGACTGAGCCAAGATCCGACATGATTATGCACTGACGGAGCGGATTGAAGGCGGGGCTTAAGGAGCACAATTGTGCGTGCATCTATGGGCCCCGTTCTTGTGGAAAATAGCCGGAAGACCCAACGCTGTATTAGGTTCTCTTTATACATCCATGACACACACACACACACACAAAATACACATTTCCGAGAAGACCTCCTTTGTTGAAGAGGTCCAGTAAGTGATGAAGTGGTCTCAGCGATGTAATGAGGCCTGAAGTACGACCCTGATGAGCAACAATCCTGAATAAAGATCTGTGTGTGTGTGTGTGTTTGTGTTTACAGTCTGGTACAGACACTTCATTTTCTCCTTCTCCTGCTTCATCTCTCTTAATGCTCCTTTCTTCATGTGTGTGTGTATGTGTGTGTGTATGTGTGTGTGCGTAGGCGGTCGGCAGCTGGAAGTGAGCGACGCCGACACGGCTCCTGATGAGCTGGAGTTTGAGCTGGTGGAGGCTCCCGTCAACGGAGAGCTGATTAAGACCGATGGCGGCACACACACAAGCATGGCCAACGGTGAGATGATAAACACACACACATGCTGTAACACACAGAAGAAAGTAGACATCATGCAGGGAAAGAATCTGCTGTGAGTATTTCCTTCAGCTGTTCAGAAAGATTCTTAAAACTGGAGGGCGTTAATGATCTTTTTATTCCAAACACCAACGCTTTAATACCTACAACATCCAAGTGATGCAGGGTTAGACATAGATGTGTTTGTATGTATCGTCTTAACTTTATTTCAACAATATCCAACAGTGATTAACATGTACGTCTTTTTCTTTCTTCCTACATTATATATTGTTCTTGAAAGATACTGGAGGCAGGAGCATATGATTTTTGGCGTTTGCATCAGATATCCAATACAATCTCTTTATATAGTGAAAAATATAACATAACCTTACATCATTCACTTATTGACTCTGAATCTGTTCTTTGGAGAGTTGGGTCATCATGGTCTGAGGCCTGTACTACGAAGCTGGTTCAACCTAACCTGGATATATGAGTTAGCCGGTTGGCCCAATCCAAAACATACGCGCTCTGGCTAAACTGTACTACGACGCTGGTTATCAAGTGGATCGCTCAAGCCAGCCATGTCCTATCTAGTTAGGTGCGCGTTCACATGAAAGGAGTGGTATTTGGAGCATTCGACCAATCACAAACATGGACAAGCGTACTGACAGCGCAGCGTCATACTTCCTGAATGAAAAGTGAACTTTAATATTAGTCAAATATGAAGACGTTAAACTTTAAACATCCATGACTTAAACACTTTATCCAGGATAAAAGCCACATAGCTGCACCTGCAAGGTGAATACAGCTGGTAAAAGAAAAAGTGTTTGAATGCGTACATTAACAGGTTTATGAAATCACTGGCCCGTCTAAGACACTAGTGGATCTGACTTTAATTACATTTGACTCGAGTGTTTCATCAACTTAATGTGTTGCTTAAAATAATACTTCTGCATACAGTATGTGACACTGTGAGTGTTGCACGGCCAGATACGGCTCAACTTCTCTACTTTCAACAGCACACGCCCACACCTTGTTCTATATCCTGGTTGTTTTGAGTTGAATTACCATGGATGCAAAATGAGGTGAAGACTCAAATATAGAAAACATGTTTTGCCTTTAAAAAGACGTCTCTCTTAGGAGATTAAAACTTGTACTTGTTATTGTATTATGAAGTTGTCCATGAACTCTCTGAAATCTTGACTGGCAGATTGTGTATTGTATTGTAGCTACACATTAAACTCAGGAGTTATAAATAAAACTCCATCAAACAAAGTAAACCCTGCGATGTACAGTACACTCAGTAATAACACATCTGTCAGACAGTAAAGTCACACACCTTCTCTGTCCCTTCAGGCGACATCTTCACCTTCAGCGACATCACACTCAACGTTCTGCTCTATCGACACACCAACCTCGCCACCCGGGATGACGCCATCACCTTCTCCGTAAGCGATGGCATCTCCATGGCGCTCATCGTGGTGCAGGTGGCGGTGCTGGACGTCGGGGGGGAGGGGCCGCAGCGGGACCCAGCAGCTACGCTGTCTCTGGAAGTGGGCCAGAAGAGCAGCACCGTGATCAGGCGCTCACACCTGGCTTACACTGTGAGTTAACAGGAGACCGATGCTAGCTTTAGCTGTTAGCCTCTTCTAGATAGTACAGTATACACTTATTTGTATTTATTTGATGGGGTTAGGGTTAGGGTTAGGGTTATCCTGTTTCCATTCCTCTTTATATCAATGAGTTGTTAAGATGCTATTTCATGCTGTTTTTGGAGAAGAAGCTAGTGAAGCCCAGTCGAAGCATGTAAAGCATGAGTCAGCAGTATTTATCTTTGATGATTAAAGATGTCTTTACTGTAGATACAGGACATCATGTGTCATTTTAATTGTGTGAATATATAAATCTTTGCTAAACTTTCTTTTAGCAGGATTCACATGTTCATCTCCTGGGTCAAGCTTAGCAAACAAGTCTATTTTTATTGAAACTAAACTAAAACTAGAACACCTATCTGTTTGTTTTGCTGTTGAAATGAGTTGAGGATAACACTAACATGTTTTAAGAAAAGTGTACTTGTTTTGCCCTTAATGCAGGGCAGAGACAGAATCATTTCATGATGAAATGAACAGTTCTTCAAACTTGTAGTGTTGACGTGGTTTTGTCTCTCATAGGACAACACGTCCCCAGATAACCAGATTCAGATCCAGTTGGTGTCGGTGCCGATGTACGGCCTGCTGACCAGGAGCCATTCCCAGCAGGAGCACCAGGAGCTCAGGGAGTACTCCTCCTTCACCATGGAGGACATCAGCGAGCACCAGATCAGGTAGGAGAGTCAACAGGCAGCCATGTTAGAGGGTCAGAGTGCTTCAAATCTAACACAGATTTTAAGTCATGAAGAGTTTTACGATCTATCAGTGTGTTGGCCTTCATGGTAATACTTGGAGTGTGTTTCATCTGCTATTTTGGCGCAGTGGGTTAGAGCGTTGATCATCAGATCAAGGGGCGTTGGTGAACTCCGGTTCGAAACCCGCCCCCGAAACACTGCATCAGGCCGTTGTGTCCTTGGGCAAGACACTTCACCCGAATTTGTTCCTGTTGGTAATGTCCACAGTAATGACTCTTACATGTCTAATATGTGTAATGTGTAATTGTAAAGCGCGTTGAGCACCTGCAAAAGCGCTCTAATAAAAATAAAAATAAATGTGATGCATTATTGTGTTTATCAAAAAGCTGTGACCAGGTATAGTCCAATGGGATTTGGAAGTATTTTCGTTAGCTTTAAAGGCAAGGGTCTCTAAAACTTGCAATAAAAAAACGCCCAAAGGAAATCCTTGGTTTCAGTGGAGGGATTTAGTTTCCCATGATGGTTTAAATGCTACTTCAGTGGCTTATAAAACAGGATATCAGCATAAAAACCCTGCAGCTATTAACCGAAAAATAACTTTCAAAAACCCTAAGTCGTATTGAGAAGCACTTCTTGTATCAGCAATAAAGGTTCATGAGGGTCCATGGGAGGGAAGAGAGCGATTGAACACTTTTAGTTAGTCAAATGTATACTAATTGTAAGGGATTAAAATGTAGGTAACACTTTATAATAACCATTGTTCATAAATGCTGTTAACAATGAATAAACACTAATTAAAAAGGATCATGTGTAATGCTATAGCTTGTTATTTTAACAGTTTTTTGTTGCACACTTAATAACATTTTATTCCGCAAATCTAAAACAATATTTACATGACAATTATAAAGTTGCAACTGAATAGTTAAATGATTAAAAAAGTACTTGTACTTGAAAAACTCTATAAAAAATATTTTAATCATTATGTCGATGGTTAAAAAAAATGTCTGGTCCCTCTACTCATCCAATGTTTATAGTTGTATTCTAAACGATTTTTAAAAGGTTTACAAATCATTTTATATCATTAAAAAATACTCAATATAGTAAATAAAATGTTATATGTGCAACAATATAATGTTTATGAATAGTCACATTGAACTCAGAATGTTATTTGTCAGCTTTTATACAATACATACAAGAAAACTATTTCTTATCATACTAAAGAATGTTAAAATGACATAAATCGTGGCAGTACTAATAATGGGTTAACTTTATTAGATATAATGTTATTGTTTGTTAACTATTAACTACAGTTTAATTAAATGAATGAAACTTCATTTCCGATTTAGGAACGATGGCTATTATATAATGTCTAAAAAGGAGAGTGTTAGCCAAAATAATTATAACCCCCTCCGCCCTCCAAATTTCTCAGAATCGTATTTTAATCTTAAATGTATCCAGGATCTTTACAAATATGTAGGGCTGCACAATTAAAACATTTTGAAATGGCAATATGGCCAGTTGCAATATTTAAATCTCAGTAAGCGCAATATTTGGTAAAGGTCAAATATGAGAAAATGAAGTATTGTGATCGACTCCCGCTTCCATTGGTTAACACTCCAACACATTGTACGTGATAGGCTAAGGGGCGGGACATCTCTAAGCGGTTGACCATTCACAACAGAGTCGACCAGCTAACCAATCAGAGCAGACTGGGCTCTGGTTTCAGACAGAGGGTGAAAAGAGGTGCTGCAGCACAGGCAGTATGAACTAAAAATGAGCAAAATATGCCCTTTTTAATAAAAAAAACGTACAGAACCTCCTAAAAAGATAATTATCTCTAGTATCTCAAATCATCACGCAGTTGCAATATCAGCCAAAGTAATTGCAACTTGTTATTTTTTCCAAATCCTGCAGCCCTCTTCAAAAGGGCTTTCAGTGGAGTCCTTCAACAAAAGTAACAACCTGAAAACCGCTTATATGGAAGTCAAGAGCATAACGAGTGATGTTTCATAAAGAGGCTGTTTTAATGGAAAAGTCTGCTGTTGATTCCACTCTGCGAGAGATATAGGGTTCTTCAGGCTGCAGTTGCTATCACGATCAATTGATCTGATTGAAGCTCTCTTCCTCTCGGCATCACCGCAGCAGAGGCATGGTTATAGCTTATTGAGACATTTAGTTTTCCTTTAATCTAAGGTTCCTCCTCACAAGACGAGAGTTATACAAAAGTTACCAAAGCCAATAAGATAACATGTAAATAAGCAGGAGTATTGTTTCCTTTGCCCCATTACTTCTCAGCCTGTTGGCACAAGCAATGCCAATTAGCAACATTCTGAAATGACCTGCAAGAGGTACTGAGGCCCCATAAGAGAGTAGATTAAATATAAATATTCAACTGCTTCATTTCCATAATGATTAGCTTTAGCACGGGACGCTCTCCGGGGGCTAACTTTAAATCACCCATATTAGTTTATGTCTCTGTGGTGTTGTCTCGTACAAACAAGAGCCGGGAATTGTTTTAGAAGATTTAAAAGTGATTAAAGAAGAGTACACCGGTATAGTTTTCAATTTGATTAGCGCTTTGCAGAGATTAGCAGCTGTATCGTCCTGGGAGGGCTAATGCAAAGCTCTCCTATCAGTCCAGGATTAGACACATAAACTGATATTTATGTATTCATTAAAAGATAATTATCGTGTCAAACAAATAAGTCTATGTAAATCTTTTTTAGACAACAAATCAAACCATTAACTCTATCTACAGGTACATTACTTCCATAGAGACGGGCAGCCAGCCCATCACCGACATCTTCCACTTTGTTGTTTACGATGGAGACAATAATCGCCTCGACAACCAGATGTGCACCATCACCGTTACCTCCACGCCAAGACAGCCACCCGTGGTGACAGTCAACAGCGGCATCAAGGTACTCACACACTCACATACACACATGTACACTGAAAAAAGCACAGAGGAACACGCTCTCACATTGGCACCCTTTTAAAGTTATCCTATCAAAAGATTACAATTGTATGGCTGGTGTACAGTGCATTAACGCTTTTAAACACACATACTGCACACCGTTATTTCCTCTCCATTACCCTGCCAGCTCATAAGAGACTACAATCCTCAAATACGTTTTTAGTTATTTTCACAGCAGCTGCCACATTCAGAAAGAGTCATTAACGGGACAAATGAAGCAAGGGAAACCGTCGCACACTGTCCTGTTTTGTCCCTCAGATAACAAACCCTGGTGACAGTGGTGGAATGTAATTAAGAACATTTACTTAATTCACTTTTTAGCAACTTACAGGCTTTTATGCTTCACTACAATTATCTGATAGCTTTAGTCACTTCACACTTCAAGATGTTGTCATCCAAAACAAATGCAGAGCTTTTAAAATGTGTTTTGTTGTAGTTGACTCATCAATAGCCGATGGACAGAAAAAGTGGTACTGGTTCCAGCTTCAAAGCTTTGCTTTTAAAGGTGTCCTATTGTGCTTTTGGGGGTTTTCCCTTACCTGTGGTGTGTTATATAGTTTCTGTGCATGTAAATGGTCTGCAAAGGCTAAAATCCCAAAGTTCCCTCCAGAGGGAGTTTCTCTCCCACACACTCCCCCCCTGCAACGTCTCCATTGGAATCCTTTGTTTTCTTCCATGACAACATGACATCACTATTTAAAACTAGCGCTTTTATTGGCTAGCGCTCCAAAACATTCTACGTGATGTGCAAAGGGGCAAGATATTACTGACACATCTCTTATCGGTTGACCAAATACAGCAGAGCCGGCCAGTTAACCAATCAGATCAGACTGGGCTCTGGGTTCAGACAGAGGGTGAAAAGAGGTGCTGCAGCACAGGCAGTATGAGAAAAATAAAGAGCTTTTTGAACATTAAAGCATGGAGACATGTCACAGACGAGGCACTGTACAAATATGAACCTGAAATTGGCATTATATGTCCTCTTTAATAATGTCAAATAGTAATAACGTTAGTGTTGACTTTTTGTTGTAAAAACAACTTGATGGTGTAACTTTTGACTGAATTGTTCAATATTTTTACAAATTACACCAAAAAAAAAATCAATAACTGAGAAAATAATCAGCAGATTCATTCTAAATGAAAAAAAATTAGTTCGCAGTTCTGTGCCTTTTATTATCAATAAAGGCATTATTGTGTTTGCATTTTTTTCCTAGTCCTAGTTAACTATTCCCAGGAAGTATGCGTCCTTCAACATTCCATTATTTTCCTTTGGCAGTTAAAAAATGTGAAATATGTCTTGAAGAATGCACAACAGCACAGCGAGCCTGGCTCCAGCTGTGTGGGGGAACGTGGTGGAGGAGAAGGAGAATAAATGTCAGACCTAATGAGGGTCACACTGGTGCTCCCTCAGAGCCTCCCTCTGAGATGAGTCCTAAATAAGCACCGTAGAGCTGCCCGTCTTGAAAGATATGAAGTAAAATCTCAAAGGTCTTTACTTTAAAACCTCTTATTGGGTTAGCTGGAAGGGGTTCTTTTGTGGTTGTACACAGAGAAACACATCTCTCTGGGAGAAAACTGCCTCAAAATACAGCACTAAGTGGAACTACTACAGTGGTTACACCTGTTAACAGTTTGAGTAATTTTGGCAAACTTAAAAAACAACATTGTGAAGGTGGAAGCAAGTTTCAAGCAGCATTTAATAATGTGCCCTGCTTTACCCGGTTCACATTTGTATTTTGTGCCTCTACTGTGACATGTTTACATGCTTCAAAAAGCTCTTTATTTTTCTCATACTGCTTGTACTCTTTCCGCCCTCTGTCTGAAACCATACCCCTGGATATGTTTGTGTTGTCTGCCTTAATTAAACCTGACAACTGCAATCCTGCCAAGCGCTGCTACGACGCAAATGTAATGACAGTCATATTGTTTTGTAGATAGGCAGTGATATTCTTTTAGTTTACAGATTCACACAGTCCAGGATTTATTGCCAGCGGTTGTTCTGCATTCAAGCTGTGTTTCCTTTTGCCTTTTGCCTGGTATACTTTATAGCCTAAGAACATGTTATTTTAAAAATCAGTGCATCCGTCTTTTGACTTTGATTGGTTTTCTGCACAAGTTACCATGGAGATCTACCCTTGTAAGAAGTGAAGCACCATCGTAGGACTGAAAATTAACCCTGAACTTCCTCGCTTTCCAAAAATCCTGCTTCATGGTACAGGCCACAGGAACAACAGAGCTTATCTTTTGAGTTTTCTGTTGTCTAGGTCCAGGAAGGCGGCCGAGTGGCGCTGTCTACCAATCACATCCTAGTGTCAGACCTGGACACACCCAGGAAGGACCTGCTGGTTTGGATCATCAGTCCTCCAAAGTACGGCTTCATTGAAAACACCAACAGAGGTGAGGCCTTCCTGTATGTATGTGTGTATTTGTTTAGTAGCATTGTGAGGAGCTAGGACGTTGTTTCTTTCCTTCCCCATGTGGTCCGTGTAAAGTTACAAACCAGAACATGAACAGGCGAACAGTATGTGCATGCATGAGCACAGGTGACACAGTGCTACTTCTGTGTGCATGTACACGGTCACACCTGCACCCCCCTCGGAATTATTTTCACATTTCTATTTACGTCACACTCGTACGCACACAATCCCGGGTTGAATTCCCTGCGGTGCCGCTGCCATCTGTCGCAGTGTGATGATGTTGTGGATTAGGACACAGCTACAGATGGATCCATTGTTGAAGCCCAATTCTTTGACTGCTCTGAATTGCAGCTGTACTTTACTATGTCCCCCAGAGAGACTGTGGAAAAAGGTGAGATGATTTGAAAAGGAGCGTATCCCCCCTGGGTAACTGTAAGAGCAGAATAAAGTCAAAAACCAAATAAAACCTTAGAATATACTCAGATTTAGAAAAAGGGGCACACTAATAATAAATGTGTTTGAGTTGCATCATGGGAAATGTAGGATCCTGTTAAGCAATGATTTGGACTCCAATGCACGACTCGACACAAAAGTACAGAAACAAAAGTCTTTACTTAATTAAGGAAACAAATAAACAATAAAAATGACTCTTTTGGAATCTTGGCAAAGGCAGAAAAGGTGACTGTAACTTAACACGTGAACAAAACATCTACACACGTACTATACACTAAACATACAACATAAACCTGATAACTAACCAACTTATCAAGAGCAGACAATAACTATACATGGCAAAAATGTGAAGCCGTGATGTTACAGATCCAATGTCGTAGGGCTTGACCTTTACTTGAAAATGAAAGTTGTATATTTTCAAACTTGGCTGGTATATTTTTTTAATCTAAGTTCTACAACTTTATGGAATCTTCATAGTAAACTGTAGAGCTTAAACAAAATGACTAACAATATAAAACTTTTACTGAAAAAAATATTGACTCAATATTCTCCCAATCTTTCAATCACATTCTCTCATTGGTCGTTTTATCATCACATGACCTAAAGAATACATTTTTGATAACTTATCCATCTAAATGGCAACTGGCAAGACTGGTTTAAGTTGGTCAATGAACATTAAGTTTAACCGCAACAAACACAGCCCCCTCCAGCAGCCGCTTCTTTTCATTTTTTAATAACAGATGTGAAGCCATAGTAATACAAATTAGGCTCTGCCATATTACATGCAAGAAGGAGTTATCAGCAGACCTAATGAAGGACAAATGCACAGAGGCAGATATTTATATTGTCTGCTGCAGCTGGCTCCAGTCTTGTGTCTCCATGTCCTTGAAGGCTTCTGGAGCAGATGGGCCGTCGTTGGTATTCAACGGAGGGGGTCCGCAGTGTGAGGGGACTGGGTTGTCACTGTCATCGGGGGCAGAGGGGACGCAAGCCCATCAATGTGTCCCCTGTTCGCCTCAGCAAATCCAACATGCATAGGTTATATGTTGATGTGCAGATGCAGGGAAGCGGCAAAAAAGCATTCACCCACATGTTGATGTTCTTCATTTGCATGATTGCATTACAGTTATTCACACACACAAACAGACATACAGAATAGAATGCACACCTACATACATTTGGTGTATTTATATGTAAACCGCTTCTAGCAATACATTAGCATTCAAATGTGCGAGCAGGCACACATACAGACACCAGTAAAAGTATTCTCTAATATTTTGCATTAGAATCATAGCAGCTGGTGGAGAAGCATTTAAACATTTACATTTTAAAATAAAAGTTAGGCTATGGTTGTCAAAGTTAGTTGGTATATCCAGAAAAGAGTGAAGATTTAAGAATTTCCTTCATTCAATTTGCTGGGGAAAATAAGTCAAATTAAATTAAAATATGTGTTTATAGGCATAAAGGTACACGCTTTTTTCTGAATGCTTTCCATGCTGTAAGACATATTACACCCTCCATCGTTTTTGGACAACAAAATAAATGTCACACACCTCACACACACACACACTGTTTTGAGCCTATTCAATGTTGGACATTTGCAAGATGTCCTAAAGCACCACACTGAGACTGAAATATCAAAGTTAATTAACCAAGGCCAAATCCAGATATCACATAATTGTATTTGCAATTAGCTCAGTCAATTCATGTTCGTCAGAGGATAAATGTACATCTACAAGGGCTCGAAAATGAAACATTTTTAAATGTTTGTTCCAACACCCATTTTCCAGTTGCTTCCTTTAAAGCAACTGAAAACATTCAAAGTCTCAGAAATATTTAAAGGTACAAAAATCTTTCACTCACACCCCTTTTCTTCATATTTCTGAGATATCCTGTTGTTTACTCATTTATATTTCAAATCAAGATAATTATCCCATCCTGATAAGAGGCTCTCTTCCCTCACCTTATAACAGCCAGATGATGGAGACGCGATGTGATTTACCCTTCTGCCTGAATTACACAAACAAGTACACCTACTCACATCAGCTATTCCCTGCGGAGCCCTGACTCAGCTCACTGCGGAGTCATCTGTCTCCTTTGACAAAGACACTCACACTTTGTCTCCAACTTCAGATATCTCTCAAGGTTGATTTTGCACTTTCGCTGCGACTCTCCTCTGCTGCCACGAAGTCGCAGAATAGACGGTAACTGTAAAATGGCCTCAGCGCATCTATCCCGCAGCCAAACTGCCAGACAAATGTGACTTAAGGGAAATAAAAAGGCTGTTTGGGGACACGAGACAAGGTTTGCTGTCATCCCAGCTGTCAGAAGCAATAAGTGATGGCTCTTTAACTGGACGCCTGAGAGGCTGGGGAGGTCTGTGTTTCTGTACAAAGCACTACTGTCATGTGACGCCATAACTGAAGATACAAGACAAAGGGAGAGTTTCATAATAAGCAGTGACAAAGTCTTAGAAGTTATGTAAAAAAATGTTTTTTTTAAAGAAATTGTTCCCTAAAATGTAATGGTCTGGAGATAAGTTAAGAGAGTCACTTGTTCTTCAGGCTGTAGGTCAGTCCCTAGGGTTAGGGAATCTGATGGTCACTGGTTGAACAGAAAAAATATATATAATATATATATTAACCTTTTTTAAGTTCACAGCCTACCCTCACACTGCTCGCGGGCTCTGAACTATGGCAGCCCTTTCGGTTTGACCCCTCTCCCTTAATGCGTACGCATGTACTTCAGGTCTAATATGGTTTGTGCATTCATGTACTTCAATTGTGACTATAAACTGTACTTCCCCTGGTGGATTAATAAAGTATTCTTCTTCTTCTTCTGTCTCTGTTCTTCCGTCCACCAGGAGGCTCAATTGGCGGCTCGAGGGCCATCACCCCCGATGTCCCCTTCTCAGTGGAGGACCTGACGGCTGACCACATCTTCTACGTCCAGGACAGCCAGAAAAAAGCTCCGGCCAAACAGGACGTGTTCAGCTTCTACATCAGCGACGGACATAGCCAGACGGAGGCTTTCAACGTTGAAATTGACATCCAGGTAACTGTGTTCCGTAACTCTTGAAATATTGGAGCAAGTATGCTTTTTGAGCCACATCTTATTACATTTTAGTAGTTTATGTAAGTTATATTGACATTTTCAGTTTGACATCACCTGGTTACAGACTTGGTCTTCAACACCATCCATCAAGCCAAACTTTTTTTCTTTACATTTCACATCTTCACCCATCAAAGCACACACATTGTCTGTACACATGTGTGCGTCTAACACAGGGGTGTCAAACTCAAGGCCCAGGGGCCAAATCCGGCCCGCGACTTCATTTTATGTGGCCCCACAAGAGCTTGCAAAGAATATAATATGTTTATTATACGGTTACATGCTACTTTACAGAAGCACTTTGCCCATAAACGACATGTCCCACAATGCATCTCAAATTTGACTCTTGATCAGAATTTGACTTTTTTTGTCCAAATATGCCTTTTTTCTTAGAATTAGCCTTTTTCTCATAAATAATTTTTTTTTTCAAAATGTCACTTCTCTTTTTCAAAATGTCACAATCAATGTTTTTCCAGAATGTGGCTTTTCTTTTAAAATCATATTGTGACATTCTTACTGAAGAGACTTGCAATTATTTGCTCTAGACTTCTGCTTTCAGACGTAGTTAATTATGAAGTTATATTAATTAATGAAATAGTCTTAAAGTTACAACCGGCCCTTTGAGTGCAACCATAATGCTGATGTGGCCCGTGATGAAATTGAGTTTGACACCCCTGGTCTAACAGGAAGGAAGCACATTTTTTTGAGCTGCTGACATTTTCTTCAGCAGTTCCATCAGTCCTAAATATCTCTCTAAATACTCCATACACTGGAATACCATTATCATGTTGATCGTGAAAGTAAAATATATAAAATTAGATTTTAGACGGAGTTCTGCCCTATGGAGTTTTTAGTAAAAGTAAAAGTTAGAAAAGCAAAAGATTATTTTTAATGTATTACCTTTAAAAATGTAAACCCTAAGGACCAAAACACCATGGATACGATAGCTGCTCTGTGTCATCAGGAACACTTTGAGCTGTTTTTAGCTGGGACTTTTCAGCTTTACGGACCACTACCCTTGATCTGCACCTGACTAAGAAAAATAAAAAGAGCTCTGTCCTCCGGCTGTCGGCCTAAACGCACTCAGCATCCATATCAATCACTGAAGGCTGTTTAACGCCTTGAGTTGAATTGATGAGGCTCTCAGTGAGCGCGTGTGTGTGTGTGTGCACATGATCTGTATACTGCATACTGTAAGTCTTTGAGCATGTGTGTATGAAAATGTAAAGGTGAAAGTAAAAAGTGTGTGTTTATATAAGTGGTGTCAATTGATGAAAACATTTAATTGTGTAATCACAATATTCATCTGTGACCAATTAACAAACATTTACTTTCAGGGGAGATACAGCAAATACAATTGAAATGAGTTGCATCGTTATAGTTGTACTGATAAATGTGCTGGTAATTTATAGATCTGTACTTTGATCTGTTATATAATTGTTAGTGTGACAACCTGTTAGGATGCGTGGAAAGGGTAGGACCCAAATGCAGACTACAATAAAAGGTAAAAAGGTCTATAAACAAAAAGCGAGCTTTATTTTAAAAGCTGAACAAAAACATGGCATGAAACACATAGGTAGCACAAAAACTGACCGTGACTGACATGGAGGGAGACAGGAAAAACCAACAATGAACCGACACGGCACACAGGGGAAGACAAGACTAAATACAGAGAGGGGTAATCACAAGACAAGACACAGCTGGGGTAAGGGAGGCAGAAACACAAGGGCAACAGGTGAACACAATCAGACAATCAGACACACCAGGGAAACTAACGACAGGAAGGCAAACACAGGAAGAAGGAACAGAGAAGACACAAGGAGGAAACATTTCAAAACAAAAGGTGGAAAATGAAAACATAAATACAAAACCGTAACAGAACCCCCCCCTCAAGGGACGGATTCCAGACGTCCCAAGAAAACCCCCAAAAGTCCAAAACCTCTAGAAGGGTGGGCGGAGGGGGCCCGGAGGAGGGACGCACAACCAGGACCAAAAGGGTGGGTGGGTGGAGGGGGTCCGGAGGACGGGCCCGGAAGGGGTCCCGGGCGGACGGCCCGTGGGCAAGGCAGAGTCCAAAAAGGGGCGAAGGCCACAGCGGGCGAACTCAGGGGCCCGGGCATGAGAGCGAAGGCAGTGGCTGGAAGAGTCAGGAGGCCGGGCTCGAGGGCGAAGACCACGGCTGGGGAACTCAAGGGGCCGGGCTCGAGGGCGAAGGCAGCGGCTGGAAGAGTCAGGGGGCCGGGCTCGAGGGCGAAGACCACGGCTGGGGAACTCAGGAGGCCGGGCTCGAGGGCGAAGACCGCGGCACTCAGGGGGCCGGGCTCGAGGGCGAACAAGAAGGCGTCGACGGGACAGCTCCGGAGGAGGGGCAGGAAGGCGCTGACGGGACAGCTCCGGAGGAGGGGCAGGAAGGCGCTGACGGGACAGCTCCGGAGGCCGGGCAGGAAGGTGCTGACGGGACAACTCCGGAGGACGGGCAGGAAGGCCATGACGGGACAGCTCCGGAGGACGGGCAGGAAGGCGCTGACGGGACAGCTCCGGAGGCCGGGCAGGACCCGTTGTCGGCCAGACAGGAACCGGAGCCGACGGAACAGGCGTAGACGGGATCCTGGACATGACATGGACTGGTGTCAATGGGACCCCGGATGGAGCAAGGGCTGGTGTCGACTGGACCTCCAACGGAACAGGACACAGAGTTGGCAGGACCCCCGGTGGAACAGGTGTCGGCGGGACCTCCAACAGGACAGGACACAGAGTTGGCAGGACCCCCGGCGGGACAGGTGTCGGCGGGACCCCCAACAGAACAGAACATGGAGCTGGCAGGACCCCCGGCGGGACAGGTGTCGGCGGGACCCCCAACAGGACAGGATATGGTGTAGGCAGGAAATCTGGTGGAGCAGGTGTCGGCGGGACCCCCAACAGGACAGGATCTGGTGTTGGCAGGAAACCCGGCGGAGCAGTAGTCGGCGGGACCCCCAACGGGACAGGACATGGGGTTGGCAGGACCCACAGCTGAACAGGTGTCGGCAGGACCCCCAACGATACTGGACGTGGAGTTGGCAGGACCCTCAGCGGAACCCCCAACGGCACAGGACATAGGGTTGGCAAGACCCCCGGCAGAAGAGTAGTCGGCGGGACCCCCAATGGGACAGGACATAGAGTTGGCAAGACTCCCGGCAGGATAGTCTTCGGCGGGACCTCCAACAGCACAGGACATAGGGTTGGCAGGACCCCCGGCAGAAGAGTAGTCTGCGGGACCCCCAACGGAACAGGACATAGGATTGGCAAGACCCCCGGCAGAAGAGTAGTCGGCGGGACCCCCAATGGGACAGGACATGGAGTTGGCAAGACCCCCGGCAGGAGAGTAGTCGGCGGGACCTCCAACAGCACAGGACATAGGCTTGGCAGGACCCCCGGCAGAAGAGTAGTCGGTGGGACCCACAACGGGACAGGACATAGGATTGGCAAGACCCCCGGCAGAAGAGTAGTCGGCGGGACCTCCAACGGCACAGGACATAGGGTTGGCAGGACCCCCGGCAGAAGAGTAGTCGGCGGGACCCCCAATGGGACAGGACATGGAGTTGGCAAGACCCCCGGCAGGAGAGTAGTCGGCGGGACCTCCAACAGCACAGGACATAGGGTTGGCAGGACCCCCGGCAGAAGAGTAGTTGGCGGGACCCCCAACGGGACAGGACATAGGATTGGCAAGACCCCCGGCAGAAGAGTAGTCGGCGGGACCTCCAACGGCACAGGACATAGGGTTGGCAGGACCCCCGGCAGAAGAGTAGTCCCCAGTGGAACCTCCAACGGCACAGGACATAGGGTTGGCAGGACCCCCGGCAGAAGTGTAGTCGGCGGGACCTCCAACGGCACAGGACATAGGGTTGGCAGGACCCCCGGCAGAAGAGTAGTCCCCAGTGGAACCTCCAACGGCACAGGACATAGGGTTGGCAGGACCCCCGGCAGAAGTGTAGTCGGCGGGACCTCCAACGGTACAGGACATGGGGTAGGCATCGGCCGGAGAGCCAACAGGAGACGAGGTGCTGGAGTCGGCCGAACCACTGACAAAACACGGGGGGTTGGCGTCGGCCGGGGAGCCAGTACTGGAGCCGAAACTGGAGCCGGAACCATGGCTGCTGGGGCCGGAACTGGGGCCGGAACCATGGTTGCTGGGGCCAGATCTGGAGCTGGAACCACTGGAGCACGGGCTGGAATCTTGGTCTTGCGTCTCCTAGAGATTATTTGGAGGATCTGTGGGCCTCCCAAGGCCTGGTCATACCCCAGGAAAGGGTTAGAGGCTTCGGACAAGTCCTCAGGACTACTTGTGAAAAGTTGTAGCCACTCAGGCAACATGCTCCTAAGCCAGGGCTGGCGAGCAACCTCCTGACGTGCCTCCTTCAACGCAGCCTCTCTACCACGTCTAGAAGAGGCGCCATTCCAAGTATAAAAAATGTACTCCAGAGAGTACCCAAGACATTCTGCCTGTAGAGCAAAACAATCCGAGTCTGCTGAGTCCAAAGCTGGTCGGTTCATTCTGTTAGGATGCGTGGAAAGGGTAGGACCCAAATGCAGACTACAATAAAAGGTAAAAAGGTCTATAAACAAAAAGCGAGCTTTATTTTAAAAGCTGAACAAAAACATGGCATGAAACACATAGGTAGCACAAAAACTGACCGTGACTGACATGGAGGGAGACAGGAAAAACCAACAATGAACCGACAAGGCACACAGGGGAAGACAAGACTAAATACAGGGAGGGGTAATCACAAGACAAGACACAGCTGGGGTAAGGGAGGCAGAAACACAAGGGCAACAGGTGAACACAATCAGACAATCAGACACACCAGGGAAACTAACGACAGGAAGGCAAACACAGGAAGAAGGAACAGAGAAGACACAAGGAGGAAACATTTCAAAACAAAAGGTGGAAAATGAAAACATAAATACAAAACCGTAACACAACCCTTAAGAAATGTTTTAGTGTTTGTTGATTGTTATGTGTGTACCTGCCAAAGGACTGCAGATGGAAATTAGCATTAGTAATGTATGATAACATCACAGCTTAGTTTGAATGATTTCTGAATTATTGGCATAAAGTCAGACAATTTTCCAAAACGTAGCCAAAGCATGGATGGATTTAAAGCTGCTGTCACCGACTGCCGCTGTGATTGCCCTCCGTATAATGTATGCTACATATGTAATACACTCCTGGTAAAACTGTTGCTGGGTCTATCATGCTGCAAGCACTATATGTTCCTACAGTGGCAACCTTGCCCACTATTTCCTACTCCAGTTGTGCCGTTACACCTTGGTTCCTCAGCTGTCTTTGCCTTTTCACTGGTAAACAAATCCATGCTGGAGTTACGGGTGGAAGTTGGGGTCTTAGTAGTGTGATTAAATTGTGTTCATTTTTCCAGCCTAGTTCATATAAAAACTAACAGACATGTCAGTTAACAAAAAAAGTAGTAATGTAAGACATATTAGGAATCTTAGAGCATATCATTATGCATTGATTTATTTGTTTCTTCAGGAGAGTAAAGAGGACAGAGAGCCTGTGGTGGCAGTCAGTAGCATCCACGTGGAGGAAAACTCCGGAGTGGTCATCACCAACTCGTCTCTCAGCGTCCTGGACCAGGACACACCGGACAACGAGATCCTGTTCACCATCGTCAGGAAGCCTTCCTACGGTAAGCACTGTTAATAACACACACACACACACACACTACTGTATAAAGGCTACAGCCCAAAGCAACAGCCCTGCAATGCTGACAGGTTCCCTTTCCTGTAGTGTGTTATATAGGCTTTTGTAAATGGTCTGCCAAGGCAAAAATTGGCCAACCATTTAGAGATGGGGGAGTGTGTGGGAGTTTCTCTCTGTGGGAGGGTGAAAAGAGGCCGTATATACAGGCCGTATGAGAAAGAGAAAGACCTTTTTGAACATGAAAGCATGTAAACATGTCACAGTAGAGACACAAAATGCAAATATGAACCTGAGCATCATATGTCCTCTTTAAATAGGCTGCTGCAGGCCACCTTTTTTGCTATTGACCACAGCACCTGTGGATTAATTCCTCACCAAAGATGTTATGATATACTAAAGTTAGGTCCAATACAAGATGAATAAAACCACATTTGTATTAACTTTGCCTCATTTCACTCTAAGAAAAGAAGAAAGCCTTGACGTAGTTCAGGAATTTGAGTGAGTTTCAGCATAGAAGACAATCAGTCACGAAACTGTAATAGCTGTCAAAAAGCAGCTGACATAACATAAGGATGTTGTTGCTTTGAAATAAATAGAGAGACAAAGAAATGTCTTGATTTGAATTCACAGTTGCTCAGAAGGCAGTCATTCAAGTATTTCAGTTTTTCATTCAAGTATTAACAGTATGTGTTATCATTTTAACCAGCCATTAGGCAGTTATTATGGCATCATTATAACTGCCTTTAAAATATAATGGAGATGTCAGCTACGGCGGTGCTTCAAAACAGATCCTCATGTTTATTAACATACATACATAAACATCATTTACTGCAGGTAAACATTGGAAAATTATGCAAACAGATGTGCGGTAGATATATTAGCATATATACACACATGCATACCCCTATACACATCATGTATCCTAACAGACACACACACACACACACACACACACACACACACACACACACACACACACACACACTCACATAACCAACTGTTTAAAAGAAGACAAACACACTGTTGTTCCACTGCAGCGGGGTGCTGACTGCACCCATTCCTCACACACTCGGAGCACACGACACACACTCAAATCAACTGACCTCCAAACACTCTGTTTTCCCTGAAGCACCCTCTCCATCTCAAATTGAGTTTTCTCTGCTGTCCACCAAAGCTTGGTTGGCTCAAACATATTGCTTCACAATAAAATGCAGGATTAGAATCATGTCGAAGGAGAGACAAAAAACACTGTTTTGCTAAATGTTCTAAATTTAAGAGAAAAAAACCCACAAAGACCCAATTAGAAAATGTTTCTTGTGAATTGTAGGAGCCTAGCCTTAATGGATTAAATTACGTTTCAGCTAATGTTAGCACAGACACGTAAGCTTTAATGGATTTACTTTACCATTCAATTATTAGTGTAATAAAAAGTAAGTGCTTTATTATAAAGAGAGAGAAAAAGAAGATCTCGTATTTTACTATGCTGGACATATTCGAAGCAACATATTCTCAGTTAGGTCCAATTTTGTTTTAAGGGGAAATTCCAGTTCCTGGAATCAGTTCTAAATCACACAGGCCCTCTACTGGCCTCTATGGGTAATACTCCTAACCGATTACCCCCCCATGTGTTTGCTGCCTTATACACTGTGGGGTCGACGCATGCAGTTGGATAGGCTCATCCCGATTGGCCTGCTACATTAATTAAATGCAAATTCAGTGGGTGATTGCATTCATGTTATTGGTGAAGTTACCCAAAAAAGTCCAACAGAGGTCTAGAACTAGGGTTACAATAAGTAACCATGGTTTTTTTAACCAGTGGGAATGGGATCATGTTTTAGATGTTTGGCCATGTGGTGGAAAGAACCTCTGTCTATTTAATTCCTAACCAATCTGCATACGTTTATCATCTTGTGAATATTAGGAAGAATTCCATCTTGCGAAATACCTCATTTTTGAACATAATACACTTTTTTCACAAAAACGAATGTAAAAACAACATTTTTGGTCTTGATGAAAGAGCCAAAAAGCCACTTAAAAAAAATTATTCCAAACAAAAAATATCCAATTTGCTACTTGCTTGGTGTTCTTTTCAACCTTTTGCCCCCTGCGAGACTCCTGCTTGGGGACATAGCTCATACCAGCCCCCCCTGTCCTCCATTGCCCAGTAAAAGTACCATAAAGCTGCCATTGAAACTGAGTGCACCAGCGCCATAAAACCAGCAGGGTGTACGGCTGATGGCACTGAGAGCAGGAGAGGAGTGATTTCATATAGGACAATGAATCCCAGACAGATCATCTTTTAACAAGCTGCCTCTCCACTGCCCTCACACACACACAGACACACACACACACACACACACACACACACACACACACACACACACACACACACACACACACAGACACACACACACACACACACACACACACACACACACGGAAATGTGCACAGATTTATCAGAGACAGTGTGATAGATACCGTTTCCAATAAAGACATCAGGAAGCTACAACTCTCCTGCACACTTTGGCACACAGATGCCTCATGCTATCAAATTTTTGTCATGTCAGCATAAGGTGTCAATGGAAAATAATGGGTGGTACTAGTATTAAGTCCTGGAGTTTTCAACACATTATTAATCAAACTATTACATAATGTTCAAGTATTTTCATACATGAACAGTACAGTAGATGGTACATTCAATGTATTTATCAACAGAAAGCATATCCAAACTGAATGACTTACAATTGGAAGCACTACTGTAAATACTGCACAAAAAGGTGCTAATGCTTAAATGCTAAATATATGTTTGAGGTTAATTAGGGACATCACCTCTATTACACACTGAAATTGTTACACTATGGACAAGTCCAGATCAGTTCATATCTAAGTAAGGGTTTCATTTTTATCTCATTCCCTCAGGAAAACTCCGCAGACGGCAGTTTTACTCTCAGCCTCTGGAGAACGGCCGGGTCCTCTTGCAGGGCTCCACCTTCACCTACCAGGACATCCTGGACCAGTTGCTTGTCTACACACCTGAAACAGTCAGCGGGGGTGCAGATGAAATGGGTTTCACCCTCACCGATGGCATCTATACACAAACGGGCCGTCTGGAGTTCACCATGGACGTCAGGAGGAGCGAAGGACCCCACATGACCGTCAACAGAGGCCTGCAGCTCCCAGCAGGTGAGAGTGGATGGGAGGACTTAATGTTGATAAAAGGTCTCAGAGAGTCTTAAATGAAGGGTTTAAAGGGAGGTCCAGAGACTTAATACTGTGAATGGTTTCAGGATCCTCGATTAAGATCACAGAGCAGAATCTGAAAGGTACTGACATCGACTCAGACAGCCTGAAGCTCCGCTACGTCCTGACGAAAGACCCTCCGGCCGGCAAACTGCAGCTCAGCCAGAGCGGAGATGTGGAGAAGATTTCTGTCAAAGGTCCCGTACAGAGCTTCACTCAGGAGGACGTCAACAAAGGTGTGCTTTTATGATGTTAAAACTTGTGATGTAACTTTTATGAAAGCTAAAGCTATTTATATTATCCGTAATTCTGCTGAAGTCTTTGCTCTTTCCTCAAGAAACATTTTTGAGAAGCAAAGTGTATTTGTTGTATAAATGTTATTGTGTTATACATGAAAAAAACCTGTTGTTTATGTAGGTTTACATCTCAAACCAGTGGTAATGTCAGTGCTAGTATTCATCTAAATTTAAAACCACTTGCCCATAAACCCAAATACTTCCAGAAGATATAGAGTGGTGCAGGAATGAGTCTTAAAACCCGGATATGAGTCAGCATTTGACCACTTCCAGTGGCCTTGACTGCACCACTCTTGCACTGTAATACCAAAAATATAATTTTGAACATATTCCAGTATATGTTGCATGTGCATGGAGCTGACATTGGGTTAACACTGTCCCTCCCTTGCAGGCCTGCTGCAGTACAGCCATGAGAAAGGGGAGAAGGGGGGCAGCCTGTTGTTCAAGTTCAACCTGGTTGATCCCGAGGGCAACAAGCTGATCGACCAGTCCTTCTTCATCAGCGTGCTCGGTAAGGCTTCCTCATTCCTCTGTTAGCCGCTGTGCTCAAGCAACATGAAGTGTTGCGTCATTTGGCGGAGAGAAGAGGGCGATTACTACAGAGTTATCCCTTCGCACCTTGGACAAATCCTGAATGTGAATTGCGCATAGACACTGTTGTTGCATCTGAAATAGCTTTAGGTCAGAGATGATCTGAAATTGGTGTAAGAAAACACTTATCAAGCGTATTTTAAGGAAGAATTTCATTCAGATGTAGCCCATTTTAGGAACAGATGTCAGTGTCTCTCAGTTGGATTGTTTCTTGTCGATTGTGACGGTGAAACCTCCACCAATACTTCTCCTTTCCACTCACTTCCTTCTTGGGACTCAGCAGATACAATCCACACTAATACAGCTGCTGCAGACTGAAGGAGTGTCCCTCTCGGTTAAACATGATGCGCTCATATCTTTCCCAGTTAACGTTTTATCTTGTTCTCCGTGTTTCTCTCTTATGCTCTCTCAGGCGTGGCCGTTCATATCCCTTTCAACCACACTGCCCTCTGATTACTTCCCTGCTCTTCCGCTCAATCTCTCCCAGCCATTTGTCCATATTTCTCAAAGCTGTATCACTCTTTCACAGCGACGTTGTACCTCCTCCCTCTTTGCTGTCACTGAACCTTATCTGTTTCTGGTTTTCCACTTGTTGTTGTCATTTCTCTATTTCCTAATACTGCTCCTGTTATCTTCTCTCTTCTCCCGCTCTGAATCAGTCTCAGCTCCTCCGCTGTTTCAGCCCGAGGATGAGAAATTGACTCTCAATATTTTTATCTGCTTTTGGATGAATTGTTTTCACAAATTTCGCAAGGGCCTCTATGCTTTCCCTAGATTTATTTTTGCTCCGAAGGCTTTCTTTTCCTTCCTTCCCGTCTTCTTTTTACGTGACTAACCTTCTTCTTCTTCTCTCCTCCAGAGGACCGTCTTCCTCCGTCTGTGGTGGTAAACAAAGGCCTGGTTCTGGATGAAAACACGATGAAGAAGCTGACCACGCTGCAGCTGTCTGCCAGCGATCAGGACAGTGAGCCGGGGGAGCTCATCTATCGCATCACCAAACAGACGAGCCTGGGTCACCTGGAGCACGCCAACAGCCCAGGTACCAACACGCACACAAACAACCAAACTCACTGTTCCTATATCCATTTAGCAATTGAAACGATTATTTTGCTCTACGTCATCTTAAGCTGTTTTTATGCAAAGTAAACAAATGAAATGCACAAAGAAGTGATTATTCGCTTCCCTGCTATTAAGCAATCCTGCCCCGGCTGAATGGATTCCCCACATCGCCCAACGCTCTCGCAGCATGCTAATTAGCTGGATGTTAACACCACTCTCTGCTCTCTGAGCATCAGCTCACCTCCGGAGCCACAGAGCAGCTCCGGATAATTACCGCTAGCCAGCCTGTCATTCCACGCTAACACGCACAGCTAGCTGCTCATGTGGGATATCCTGACAGCCTACAAGGAATGTCAAAGTAACAGCACAGAGAGCTATGTTCCCTCTTTTAAGCCAAATCTTCCCAAGTCACTCAGGAGCAATGTAACATTCATTTCAAAAAGGAATTTGAAGAGAGAGACTACTAGAATGAAACCTAAGTCACATGGCCGGACACAGTATGTAAGATTGTTAGCTGGTCTACTAATCTTCTAATATCATATTGATTGTGGTCATGTCTGAAGGACAATATAGATCACAATACCCATAATGCTAATTACATCTTCAAATCTGCTGACTAGAGTACTAACGAAACGTCACTTGGCTCCACTCATGTTAATTATTGTCAAGATGTCACACTTAACAAGCTCTGCTCTGTGGCATTTGTTCTGTACCAATGTTATCCTACATTCTGAAAATGTACTGTGTGTACCATATGGTTATCTTTATAATATTATTTATTACAGTTTATAAACAGAAATCCACTTCATTTATCATTTAAAGTCAGAGTGTGTAACTTTTGGCCCCCTTCCTTTAGCAAGGGCTTAAAAAGAACCAATGATTATTTATATGTCCCTTAATTTAAATACTGACAGGAAAAGATACAATACATCATACAGTATATCAATCCAAGAACATCATTTAGGATCATAACCCAAATAGAAAGCAAAAAAGATAGTTTAAATATTTCATAAATGTTACATGTTTCGTGCAGCTGAGGGTCCATCTGAATACTTTGTGCATTTCTGTGGGCCAATATATCAACACACTCAAAAGATACTTATAGTTGGACTTCATCATCATCTGTCAGTGAGCTCAAAGTCAATTATCTATCTCTCAGTAATATTTTCTTGATTGTTTCACTGAATTTCTATCCTCATATCAATGCAGAATTACAGATTAGGTTGACAGCACATCAAAAGTGATGTAGATACTGTGTAACTGTTGAGACATTATTTTGATTTGAAGAAGGCAATAATGCCTAACAAAGCAGTAAGTGCAGCTAGGAAGCCTTAGAGAAATACAAGTCAAGCTTTTAATCTTTTGTCTCCCTGTGTGAGAAAAAGGACGATTTTTATGGTGCCCATATTATATAATTACATTTGGCCAAAGAGCATTCAGTCTATTTAAACTAGTGGAAATACAAAAATTGGTATTTTGTGTCAAGGAAATACATTTCAATTGAATATGATGGGGCAAATAAGCAGGTATTTTCATCCCTGACTGAGACAACTGCCTGTGCCTGTCCCGATCATGATGATGCATAAACATCCAGCTGGGAAATAGATGACACAAGGGAGAAGGGCCGTCGACTTGAAGGCGTCTCGCTGTGTCAAAAGTTGACGTGAAGAAGATTGATGTTACAAAGCCTCCATTTCCATTTCCTTAATACCCTCCATGACGTGTTGAAAAAGACGTTTCATCCGTCCTGCCTGCTTGAGGAAATAATTTTGATCCTATCCTGGGGACGTAACGTTGTTACTTTCCCATCAAAGTCATCAATGGAACAGAATGTCCATTTATACATGATTTACTTCATACAATGACAGGCCTGTTAAAAACGGTACCTGCCTATTTAAAATGATAGGAATCGCATGCCGTGCACCCATCTGGTATTAATATAGCAATTTATATGATGATTTTTTATTTGTTCAACGTCCGTTATGAAATGAAATGAGAGAAAATGTAAGTTTGGATACATTCTCTCCTTTGCATTCATCAAACCTACATTTTCAATCAGCGGACACACTTTATATATCACATTCAACCATAAATACGTTAAAGGTATCACACAAAGAACTCAATTGGCTCTTTCTGAAAGGGTGACGCATGTGTCTTTAAGCATCCAGCAATAACAAATCAACAGAAATTGAACTCCTGTGATGAAGAATTTCTTTTTTTAGACAATTGCCTTTAGATTCATGCAGAGTTTTGTTTGATCGCTGCAATCAAACCTGATTACGTTTCCCACTGAGTTTTAAGAGTGAGGAGGAGCTGGAGCCTCCTAAAACGCCTTTACTTTAACTTCACTTTACAAAAAGTAAAGCCAACAAAGAAAAGAGAAAAGACACAGTGTGTGATCTGAAACTAAATGGCAAGGAAGGGGGGGGGGGGGACTGTCTGCAAAGACAAAAACTAATTATAATCATAAATATAACCAGAATATTTGGTCCGAAGACAGTTGACACGAGAATCCAGTACCGGAAGGATTGTTAGGAAAACAACCAAATGTATAAATAAGTAACACAAACAGACTGTGGCAGCATGTGTTTAAAGAGAAAGATGGATAGAACAGATGTCCTATTGACGTTTGTAGTGTTTTTGTCTGCATACTGTGAGTGTGTGTACGGTGATTGTACAACTATTCTTCTTCTCTGTCCAGGCACCAGAATCAGCACATTTACCCAGGCCGATCTTGCATCGCGCAGCATCCAGTACGTCCACACCAGTGAAGAAGAGAAGCATGCTGACCAGTTCTCATTCACTGTGTCCGACGGGACAAATGAGGTAAATAAGAGGGTCAACTCTGGGGAAAGTAAAAAGGTATTTTAAGACTGGTTAAAGATGGTTAAGTTCAGTTTGGTCACATAATGAAGTAGCTCAAGAGGGTACCTTGAAGAACACGTTGATGTTAAATTTGAACTTATGTTACATCTCATATGAGTTCCACAAAGTGAGGCACTGGTAGAGTTGACATTATTCTTATAAGGAGAGTAAAAGTTGTATTGTTGCATCTCTCACTAGGAGTTGTCCACAATGGAAAACAAAGTGGACCCAGTGAGGTTCCCTGGGGTACACCTTAACAAGACTGTATTAGCACCTACGGCCCTTCCAAGGCTAGGATGTATTGAATATAGGGGTGTTTTTTGTAGATTGCATTATTTAGAAACGTTGTCCCGTCCCCCTTCCCCAGCGCACACACACAAACAAGCTATGTTCTCTTTCTCTGTGGTTGATGTAAAAAATGGTATGTATTGCCTCACCATGACCTTTTTTATATAGCCTGTAGCCAGGTGCAAAGTAAGTTTCCACAAAATTGCCAGCTCAGTGTAGACATTCCAATCACATTCAAGTTTAGGAAAAAAACACTCTGTTCTAAGAGGTGAGCCTGGCATGTACGCAATTTGTGCTTGAGCATCTTCTAACAATAACATTCCCCACTTGGCACGTCTGCGTCTTTCAGTTCTCATGCAGTGCTCGTTCTCCACATAAAAGCCCCTTCAGACTTCTTTGTCATTGGCCTTTTGGTTGCGAGACTAAGCTTTTTGGCATAAATATATTGCACTCCTTTTTATAAATGGATTAGTAAAATTATTTTGACCCCTAGTAAAGCAATTACATTTTAATATATAATCTAAAAATAAATATATATTTAATCTTAGGAACCCCAAGCTTTCAGAAGCGGTACTCAAGCCCTTCCAGCTCCCCCCACCCCAGTATGCCTCATGCATAAATCTGCCTTGCTAATCCAGACTAATGAGGACCACAAGGACTTGAGTAAACATGTGAAAAAGGTCATTTGGCCTTCACGCCTGGCTAGCTGCAGTGTGTGGGGGCTTTTGTGGCCACTGTAGTGGTAAGTGCTTATGAAGTGGTTCAGTGTTTTTACTTTTGTTAAAGCTCCTCTATCCAGTTGGGAGGCTTTTTCAGTTTTTTGTTAGAAAAGAACGGTATAAAAATAACCAAGTGTTCTGCATTAAAGTTCAGTTATATTTCATTGTAATGTGTAACTAAAGCAGCATTTTTTACTCATATGTGGTGTAATGAGATACCTCAAGGGCATGGCGGTTCATAGTATCTGTTAAAACTGAATTCTTTGCTATTTCAGTAATGTGTTAACTTTTTAACCAAATGTAATTTTCTGGCTTGACTAAAACGTTCATAGGTAGGGACAGATTTTTGATATATTCAGCACCATTACAATCATCATTCGTCTCAGTGCAATATCGTAAATAAATGTAAAAGCCAAGTATCTACAACACCTTTTCATTAGCTACAAAAATAATCAACAAACACAATCAGTTTTTTACTAAGGCCCAGGCTCCACGGGAACGCATACGGCAAAACGCATAGGATTAACGCAAACGCAAACGCCAAAAAGCTTCCGCCCACACGCAATATACACCGGATAGTGTCTGCCCACATGAGACAGCTCCGTTTAGATCCAACCGCTGGAAAAGCTGCAGTACATATGCCGAGCCTGTACGTGGCGCTGTAACTTCCTCCACAAAAGCAGCAACTTCCTCCACAAAAGCAGCGAAGAAGAATGGTTGTCATGGCTGCACTTCTGTTTATTCTCCGCGGTGGGGGCCGACGGAACCGGGCAGAGTTTTTCGCCGGTCAACGTGTGTTAAAGTTTAAATCTTCATGCTTCCTCATGCAGCAGCTGATCCAGTAAGTAAACCCGACAGTAAAAATAAACATATTTATAACTAGTTTAGGTAGTTTGAGAGGTAATTAAAATAGCTAAGGGTGGTGATCTGACTTGAAGTGTGTGTTTTGCTCCCGCTGCATCACAGCCGGAGGAGCTGCGTGTCTCCGTCCTGTCAGATTAGACTTCACTCGCGTTTATGTCCATATCGAGATAAAGATAAATAATCTGAATTCAGTGTGCAGTGTACTTTTGCGGGGGTGAGAAGCAGAGGCGGGGCTATTGCGTCGTCATTATCAAAAACGGATGACCGTATAGGCTACCACACGGCCCCGTTGGACCCCCCAGAGCGCTCCGTTCCCAGATCTATCCACCTTTGGACCCGTTGTCGTTTGCAGGGTCCGTTTCTACCGTTCCGTTACGGCGTCGTGTAGCTTAAAGGGCTATATGCAAGAGAAATATGCGGATACAACCCGTTTTCGTTCCCGTGGAACCTAGGCCTAAGGCTGCCTTTACACAGGAACGTTTGCGTTTATGCACAGTATGCGTTTTTTTTAAAGTATTCGGTTCACACGCATTCGTTTCATTTAACGTGTCTGTACACACGAGACCGCTGGAAACGCTGTAGTACATATGCCAGGACTGTAACGGCCCCTACACACGGCGGCGTGCGGTGACTCTTCAACGCTTCTGCCCATTCACTTTGAATGGGGTGACGTCACGATTCGCCGAACTGCATTCTGGGAGCAAAGCGTAGCTTTCCTGGCGGTGCTCGCTGCAAAAGTAGAGCAATGTTCTACTTTTGAAGCTGAGGCGGAGGCGGCAGCCAATCAAATCCCGCGTATGCAAATCTGACAGTTCAAGCGCTAGCCAATCAAACCGCGTGTATGCTGGGAGAGCCAGACCGCAGTTCATTTCCTCATATGCCAAAAAATGGAGGAGAAAATAATTATAGCGGTAGGGAATCACCCGGTGCTTTCAGTCCCTGTTCACCTACCGGGATACAAACCGGAGGAGCCAGGCATGGAGGGAGGTGGCAGAGACAGTGGGTGAAACTGGTAGGTTTTCGCCTGTTTGGGGAGTTTATATCCAGTGTACTTCGTTTGAATGGACAGCAGGCATAGACAGTATATTTAACCACCATGCAATGTTGCATAAAATAGCACCATAGACATTAATTAAAAATCGCTTTTTAGACATTAATGTCTATGGTGAGATTCATACACGGGAGCCTTTTTAAAGCCTTTTTACCCCGCTGCAAACAGAACCCCCCCCCCCCTTCCCATCACAAACTTTACACAGACCCCCCCTTTCAATTATCAACTCCTGCCTTGTTTCCGCAAACTCTTGTGTCCTGCAGCAGCTAAAAGTTTTGCAAGCCCCCGTTCGTTTAGTACCTAAAATAATAGACATCGCTTTTTCCAGCTGACAAACCCGACTTTCTGGTCACTTCTTCAATTTTCCAGCCCTTGGGGAGAGACACGGGAGATTCATGTGATTGGTTGTTGGTCGCGTTGCTCGCCTAAACTCCCCAAGCTCAAGACACGCCCACCGCCAAGCGGCAACGCACGCCGCCGTGTGTAGGCTGTGTAAGTGGTGCTGTACTTCCACACGAGACCGCTCGAAAGCGCTGGAGACGCTGTAGTACATATGCCGGGTCTGTAACTGGCGCTGTAACTTCCGCCACAAAATACACCAAAAGCAGCGAAGAAGACCCCGGAGCATGGTTGCCATGGTTGCCCTTCTGTTTATGCCCCGCGGTGGATTTAGCAACATGTAGTAGTTCATGTAATTCTCCATGTCCACTTGTTGCTGATGGTTGTGGTAGAGGGGCTGTAGATTTTGCACTAACATCTGTAGCATGGTCGAGCTGTAGATGTTGTACTAACATCTGTAGCATGGTCAGTAGCAGTAGCACTAACAGTAGCTACTGACAGTAGCTACTGACCATGCTACAGCAGTGAGCAGCAGAGGTGGGGAGAGGCGGGGCTATGGCTTCATCTATCGGGAAATGATCGTATAGAGGCGATTACACGGAGCCGTTTGACCCCCCAGAGCGTTCCGTTTGCAGATCTATCCACCTTGGGACCCGTTATCGTTTGTGGGGTCCGTTTCTATCGTTTTGTTACGGCCTCGTGTAAATAAAAGGGCTATACGCAAGAGAAACTATGCGGATACAACCCGTTTCGTTCTTGTGTAAAGGGGGTTTAAAAGCATACCAATTATTTCTTGGTTCTTATCCATTGAAAACATTGTTCAAACATTCACATTGTAGGTTGGAAAAAGTATGTGAACCCCTATACTTTAACAAAAGCTTGCTGATTTAGTTGGCAAACCTTGTTTTAATCATTGAAACAAGATTGTAGTGAAGTGTTGTTTGAGCTGTTTTTACTTATGATAATCACTCAAATATTGAAAATAAATATGTAATTACACAAGAAGCATCTGTTGATGTGAAACCATGCCTCTCAAAAAAGATCTCAGAAGACCTATGATCAATAGTTGTTGATTTGCATGAAGCTGGAAAGGATAACAAAATAGTTAAGTTATTTATCGGCCCATATTTAGACATATTTTCTTTAAAAATAGCTAATTTAGTACTGTGGCTGTACTATAAGCCTACAGAGAGGGCCCCCAGAAAAGATGTCTCAAAAGGCACAACGCAGAATAATCAATGAGGTAAAAAATAACCCGAGAGTAACATCTGAAGACTTGTAGGTATCACTGGATCAAGTTAAGTATCACAGTTCATGAGGTTATCATACGCAAAACCTTGTACAGCCAGGGACCACGGCAGGAGACCACAGAGGAAGCCACCACTCTCCAAAATAACAACACTACTCGGAAAGAGTTCAACGTTTTCATTTATTAAACCTTAAACACGGCTTCATATTGTCCTGTGTTTGTCTCCAGGTTGCCCAGACGTTCTACATCACCATCAAGCCAGTGGACGACTCCCTGCCTCTGCTCCAGGTTCCTGGCATGAGAGTCCAGGAAGGAGTGAGGAAGACCATTACTGAATTTGAGCTAAAAGTCACTGACGCAGACACTGAGGTAACACACAAATCCCTGAAAATCTAGCAACTTTCACCATGAGTTTATTTATTTATTTCACCAGTTTAGCAAAGAGCGGGACCGCCATATGATAGTTGGTGATCATCCACTAAGCCGGCCAAACTAAGCTGTGTAAGCTTCTGTATATAAAACCAGCTTTTCTCTACAGCTTCATTTTCTCTGGCAACAACATCATAAAGGCTATTTCCTTCTCCAGCCCCAGACACTCATACACTGTAAATCCCATAAATCTGAAACGCAAGTTATTTCCTGTTTATTTTTGTTTTTGTTTACCATCTGTGAACAACCATGCCTACATCTAGGGCAATTCGAAATATCCCTACTTTCACATAAGGACATTTAAAAGCAACTAAGGACCTTAAGTAAGCTGAGGGTTATTATGTTCTTCTCTAGTAAACATTTCCCACAGTTTGGTTGTTAAAGTTGCAAAAAAATAACAATAACTTTTATTTATAAAGCATTAAACAGAAGTTTTTTAAAGAATGTACTTTCACCTGAAGATCCTCACCGCTCATTCAAAACACTTTTCCTCTCCCTCCATTGCTGCTGTTAACTACCTCCAGGCGGAGTCCATCGTCTTCACCGTTGTCCAGGCTCCTCGTCACGGCACCGTTGAGCGCACGAGCAACGGCCAACACTACCGTCAGACCAGCAGCTTCACCATGGACGACGTCTACCAGAACCGCATCAGCTACAACCACGACGGCTCCAACTCGCTCAAGGACCGCTTCACCTTCGGCGTGGCAGATGGCACCAACCTGCTCTTCATGGTGGAGGAGGGCGGAAAGGAGGTGGGGGCGTGTGTGTGTGTCTGTAGGCCTATGTGTGTGTGTGTGTCCGTTGACATATTTAGCACATCGAGAACGCTACATTTGCAGATTGGGTTCTGGTGTGTGTGTGTGAAAGAGGCAGCATCTTGACGTATTTATTACAGCTAAATCATTGAATGAGCAGTGTTACTGTAGATGTGTGTGTGTTTGTGTGTGCGCGCTCTGACCTTTTTATGACAGGAGGGGTGAATCAGCAGTTTGTGTATATGCTCTTGTGCTACCATTTGTGTAAGGACCAAGAAAGTGACACGTTTGAAAATACATTTTTTGCAGTGAGGCCAAGCATGGTCATTAAGGAAAAGTAAGGAAATATTTTGGAAAGTGGAGACACATTTTGAAAAAAGGGCCTTTTGGGAAAAGAAAGGACGTACTGTAAGGGGAAATGTGAAGACATTTTTTTTGTTATTTCTTATTTCCTTCCTGATAATCATCTAAAATCCCCTTAAATCAATCTTCCTAACCATTCAGTGGCTCATTTTGTTGACTATAAAATTATTGGTCTGGAATGCATTGCATGGGTCCTCACAAGTGTAGAAATATAAACATGTGTGTGTGTGTGTGTGTGTGCATGTGTTTGGTTAATGTCAGCTTTATGGAGGTAGTTATAAGCAAGCCTCAGGGTGAACAGGCTGCAACGCTTGTCAACGAAGTCCTCAGTCTACCTACTGTCACTACAAATAGTCCATATGATTAAACTGAATGACAGCAGGCAGGTATTGATATCCCCGATCACACACACACACACACACACATTGAGGGTCAATTCATTCCCACTGGAGCTGCCTTGTGATTAGATCATGTACACACTCCTGTAATACCTTTTGGATGAACGCATCCTTCAAATGGCATTCGTCGAAGTTGGTCTGAGCAGAATCTGTATGATGACTGGCTGATCCCATAGGGGGCAAATCAATCAAGTAATACGCTGCAGGGCTCGTGTGTTTGCCATTTGTCATCTAGCTCATGATAACTCTTCCACTTCCTGTATACACAAAACATTCTGAACAAAGTTGCTTTAACTTTAATAGGAAAGTAGTCGTTTTTCTTTTCATGACTTAGGCCAATAAAACAAACTTTTTTTTAAAAGAAAGAGACCATTGGGAGTTATTTAGAAACTATGTTTTGATTTTACGATAAACACGTAATGTTGGGAATAAAATGACTTTTTGTGACTGTCCATTGAGATCTTAAATATGTGTTTTTAATTTCAACTACTTTGGCTTTCCAGGTTGTAACAGCTGCTCCTCAGAAGTTTAAGATTGATATTCTGCCAGTTGACGATGGCACGCCGCGTATCGTCACCAACCTGGGGCTGCAGTGGCTGGAGTACATGGACAACAAGGTACACAACGTCCTCTACATGAACGTCTGCAGACAGACTCTGTAGTCTTTGATTAGTTTCATAGTGATGTTTAATGGCTCTAGGGGGAGTAATGAACCCTGTTATTGAGATCAGCTTTCTAATTAACCTCTCAAATTGCTGTTGTTATTGGTTCCAATTGAAGACTGATTTCACTGGATTCTTTAGAGATAAAAAGGTGTCAATGAGCAGGAGTATTGCAGTGGTCTGTGTGCTAAGCAGGCTCAAGTCAAAAGGAGAATGATTTGACTGTGCAAACACAGATCTGTCTTCTACAACCAATCACAGTTACATATAAAACATGTCCTTGTGACTGACAGAAGTGCAAAGAGAAGTTCTATCAGTTTGCTCACTGTGTGTAATTGACTTGCCCCCCCTGCTGGTTCAAACACCACAACACAATGCGACCATCAGTTTCAATAGCAGTGTTGTCACTTTGTTTATTCATCCTGAGGCTGCTCTGTCTTTACTATGCAGGTAATTAAGTATTGGATGTTTTATTATAGAGGGATATTAGCAAACAACACCAAAGTATTGTTGGTTGCTGGCTTAGATACCTTAAATAAAGGTAAGTGTATAATTGTTAGGATACCATCAACATTAGAGGACAATTTTCATTTGTACTTTTGGAAAACGATGTGAACATATGACACCCCAAAAAATGTGAAAGTGAAATAGTAAGAACGGAATAATGTGCAGCGAGGACTTTATTAATGAAAAATGCACACCGACATGGTGAAATATAAAAAGATAAACCAAGTACTTTACTCACAATATTGATAAAAAATGTTTGTTTTGGGTCTTCTAAGAAAACAATTGTCTGATCCACCTTGACCAACAGCTGGATCTGCAGTGACAGCAACATTACTTAAATCGGCGGCAGGACTGATTGAGGTTTACTGCAACTGTCCCAGTCTCTTCACATATTCTTGTCTATTAACCAGTTTGTACACAATGCCAGAGCCCATACTGTGTCCATTAGTGTTTACTTCCTGTCTTTGTTCTGTTGCTGAATTCTCTGACGTCCAGCCCTCTCTTTATTGGGGAAAGTTTAGCCATCGTATATCCAAAGTGTTGTGCTCTCCACAAATATAAGAAATAATATTCCAAAAGTATTCTATGGTGTTTTCTGATGGAGAAAACGAATGTTTGTTGTCCACAGCTGACAATGAAATGGCCGGACTTCTTTCTGCGGATTGATATGACCGTACATACAGTAGTCATGTTCTGCTCAGCAGCAGTCTGTTGGCGAAAATTAACAGACCTTTGGAATGTCCAAATCGACCAATCAGGATCGAGTATTCGACTGAGCTGTGTAATAAGGTCTCATAAATCTGCCTTTACAAAACAAATACTTACAGGTAACACATACAAATGCTTAAAAGCTACATTACCGGCAGGACAGGCATTATCAGTGAGAGAGCCACGTATTTTTATTTGGTTTAATGAAATAAAAAAATTAAATAAAAAGGTCAAGGTGAGAAATCAACCTCCCATTTCAACTGCACATTTGACTACTTAAAAAACGCATCCAAAGTTCACGAGGCAAATATGGAAGGCAATTATCAAAATCATTATGCCGACATAGAACCGTCATCAACAGAAATACATCAGGGCAAAAATACTTTGCAAATAATGTCTTTGGTGTAACAGCTACAGTAAAATGGTTGGTCTAGATGTGGTCGTGGAGCAGGTCATTTCAGTCGTTTCTGTTTAACGTCCATCAGGCCACCAACCTGATCACTAAGAAGGAGCTGCTGACCATGGATCCGGACACTGATGACGGACAGCTGGTTTATGAAGTCACCACGGAGCCAAAGCACGGCTTCCTGGAGAGCAAGCTGAAACCTGGTACCTCCATCAGCACCTTCACCCAAGGTACAAGGCTTTAACTGTTTTCTAAAAAACACTGTATGACGTACCTTTTATTTCATACTGTTTGCTGCCCCCTTAGCCTATCAAATACAATGTGTTGGAGCGCTAGCCAATAGTATGGGGGTGTTACATAGAGATGTCACTATGTCACAGAAGTAAACAAAGGAGTCCAATGAAGGTGTTTCAGGCAAGGGGGAACTTTAGGATTTCAGCCTTTGCAGACCATTTACATGCACAAAAACCTATATAACACACTACAGGAAAGGGAAACCCAAAAAGCATACTGGGCCTCTTTAAAATGTAGTAATGTCTGTGATCCTAAATTATGAATATATCAATATTTTAAGCATTGGCAAAAACTTGTCCCTACCTACGCTCTCCGTCTTTTCCTCAGTGGAAGTTCTGTTAAAAGGCACCCCAGCATCTGCGGAACTATTTTTTATCATCCAGTTTCACCTTGCCCACATTTTCATTGACAATTTGCAGTTGAATTCAGCTGTGTTCCCATCCCATGTGAGCCTGTTATCCTCACCTCTAGGCTGCAGCCGGGATCACTGTCAGCGTGCTTTTGTGTTGATCCCCTCGGGCTGGAGTGTGGCTTGCAAACAGTCACATTGATGGGTTGCATTCTTTATTCTGAGCTTGTAAACATAATTTCCTTAATGATTACAAATGTTAGGCAGATAAAATAACTCCCTTCCCTGAGAATGTGAATATAAATGGCGGGATTTACTAGTACAAACCGTCAACATTTACTCTCCTTAGTCTGAGAATGTGTTAAGATATCACAGCACACAGTTTTGAGCCTGTGCGGATCCATTAAGTTTAATATCTATTCATCACTGCATGTGTTTATTCTAAACTTCCTGAAGGTCATCTGCTCATCTTTCTCATCCTTTCTTCTGGCTTACAGCTCTCAATTACAAAGTAATACTTTTTCTTCAACATCCTCTGGAAGGTTTAAATGGGCAGAAATTGTGATCCAATGATGATTTTCATCTTCATTTTCAAATTTGATCTCAAGTAATGGAAAGAGGCCAGAGGGTGCATATTATATAGGATCATTATTTCACAGGAAATACATTATTTGCAAAGATTTTGACTATTAAGATACAATCCCTGTAGAGACAGTCTGTGATTTGTTGCCCCCTTCACACAGCCAGGTCAGAGCGGCATGCTGGGTAAAGATCACTGCTTCAGTCTCATAGATACAGCTTCAATTCTGGTTTTCACTGCTAAGTACCTGCTGTAGTGTTTTTTGTTTGAATTTAAGAAATGGTATCTTTACAGGGCATTCACAAGAAAAATAAAACACAATCTGAACTATTTTTCATCAAATAAAATGTAATAAATCCAACAAAAAAGGGATAAAGAAAAATATTAAAATGTATTAATAATATATAGTTAACAAAAATATAACAGACACATCATTAATCTTCACATGTATTAGCTATTAATTAATTATGGATACTCTAGTTTCTAGGAATTAGTAAGAATATTTATTCTTGATATCTTCTGCTCTTTTTCCAGTAGTAAGATATTTTAGAGAAATACAAAAATAGTGGACAGTTCTCTAATAGATTTTCCCAGAAGCCACTTTCACAAAGGTATTCAATGTTTGATCTTTAATAAGCTGACCTTGATCCCCTGTAGCTGATATCAACCTGGGTCTGATCCGCTACGTGCTGCATCAGGACAACGTCCAGGAAACCATGGACATCTTCAAGTTCACGGTGAAAGACAGCAAACCAAATGTTGTCAGCGACAACGTCTTCCACATCCAGTGGTCCCTCATCAGCTTCAAGCACAAAAGGTCCGTATTTTACAGCATGCGAGACGTACTTCAGATGTTCACGAAATAACTAGGCATACCAGTCAGTTCCTTCCGAGCATCAATCAGTAAAATAACTTCCTGTGATGGTTCCACAGCTACAATGTCAGTGAAAAGGCCGGCACAGTGGCGGTAACGGTGAAGCGAACAGGAAACCTCAACCAGTATGCCATCGTGCTCTGCCGCACCGAGCAGGCCAGCGCCACCTCCACCAGCAGCGAGGGGTCCCGTCCAGGCCAGCAGGACTACGTGGAGTACGCTGGACAGGTAACCAGGCCCCACCAATGTCAACATGTTTTAAAAATGTACATTGTTGGAGGGAACTTTGGGATTGTAGCCTTTGCAGACCATTTACATGCACTAAAACCTATATAACATACTACAGGAAAGGGAAAACCCCCCAAAAAGGGCTTTATATTTACTGTCCTATGTTCTCGGTTTTATACACATTTGATATTACCGGTACTCTATGTCCAATCATAAGTCTAAACCCATACCGCTCTGCTGTTCATTCACAGGTCCAGTTTGATGAGCGTGAGGACACCAAGGTGTGCACCATAGTGATAAACGACGACAAGGTGTACGAGGGAACTGAGAGCTTCCACGTGGAGCTGAGCATGCCCGCGTACGCGCTGCTGGGCGGAAACACGCGCGCCATCGTCAACATCAACGACACCGAGGACGAGCCCACCATGCAGTTTGATAAGAAGACGTACCACATCAACGAGAGCACCGGCTTCATCCACGCGCCCATCGAGAGAAAAGGTAGAGAGCACTGCCACATCCCTGTTATGCTCTCTATGTATTAACCACTTCATTTAACATGATATACAGAACATTTCAAAGGAAGTAAAAAGGCATCATAATAAATGTAATAATAATAATATAATCATAATAATTCACAACAGATTACACACACAGTAAAATAATGAAAAACTTAAGACCAAATCAGTAAAATATTAAACTATAAAATAAATAAATTAAACATTATAAAAAAAAGATTGAAAGACCAATTCAAGGGCGATGTCGCTAAAGCTTATCTAAAGAAATATGGTTTCAGATGTCATTAAAAAATGTCGACTGAGTTTTCCTATATAATATTTCCTGGTAGGCTGTTAGTGGACAAAAGTTGCTTTAGGGGCGACTTTATGAATAATGAAAAGGCCTGCTGCTGAGGACCTTAGTGCTTGTACAAGGACATAAAAGATCTTTATAAACCAGAAAAGGGATTTTAAAATCAATTCTAAAAGACTCTGAGAGCCAATGCAATGTAGCTAAAACAGGAGGTACTGTCTGAGCTTTCTTTTTCTGGATTTTGTCAAACACCTGGCAGCGGAGTTCTGAATTAACTGTCGTTTTTCTCGTAGAAAGAGCATTCCAGAGTTGACGTAATGAGCAGTTGTGACCCTCTCCTGCCTCGTTTCCCCTCCAGGTGACACCTCCAGCACGGTGTCGGCCCTCTGCTACACCGTGGCCAAGTCGGCGCAGGGCAGCAGCCTCCACGCTCTGGAGTCTGGCTCCGACTACAAGAGCCGCGGCATGACCAACGACAACCGCGTCATCTTCGGCCCGGGAGTCAGCATGTCCACCTGCGACGTCAAGCTCATTGACGACAGCGAGTACGAGCTGTCGGAGGAGTTCCAGCTGGTGCTGTCGGACGCGTCGGATAACGCCCGTGTGGGGGAGGTGATGACGGCCAAAGTTGTCATCGACGGACCCAACGACGCGTCCACTGTTTCTCTCGGGAACGCCACCTTTACTTTCACCGAAGATGCTGGTATAAGCAATTACATTTTTACGGTCTATGGATTTATTTTCTTTTACTGAGTTTTCTCTAACCCCAAGAGAAATTCTGTGAAGTTACACATCTTTTCGTTTGTCATTTCAAAGCTTTATTAATTAGGATAAATGTGAAAATCTCCATGGGGAAATTAGGAAAGTGCGAAGAGTTACAAATTGGCTTTGGAAAGGGTAGTTTAGTAATTGCTAGATCCAAGATCCAAGGGTGATTTTCTTCCAGATTGTAATGTCACTACACATGAAACAGAATGTGACCTGCTCCCTAAACATTTACGGAGCTCATTTGTAGGAACAAGATTACGACCCGGTTTCTTTATAAATTGGTCTGTACATTGCAGTCTGTCTTTGATTTATTTTGGAACATTAACACTGTGCTATATTTCTTTTTAAATGTTGGAATGCTTTAAAGCAGCATTTTGACTTAAAAGCTAAACTCATATGTTACTCAGTAGTGATATTATGCATTTTTTTGAACTTACGTTTCCTTCTTATCTCCACCCTACAGGCACAATTGAAATACCAGTGCTGCGCCTTGGCAGTGACCTGTCCTCCCTGACCTCTGTGTGGTGTGCCACCCGACCTTCAGACCCCCCCTCAGCGAGCCCGGGAGTCGACTACATCCCAAGCTCCAAGAAGGTGGAGTTCAAACCTGGTAGTACCGAGGAGGTGAGGACTGAGACTTCTGACCTACAGTAAAGATATCTAGAAGTGCTGAATCAAAGGCAGCTGGATTCAAATGGAACTAAAGAAAGATCCCCGTTAAATCCTTAAGATGAAATATCTTTGCATGGATAAATGTCAAAGGGCATCTGGAACAAGGCCATCAAGACAGTATAATGAGCATATTAAGAGTTTTAAACGCTCGTTCCGTTGGATTTTAGAAATTCTCTGTGAATTTGAGGGGGACAATATATTTAGAGGTTCGTGCTTAAAGAGGAAATATTATTTCAGGTTCATATTTGTGTTTTGTACCTCTACTGTGACATGTTTAGATGCCTTTTGGTTCAATAAGTGCTTCATTTTTTCTCATAATACCTCTTTTCACCCTCTGTCTGAAACCAGAGTCCAGACTGCTCTGATTGGTTAGAGATGTCCCGCCCCTTGGCCTATCGCGTACAATGTGTTGAAGCAATAGCCAATAGAAGCGTAAATGTTACGTAGTCATGCAAGAGTCAAAATTGAAGTCTTATGGATTTATTTATTTTTACATAATTGTTTCAAACGCCACCTTCCATTGTAAAGTCTGTATTTAACTTTACAGTCACCTGGTCTCAAACTACACCGGTCCGGTCTTTGAATTTGAGGGACTGCTAATTCCTTGAAATAGTCTTAAACCTAATGTTTGAGAATGTGTGTGTATCCTTTAAACTAAAGGCAAGATGTTCTTCCTGCAAACCTTTGTAAACTCAGACCTGGCCTCAAATATCTTTAGAAACCTTGCTGACACTTTTTTTCTACAGACATGCAGTTTGACCATTATGGACGACATCCAGAACCCGTCCATCGAAGGATCCGAGTCGTTTGTGGTGTTCCTCAGTTCTCCTCAGGGTGCTGTCCTCCAAGAGCCCTATGAAGCCAACGTCGTCATCATCGACACCTTCCAGGACAGTAAGTACACAGGAGATTATTCCCTTAAAGACCTCTTTCATCTTACATTCAAACTCAGCCTTCTCACAGCCAACGTCCCCTCTCTCAGTTCCCAGCATGCAGTTCGGGAAGACTGCTTACACTGTCAAGGAGAAAGACAGCATCCTGCACATCCCCATTATCCGCACCGGTGACCTGTCCTTCAAGTCATCAGTGCGCTGCTTCACCCGGACCATGTCAGCCATGGTGATGGACGACTTCGAGGAGAGGAGGAACGCTGACGAGTCACGCATCACTTTCCTCAAAGGAGAGAAGGTATACTGAATCCTAAAAGTTTAAACAAAGTCGATTAAGACCGTTTGTGTCAGTCCCTTTAAAATCTTTTACTTGATTGTTTGTTTTCCAGGTAAAAAACTGCACCGTGCACATCAACGACGACTCTGTTTTTGAGCCTGAAGAGGAGTTCCAGGTGCATCTTGGGACACCACTGGGAGACCACTGGAGCGGTGCCATGGTGGGCGTTAGCGACATCGTCACAGTCACCATCACCAATGATGAAGATGGTAAGATCATATGTCACATACAACAGTTAACTTACTGCTGTATAGATGAATTCTGACACTAAACTACCAGGGCACCTGTAATTTGTTTAACTTTTTTCATGAAAGCCATGTATCTTCTCAATGTATTTTATTATGAAATTATTGTTTGCATGTTCTTTGAGTAAAATCTCAATTAAGAAAACTTGTTGCATTCCTATATTAATTCTGTTCTGATGAATACATATTCTTGCGAATGTATCAGGCGGAAAACGTTCTTTTGTAAGTGTCGGAATAATGTTGTCAACTACAAGTGGAGATGCTCCTGACCTTATTTATTTAAAAACTCTAGTCTGCTTTGGCATTTAGTTTAAAGTGTTTTTTTGTCATATCATATCCTAACGTGGTCAACAATATATCTCTTTACATGTACACAAATATTCTTATTTTCGTGTTAGGTAAGAGTTTTTCTTGTTCGATAGCTGTTTTGTTTTTTTCATTTTAAGAAGTTATTTGATTACAAGGCAAACATAACACTTAAATACTAACACAACAATCCACGAATCAGAAAAAGAGAAGGAAAAAAAAAAGGATTGACAATAACTTATAATATATAGCTAATACACAATGGATTCAACATTGATACTCATACATAAATGAATTGTCACATCATACAACCTGGTCATTATTAATGTTTTGTGTTCTATAACCAACCAATTCTTCCCAGGCTTCATCAGATGTCTCCCTTGATGATACAAAAGGTCTCTCTGTACTGTTGAAAAACGAATTTGGTCTTATCCTAGAGCCTGCCTCCCCTCATTGTATGACATTGAGAGAATACATATTCAAACTGCTCTTAGTGTTACATAAATCATCTCACATACTTATCATACCTAGAAAGTGAGTATCAACAATCAGTATGAACAAAGACAGATCATTAACCTTCATGAAGGGAGGATTTATCGCGGGGTGGTTGTATTAAACTACATTTATTTCATCTTATAAACTGGCAACTGAACAATAATTATAATATGCCGTACAGCCAGCAGAGAGCAGCACCTTGACCTTTCAATGCCCTCTGTTCTTCCAGCTCCTACCATTGAGTTTGAGCAGGCGTCCTATCAGGTCAAAGAGCCTCCTGGTCCCGATGGCATCGAGGTTCTCAACATTAAGGTGGTCCGTGGGGGGGATCTGGACCGGACCTCCAAGATCCGCTGCAGCACCCGGGACGGCTCGGCCCAGTCTGGCGTTGACTACAATCCCAAGAGCAGAGTGCTTAAATTCACCCCTGGTTAGTGCTGAAAATTCACACTTGAATGATTGAATGATTATTATGTAAATGTCAGGTTGACAAAATGTCTCTCTTTGTTTCCCTCTGTAGGAATAGACCACATCCTGTTTAAAGTGGAGATTCTGTCCAATGAGGATAGGGAGTGGCACGAGTCCTTTTCATTGGTGCTCGGCCCTGACGACCCTGTGGAGGCGGTGCTCGGAGAGATCACTATGGCAACAGTGACCATTTTGGATCAGGAGGCTTCAGGCAGCCTTATCCTACCTTCTACGCCTATTGTAAGATTGGTTTTCAGTCGTTTCTAAAGGTCTCCTATCATGCAAAATGCACTTTTTGATGTCATTTATACATAGATATGTGTCCCCGGTGTGTAAGGAGACTCACAAAGTGTCCGAAAATACAACCCTCTTTCTTTTCCTCCTTACCCTTCTAAAAACGGGGGTACAACACAGCTGATCCAGATTTGCTGCCGATATTACGTAATATCGGAAATGTGGGCTGGCTTTACGCTCTCTGCCCCATCAAAAACATCGCTGTATCAGAAACAATGCCCTGCGTTTTGGAAGTAATATGGTCTGTGTTTACATTAGCAAGCATCGCTAACACTCAGAGCTAACGCTTTACTGGAGAGAGTATTGTGTAAAGAAGCAGGATATAAAAAGGTACACCTGTGAGAGAAAAAGAGTTTGAGCTCCCTGCTGTTTCAGAAATAATCCTTGATGTGGTTTGGAACATGATATGGCATTTAATCACAGCAGCCTTTAGCTGAGTATCTGGATAGAATTCTCCTGCATGAGCTCTCCTCTCTGCTCTCGTTTCTTTTTCTTTTTTTCCCCTTTTTTTTTAAGCTACGGACCCAGAATCAGCACTTCTCTAACAGGGCTGAAATAGAGGCGTATGAGGCATGGCTAGAATGGGTGATCTGTTTGGTATTTTGAGCAAAACACTTCATAGACATGTTTTTTATATATCTGAGACCTATAATATATGCCTAAAAATAGTATAATAGGAGACCTTTAAAGGAAATAATGACATCATTTATTCTTCAATTCTCCATTGGAGCAAAACAATTAAATGAAGAGAAAAAATTAATCAGTACCCATCCTCCCTCCTCCTCAGGTTGTCTCCCTCGCTGACTATGATCACGTCCAGGAGGTGACAAAAGAGGGCAGCAAGAAGACGCCCTCTCCAGGGTACCCTCTGGTGTGTGTCACCCCCTGTGACCCTCACTACCCCAAGTACTCTGTGATGAAGGAGCGCTGCGAGGAGGCCGGCATCAACCAAACCCAGGTTCACTTCTCCTGGGAGGTGGCGGCGCCCACCGACACCAACGGGGCCCGCTCCCCCTTCGAGACAGTCACGGACACCACCCCGTATACCAGCGTCAACCATATGGTGAGTGGGGATTTCTTTAAAAGAAGAGTTTAAATGTATATTTATTGACTGTATATGTACATATACACCACGTCTCTTCTTTCAATCTGCTGTAGAAAAGTGATCCAAATACAGGTGCTACCATCTTAAGAATTTGTTTAGTAGTGACCTGAGGGCTGGAGCTCTGGTAACGAGGTCCCGCCCTCACACCTGCCAGAGCCACTCAGGAGCCAGAGACGGTCATAGCCTGTTAGCGTGAGCCACGTTGCTGCCAAAATAGCACCATGTTAGCTGTTAGGTCAAAAAGTCACACCAACTACCCATAATATCTCTCTATATCTGTTATATGTCTCCAAAAAATGTAATCTGTCAGAACTTAATAACATGGACTTGTGACAGCTTTTGAAAGGTACATCTCCTCCCTTTTGCAATTCCAGACCCTCCGTGATAATGTTCACTGAGCGCAGCTGTCAATCATGAAGTCTCTCCCCTTTTGTATACCATTAAAGATCTACTTTACACCAAACTTGAATATACATCAGCGTGATAACAATTACCCAAAGTCGAGCTACCATCTGAAGATTTTGAAATAATTTTGATCTGGAGTCTGTTTAGCAGGGCTCGAGCTGTGGTGACAAGGTCCCGCCCTCACAACCATCAGAGCCAATCCAGAGCCAGGCACAGCCACAGCTTTTTAGCATGAGCCACGCAGCTGCTACGTTAGCACCAAAGACACTACCCATAATATCTTCCTATAAATATATGTGGCAGGTGTCAAACTTGAATATACTGTATATCAGCGTGAAAACTATTACCTGAAATGACAGAAACTAACTTTGGGAAACTGTATTTGGAGAGGACTTTTTAATTTGTCCTAAGACCCATCCTTTAAAATATGAGAGACGTGATTTATGATCTATTGTATACTTCTGCCACCCGGGGCCACTTGAGATGTTTTGGCTTGACTTATAGGTGTGCTGCAATGTCATTTGTATTTATACAATCCATGATTTTAATAATATGATAGAGGCAGCAGCTAGCTAGCTCAGATGGTGTAATACTACAATAATTTGTGGTCAAAACGCATCCGTCCACATCTTTTCCCTTTTGTCATCTCCTATGTGTCATCCCCCCTGCCGTCCCTCAGGTCCTGGACAGTATTTATTTCAGCCGTCGCTTCCACGTCCGCTGCGTTGCTCAGGCCAGGGATAAGGCGGGTCACCTTGGAACACCGCTGAGGAGCAACATCGCCAAAATCGGCACAGACGGCTCCATCTGCCACACGCCGGTAACCACGGGAACCGCCAGGGGCTTCCAGGCTCAGTCCTTCATCGCTACGCTCAAATACCTCGATGTCAAGCACAAGGAGCATCCCAACCGGTGAGACGCAACGGGCAGATGGTGGCTTTTGAAAATGGATAAACTTCTTGTTATGTATTGTTTGTTAATTTCTCCGTCTCTTTGTTCAGTATCCACATCTCAGTGCAGATCCCCCATCAGGACGGCATGCTGCCCCTGGTGTCCACCATGCCGCTGCACAACCTGCACTTCCTGCTGTCAGAGTCCATCTACAGGCAGCAGCATGTCTGCTCCAACCTCGTTACCCTCAAAGAGCTGCAGGGGGTCTCGGGTCAGTCACACAACCACACATTCACACAACCACACATTCACACAACCACACAATCACACAATCACTCCTGCGATGCCAATAAACATCAAATCACAGAATAAAACATAGTCATGTGCAGGATATTAAGTGCTTAAGTGCTCTTTTTGGTATTTTGAACAGTCGCCCACGTCTATTGTAAAACAACCAATCGGAGCCAAGTAATATCAAAGTATAGGCAGCCCTGATCAAATATTAATTAGGATTTTGTAACAGCATTGCCTTCTTGCCTCAAATGTTTTCAGAAAAGTATTTTAGTGTACTGTTAAGATAGAAAATTAGAAAATTAGCTTGGTGGTCGATGTGGTTTTGGATCGACTGGTTTCGACATGGCGGCCCGCTAACAATGATGGGGATAAAGTTACAGTTTTGGCAATAATGAAAAAGTTATTTTAAAATATGTACCAACTGTTCCTCTAAATAGGAAATTATACTTTTCTGGGGTTCTTTTAGATTTGTTATAACTAATACAAACTTTGACGACATTCTTCCACAGAGGCCGGTTTCCTAGACGACGTATCTTTCGACAGCATCTCTCTGGGGCCGGGTTACGACCGCCCCTACCAGTTCAACCCCAACGTCCGGGAGGCCAAGAGCATCCAGCTCTACAAGCACCTCAACCTCAAGAACTGCATCTGGACATTTGACGCCTACTACGACATGACGGAGCTCATCGATGTCTGCAGTGGCTCTGTGACTGCTGATTTCCAGGTACATAAGAACAGTTTTTTCACCAAATGTACCAATTAGAGACACTTTACTATGTAGCAGAACCCTCAGCAGAGTAGATTTTGAGACTGAGCTTCTACCTGATGATGCTTAGCCCTTATATTTCAGGCTACAATTAAAATCTAATTCCGGATCATCACTTAAGTTTAATCAGTCTTTGATAAAACTCCATCTAAGGTCCAGTACTGACTTGGTCTGGGACTTTTGACCATGTACCACAGTCTTCATCATCAGTATTTGCTCAGTTGTCATTAAACGGAGATTATGCATTGAACCTTTGGGCCTTCTTTGGGAACATTTTTGCTCAAAAGTAGAGATTGACAGTCTATTCTTGACTTTCAAACAAACAGTACCATGAAAACCTCCAAAACAAGTGAGTTTATGCAGCTAGGAATCTGCTTTGTCTACTGCTGTTTCCAAGGTCAAAAATGAACTGTAAAATACCTAACAATCAAGAAGACTCAAGAAGTACTCATTCACAGTACCTCCAATCCCCATGAGACCCTCTGAGGGGTCTCGGCCTGCAGGTGGAGAATGTTAAAGCATGCTGTCGTTCTTCCAGGTTCGGGACTCGGCTCAGTCCTTCCTGACGGTGCAGGTTCCTCTCTACGTGTCCTACATCTACGTGACAGCGCCGAGAGGCTGGGCCTCTCTGGAGCATCACACCGAGATGGAGTTCTCCTTCTTCTATGACACGGTGCTCTGGAGGACAGGTCAGGCCAAACACAGCAGAGACATAATGAACTGAGTGAATCTCTATTAGCAATGTATAACAAAAGGTTTCATTGTACCTTGTGCATTCCCAACAAAGTCCCTATATTATGTTCTCTATTCTATTCATGATGTGAAATGGAAATGTTGCTGTATTTATCTAATCAGATGTTGCTCTTCTGCTGTCATATTGATCTTACCTCTGACTTCCTTTTCTGTTTTTTTCTGAGTGCAGGTATCCAGACTGACAGCGTCCTCTCAGCCAGACTGCAGATCATCAGGATCTACATCAGAGAAGACGGACGACTGGTGATCGAGTTCAAAACCCACGCCAAATTCAGAGGTCAGTTCACAACATCCACTTCAGATGTTAAGTTCAAAGAAAAGTCCAGAGCTTGTTGTTTTTTCTTTAGAAAGTGTTGAGTATTTTGGTGTGAAATAAAGGATGTTCTCAGCCAGACCACTGCCATATAGAGCATTACACTTCAAGTCTTCTTCTCTTGTTCTCCCCTCCAGGTCAGTTTGTCCCTGAGCACCACACTCTGCCGGGCCACAAGTCCCACCTGATGGCCCCCGACCACCTCGGAGGCATCGAGTTCGACATTCAGCTGCTGTGGAGCGCTCAGACCTTTGACTCACCGTACCAGCTGTGGAGGGCCACCAGCTCCTACAGCAGGTCAGACACTTCATCTTGGCCTGAATCAACGCAGACATGCTGACATCTGATGGTTCAGGAAGGGAATATTAATACTGCAAGTTTTAATACTAAGATTCAGGTCAACTTAAAGAGAGAGCATTAGATTGGCACCAACTTTGCAGAAAATTATAGATATATTTTTCAATTAGTTGTTAAATCTAATCAAGATTTTGTTTTCAAGACACATTTTTATTCTGCATGTCCATGAGCCGCACCACCTGGTTTTATAAAGCTTGGTCTTGCTAGCCCATAAATCAGTTTTGATAGCAAGTGACAAAAGCACGCAATTTATTTTTAATCTCTAACTGATTTATTTGTGGCTATGTCAGAATATTAGCTGTACGACGAAACTTTGTACTAGCCACCATCATTCAATGGTATATTTATGTTAAACTTAGCTGGTCTTGTTGGCTTATGTAGGTTATATAGAGGATATATATATCATATATCATGAGCATGAAAAAAGTAATGTTTAACTACATAAGTAGACGTTACATGGAAGTTGATGTCTTGTTTGCTGCAGGGAGTCTCAGAACATTCCTTGGGGAACAACCAAAACTGTTTTGTGGAAATCGTCATGTTTGAAAAGGTTTTTATTTCAACCTGACTGTGCCTTGGTTATAATCCCCCTGGGAATATTTCAACAGGAAGGACTACTCCGGAGAGTACACAGTCTTCCTGGTCCCCTGCACCGTGCAGCCCACTCAGCCCTGGATCGACCCCGGGGACAAACCTCTGTCCTGCACAGCTCACGCTCCAGAGAAGTACGTCCCTGCTGATGTCCAAATTGTTTGATAATGACAAATGTTTTTTTAAAGGAGACATATTTTGTCAATTTTCAGGGGTTGAACCTGTATTTTGTGTTTCTACTAGAAAATGTTTATCTACTTTTTTGTTTAAAAAAAAGCGTAATTTTCCTCATACTGTCTGCCTGAATATTCATGTATTCACCCTTTGTCTGAAACGCTCCGTCTCTTTAAGCCGCCCCCTAAAAAGTCCGGGCAACTGTAGAGGCACTTTCTGCCTATTTATACTGTATGTATAGCTTTGACATCATAACATTAAAAAAAGCCAATATTCTGAATACAGGCTGTGTTCATTTCTCCCTACGACAATGCAACTACACCTGCTTTTATAATTAAAAAAAATATATATATTTATAAACATATGGGACCTTTAAGAGCCTGGTGGTGCATTATGGGAACAAAACAAATAGAAAAAAGCTTGTGAATCCTAAACTGTCTGGTGTTTGTCTGACAGGTTTCTGGTGCCGATCGCCTTCCAGCAGACCAACCGGCCCGTTCCCGTGGTTTACTCCCTCAACACGGAGTTCCAGCTGTGTAACAACGAGAAGCTGTTCATGATGGACCCGGCCACTGCTGATGTCGCCATGGCTGAGATGGACTATAAGGGAGCATTCTCCATGGGTATGTTTAGAGAAACAGAACTCAGATTTAAAAAGAAAATGCTGTTTAGAAAAGTTTACTTAAGAGCAATAAGCTGCTTATGTAGGTTGAAAATAAGTTTAGGAGACTAGTGCAATGGAGTTTGAACAGATTGCTTAGCTACCAGTTGTGCTGCGCATCCAAACAGACGACAAGTGGACATAAAAACATGTAGGACAGACAGACAAAGACTCTTTTTAATTTAGTAAGGTTCCCGGCTAACCTTTACTAACAATTTTCCTTTATTCCATGTTTTAACCATTATACCAAGATACTATTCTAATCTTCACTGCATTTAAGTTGCAGTTAAAGGTTTAAGCAACTCAAACATTTGTATGTGCAAATAAAAACAAACCCTTACCTCTGCTGCCCTCCACAGGACAAACTCTGTACGGCAGGGTGTTGTGGAATCCCGAGCAGAACCTGAACGCAGCATACAAACTGCAGCTGGAGAAGGTGTACCTCTGCACCGGCAGGGATGGATACGTTCCCTTCTTCGACCCCACAGGGACGCTGTACAACGAGGGGCCGCAGTACGGCTGCATCCAGCCCAACAAGCACCTCAAACATCGCTTCCTGCTGCTGGTACAAACATCTATTTTGTTTACTCTGGGCTGTGGTGACTTTCAAGAGCGTTATTCAAATACATCATATGTCTGCAGCTGAATATTATTATAGGATACAGGGACAATGGTTCAAGACCAGACTAGTACCCTTTATGCATGTCATCCCCTGTGTCTCCTTTCAACTCTGTCTCTTCAATAAAGGCACTGGTGGACCACAAATATCTTTAAAAAAAATACATATATGAAAAACTAACATATTAAGGATTCAGACAGCTCCAGAATCTGGCCACACAAGAGGTCAAAAGAGGTCAAACATGATATAGGAGTTATTGAAAAAATACAGGTTTACAGGTTAAATAACTACATCTTTTGTTAGTCTCACATTTGATAGATGTTCTCTTTCTATGTATGTGTTAAACTGACACTTCCTGTTGATAAGAGAGAAGGGATTGAACTGCGGGAAGCCTTTTATTGTGAAACAGATACAGTAGATGTTTACAAAGAAACCGCACAAAACATAAAATTGAAATACAAATTGGTAATTTTCTTATTTATCAAAATAGATAAACATCTTGAAAAAATGTAATCTAATAAATGAACATTATATATACCATGAAAGGCTCCAGCAGTTGGAAACGAAGATGCAACCACAACATGTTCATTACAGATATGCAAATGATCTCTATTGAAAGAGAGCAGGTTCACATTTCAGGCAATACAAATGGTGCTTGCTGAAAACCTGTCTTTCAGGTTAGAATAAACCAAAGCAAAAATGTGATTTGTTTAGTTTCAAGCGATCAATATCTGAATTTACCTTTAAACGAGGGAAGATAACATGTTTTTCCTGCAATGCTATGCAAGCTCTCACACTCACACACACACTCACACACTTGCGCACTTGCCGGACCAGTCTGACCAGTCTGACCTGTCCCACTGGATACTAGATGGTTCAAAGATATTCAAAGCGTGTGGGTTATTTGAACTTCCTTCACTCCATGTAAATGATCATCCTGGTGTTGTTGACAACCCATTTTTATGTCGGGCAGAAATACTGCTTTAATGCATGTGTCTTGCACCTACACTATGCAGCAGATACTTTTTACTCGAACGTCACTATATATATAAGTATTTGCAATTTCCAAAAGATTGAAAGAATACTCCGACTTTTTATAAAGAAAATAGAATAGAAACTGATTCTTTCTTTTCACGTTTCCTCTGCAGGATCGCAAACAGCCGGACGTTAGTGACAATTTCTTCCACGACGTTCCCTTCGAGGCTTCCTTCGCCTCAGACATCCCGGACCTGCAGAGCATGTCGGCCATGCCGGGCGTCGACGGCTTTACAATGAAGGTTGATGCTCTCTACAAGGTGTGTGGAGGCAGCTGCACTACACTGTGATGTGTAACAGCGTTGTGATGACTCGTGTTTCAGCCATTCCTCTGTTTAGCTCCTTTGAACCACTATCTCACGATCTATCGAGGTGCATTTACACCAATTAAAGAGCTCAATGCTGCTGTAATACTGACATATTAGGCTCATTTTCAGGGTCATATTTGTATTTAGTGGCTTTACTATGTCTCCATGCTTTAATGTTCAAAAACGTGATATATGAACATTTTCCAGAATTTACAGTATAATGTGGAGAAGAATGAAAAATAAAACAAAATATAAATGTTATATATAAGCTGCAAAACCAAAGGTAGAGAAAAATCTAATTACAATATTTCTGGTAGTATTGTAAGTAAGTTATCAGGTGGGACCTGAAGTGACTGCTTCACTATCTAACTCCTCCTTCTTTCTCTCTGTTGATTGACAGGTGGAGGCGGGGCATCAGTGGTACCTGCAGGTGATTTATGTAATCAGCCCAGAGTCTCGGTCCGGCCCCAGGATTCAGCGCTCAGTGACCTACGAGCTGAGCCGCCCTAAACGTGACCTGGTGGACCGCAGCGGGCAACTGACGCTCGACGAGTCTCTGATCTACGACAACGAGGGCGACCAGGTGAAGAACGGCACCAACATGAAGTCGCTCCGCCTGGAGGCCGGGCCCTCCGCCGCCTTCAATGCCCACGTGGGCAGCTCTGTGGGCGGGGGCGTGGCGGCCGTCACCCTGCTGGTCCTGGTCCTGCTGGCCGTCTGCTTCCTGTTCCGCCACTGCCGCCGCTCGGCAGCGAAGAAGAGCAAGAAGGCTCAGAAAGTATTGGAGGAGTATCCGCTCAACACCAAGGTGGAGGTGTGCATGGACAAGTGTATGGAGAAGAACTTCAGCTCCAAACACTGCACGGTCAGAAACATCAACATCAACCGCAACCAGGACGCCAACGGCCAGACCAAGGTCAAACAGGTCAACCTGGAGGTCAAACTCCACAACAATCTCAACGACGGCACTGAGGTCTGAAACACAGAGGAGAGAGAAGAAAGAAAAAGGATGAAGCGAAAGTGAAAAACAAAGGTATTTTCGAAAAGAAAGTTTGTACTTAAGGAATGAGATTTTTGTTAATGTATTTTTATACCACTTTGAAAAAGGGAAGAGTGACAGCTACGCAGCGTTTGAATCATTTCACAACTGGGCTACCTCAGGAATCCACAAACCACTCAGCTGCGAGAAACAGCCAAAACATCTGCATCCCATCATTCAAGCTCCATATTAGACCGCCACTATTATCATCACTGTTTGACTTGACATTGATATCCTTTTTAGCACCAATATGGTGGCTGGTAGCTCAGACACTGGTGATTGTTTTAATGGGAAAACTCTGCTGTATTGAGTCATTTCACTGCTACTTAATGTCACTACTGTAGAGTGGTGTGCAAGTCCTCTTCATCTATGCTACAGTTATCATGCAGATTACTTCATTTTAAGAACCTTTTCCTGTGGACTTCTACATCGGCTACAGCTGCTTCTGACTTGTGAAAGTTTTTAGTGATCGCCCGAGGCAGAATGAGTGCAGAGTGTAAATAATAACAAAAATGAATGAGACATACTCAAGTGCAATTATGCAATACATCTTGTTAATCCTACCCTCACGAGCAGGAACTTTGTTTGCATTAAACATGTATTTCAAGCCTTAGAGACATTTGTGCTGTCACCTTGAACAAAAGTGATATATTTTGTGTACGTACTGTACTCGTATAGCTGCCAATATTAAGTGCCATGCAGTATTTTTCCTCACAAATTTCAAAAACTAATCATCCAAAGTGTTTTTCTTTTTTTTTCACGAGTAAGAACATTTCCGTGTGATTTTAATAAATCAGACGCTGTTTGCATAACAAAGGTTTCACTCCCGTCCACATGACTGAATGCTTCAGTCATGTTACTACCGTTCTTATGAAAATAATCACTTTTTAAAATTATGTATTTTATAAGAGATGTGTGTCTACCTGCCTTTGTTCCGCCCAAAGACACTAAATCCCTCCCTTGTTTTTTAAACTTTTTTTTTCTCATTTATGTATTATTATGTTACCCTCTATGATGTATTATGTAACATTATGCTACTGATGTACCCATGATGTTTAAGTTACTTTAAAGTGTATGACACTGGTTGGAGAGCACTGCAAAGGAAAGAGTTTTCTTGTCTTGTGAGACATGTATTTCTCTCCATTCGTCTCCTGATCCCACCTCCTGTCTTCTTTCAAATGTGTGCCTATCAAAATAACATGGGAACAGGAAATTGTGGCAAATAACAATATATTTTTGGTGCTATCATTTTGTGAAAAATAACTACGATGCTATCAACATGATGCCTGTATTTGGTGCCTTTTTTAGTAATAAAAAATATTAAAACCCACAAAGGTATTTTTTCTTGTGCAACATGTTGTATAACATTGTGTTTATGATGTGTAAATTAACTGTATGACTAGTTTTGGCAATATATTCAACAAATCGGATGGGATCTTTAGGGACAGAAAATATCAGGTTTTTTCACAATCATCCTGGAAAGTCACACCTTTTCACTCAATTTGACAATTGGACAAAGCATTAACACTTTGAAAATGTCAAATAAACCCACCACGAGTTTAGCTAATACAAATTAACGTTACATTTGCAAAACACTGACAGTAGTGAGCTCACTGTTAGGAAACGCTCATGTTCATAAACAGGAAAGTTAAGAAAAATATGAATGTGTTTCCTTTTAATAGAAAAAGCTATTCAAAATAATGTGACGGATTATATAAACCCGCTGTTTATATTTCATAATTATGAAGAAAGGCGTTGGCCACATCTAATTCTTTTCAGAGGCAGGCCTTCTATATTTATAAATTTGAAATGTCCGAGCGGTCCCTGAAGGTGTGCACAGAGTGGGCGTGGCCAGGTGACTTCAGGTGGATATTTCAGGTTCCGCAAGGAGAAAGCAGGTGTGGCGGAGAAAAACTTTTCCAGTTCAAAACTCAAATCCAGGTGAGCTACCCTTTCTTCTTATACATCGCTTTTTAATACTTGAAGTTTATTCTTTTAAATGATATGTTTTAATTCCTTTTTATCACGAAACAAAACCATGTGCTTTGATCTAACGATGTGATATTTTGTATACGGTAATTTCTGTTAATTCCATTGGAAATAAGATCGAAAGGTTATTTGTTTCTGTGTAACTTTTTATCGTACTGATTCTGAAAGTTTGATGTAAAATGAACATATTCACCAGCTGATTAAACATGGATGTGTCAACATTATCCTGTGACAGATTTTGGCAGAGCTTCACGGATGTCACAGCAAACAGAAATACTAGACTGCTCTGAGGTCACAATTACAGTATTTTAATGGATGGATGAAGACTAGTGAATACATCTCCAAATATATGTCGCAGTAGCACAGGTTAAAAAAAATAAGAGCAAAAGCAATGCTCTGGTTTTTAATAGTTAAAAGTTCATCTCTGTTTTCTTTCTCAAAATGTAGAGTTTTCTCTTGAGATTAATCAGTAGTCAAATAATTGTGATAAGTAAAGTTAACATAAAGTAATATTTTATCGTAAGACATGCTATCGAGTTTCACAGGAAGCAATCTAACAGACTATTATAAAAGGTTGAATGAGATATAAAGTAACAAGACCACTAAACACTGCTTGACTGAACTAAAAATGTTCCAATGCATTGCACACACTATGGCAAGGTTACCTAGTAAGACATTATACAGTAAACACATTTAAATTGCATTTGTTAACTATTTCTATCATCAACACTTTTTAATTTGTGCTGTTTTTTATGAATGGAGTTTGGTGAGAATAAGCCAAAATTATGCTAGAGCTTGCCAAGATAGAACGTTTATGAATGATTATTTTATATTTTTCACAGAGTAACTTCCCGTTATCATGGCGTCTTTATGGGTAAGTCAAAATATGTATTTTGTGAAGTTTTACCCGATTGTAGGCCTACTGCCTACATTTATACTTAACTGATTAACATTCTGCAGGATGACTTGGACAGTCTTGTGAATTCCCCTTCCTCGTTCGAATCTACAGTAGGTCCAACCTAAACTTTACACTGATTTCAAGCTTTACAATGATATTTATGATTGCACAGCACAAATGATGGAAAATGTAAAACAATTATACAAACTGTCTGTTCTTCAGACTGGAGAGAGAGGAACCATCAAGCCCAAAGCAGACTTTGATGCAGGAGACGATACTGTGGCACTGAGGAAGGCCATTGAAGGACTTGGTACAAATACAAATACACACACACACACACACACACACACACACACACACACACACACACACACACACACACACACACACACACACACACACACACACACACACACACACACACACACACACACACACACACACACACACACACACACACACACACACACACACACACACACACACACACACACACACACACAGCAAAATGAGGAATAACAGAGGATTTTAGCAGTCAGAACAACTAAAGCAGCAGTGTTAATAATAACAGAAACGCCAAAGAGTCACATACAGTAATAGAAATATATATATAAAAGCATTTATTTTAATTGTGTAGCAGTCAGTTTATAATTTTGGCAGCACTGTTGAGCATTTAGAAAATGCATTACTATGTACTATACTTGGGTACAATTTTGAGATACTTGTACTTTACTTAAGTATTTCAATGTTTTGCTACTTTGTTCTTCTACTCCTCTACAGTTCAGAGGTAAAAAAGGTGTACTTTTACTCCACTACATGTATTTAATACCTTTAGTTACTTTACAGATCTGGATGAATGATGTGAAATATAATCAAGTGTTAAATCAGACTTTAGTTCCACCTGGAGTAAATTCACAAGCTACCCTGCAGTATACAAAGTCATTCAAACCAGCTGCTAGTGATGTTACGTTCTGGAACGATCCGATTCTTTTGACCGGCTCTTTGGTACGAACAACGGGAACCGAGTCGTACTTGGTGAGAGCCGTTCTTTTTATCGTTGGTTCACTGCCAGCCATAAATCCACTCGCCTTTACGGGAACTTGCTTTCCTGAAGCACAATGTGGAGGGAGAGCTCTCTCCTGTCAGACTGAGAGGCTGATAACTACAGCTCAGTGAGGTAAAGGACTCTGAGGGTTTAGATAGTTCACTTTAGTCTGAGTTATCTCAGTGGGTCTCAAACAGTTTGATCACAATTTATGTAAACACATATTTCCAAGGCACTCCTTTATAATTATTAGGATAAATAAAAACAGGTTTGAAATCATTCCAATGTATACTATAGGACAGTAAACCAAAAATATCGTTTAAAACTGGAGAGATTAAAAAATATGCATAAATAAATGTTAACTGGGTAAAATAAGATATGAATGAAGAACAAAAATAAAAAGTTACATTTATTTGTTATTGGCTATGGTAGGTTATTGGTTATGTTCACATACTTATTTGATTATTAAAATGAAAACCAATCTTTTTCATATGGGTGTTTAAATCTTGCCTATAGGGCAGCAAATTGGTCAGAACCAGCCCTGGTGTCATCCCCACAGTACCCCCCATTTGAAACATGTTCCCACGGCTATGGATGCCTAAATCCATGAGTGGGAAATATAATCTACGTATTCGTCCAGTATTGGATCTTCTAAAGTTTCACCATCCCTGAATAAAACAATAAATCTATGTAGGTTATTGGGTTATTTTTCAATATTTGGCAGATGGGACCAAAAAGGGAGGTGTAGCTCAACAGGAACCTTTGATCTTGTGTTGGTTGGGTAACATTGACTCTGTAAACACGACTCTTAAAGTATGTGGGTCACACTGCAGCTTTTCTAAGTAAAATACTTTGATAAATGGTAGTTTTAAAACGCTTTTGCCTTTTTACTTCTGATGCTAACTGATGTGAGTCCCATGGTCCCCTGAAGTGGCTGAATTACTTTAAATATAGTGTATATATATTCAGGTTTACAATACACGTCCTATTCTTCATAAAGCAGGAGGCTAGGACTCCCACAGCCAATTACTAAGAACATCTATGTAAGGAGGTCTTTTTAGGTTTTAAACAATGATATGATATATGAGGATTTGACTTCTAATGGATTATTTTTACTTTACTTCATGCACTGATTAATACTGCTTGTTGTTGGCTTCTGTTGCGCTAACGGATAAAAGAAGCTGTTTCTACAATAATGTGGAGGGAGAGCTCTCCTGCAGACTGAGAGGCTGATAACTACAGCTCAGTGAGGTAAAGGACTCTGAGGGTTTAGATAGTTCACTTTAGTCTAAGTTATCTCAGTGCGTTCACACCAAGTACTTTGCCGTATTTATTGGGTCTCAAACGGTTTGGTCACAATTTATGTAAACAAATATTTCCAAGGCATAAATGATAAAAGATATAAATGAACCACAAAAATAAAAAAAGTTACATTATTTGTTATTGTCTATGGTAGGTTATTGGTTATGTTCACATACTTATTTGATTATTAAAATGAAAACCGATCTTTTTCATATGGGTGTTTTAGAGTTGTACCCACTAGATCAGGTCTCTAGTAATTGGGTGCTCAAAGTGCACCAGATTGAAGCATTTTACTTTAAAATGTTAAAACAAATCTTCCCAGGGGGGCATACCCCGGACCCCCCTAGAGGATGTGACGTCCACCCCCCAAATCAAACATGTTCATACAGTACTAAATGCATTTGAAGCCTTTTTAGACAAGCTGTCCACCATGTCAATACGTTTGTAGTATATTGGTCTTTTGTAGAGGTTTTTCATTGCCAGCTAAAATCTTGCCTATAGGGCAGCAAATTGGTCAGATCCAGCCCTGGTGTCATCCCCACAGCACCCCCCATTTGAAACATGTTCCCACGGCTATGATATCTGAGTACTTCTACTTTTACTCAAGTACAAGATCTGAGTACTTCTACTTTTACTCAAGTACAAGATCTGAGTACTTCTACTTTTACTCAAGTACAAGATCTATAGCCTACTTATGCCACCTCCGTTTAGCTAAAGCTAACGTTAGCAGATAGTGACAATGTATGCTAGTTAGCTAGCTCAACGATTCCTTAAAGGTCTCGTGTCATGGCCATTTCCACTGATCATAATTCCATTGTTGAGGTATACTAAAATAGATTTATACTGTGCAATTTTCCAAACTCACATTGGTTTCTCATACAGCATCTCTGTAAAGTATGTGTATTCACCGGTATTCACTCTCTGTCCTAAACGGCTTGTTGGAGCTCCTGCCCCCCCTCCCTGTGAGCCCAGTGTGCTCTGATTGGTCGGGACGTTGAGAGGCTCGTTGCTGCTCGTTGCTGCGAGCTGCTGCGAGCAGCAGAGAGGCTTCCGGGTTGGCGATACAGCGAGAACAAGCTAAACTCATCCTGAGC